AATATCAAGCTGTTAAACAGCATGGATACACATAAACATAGAAGTCAATAGAAGCTGTCGATTAAAAAAGCTTCTCTTTTTAAATTGTAAACTTTTAATTCTAAAAAAGCTTGCTAACAATCAAAACTTTAAAAAATCGTCTTTATTGTATTGATACAATCGCCTACCACTGAAATTTCACTGCTTTCGGGGCACCAGCTGAATAAAACATTTAATTGTAAAAGATCAAGTTAGTTTCAGTTTTCTTGAACTAACTTAATTCTACAGTTTTGTATTTATGTCCTACTAGCTGAAGTGTAATAAATTAAACAACAATTGGAAAAAACTCAGGAAAACATTTTAAATTTTTGAAAAAAAATCAATTTTATGTTAACTCCAGGGTACTCATAGGTTCCCTAAAAAATGTCAGCTAATTTGGTTCAGCTGCTCTGCCAGCTATAGCCAATATACAAATGAGCGAAGAGCTTAATTTATATAGATTTTGCGGCACACTGCCATCCCTATTATTATTATTTATTATTATTGTTGTTATAACCATCAACAAGGTTCTAGGAAAACATAAACACTGTTTTATCGATTCAAAATATTTCTTGGGATCTAACAGCATTCATAAATTTATATTTCTATATGTTTTATAAGACAAACAGAAACACTTATGAAAATGGGGGGGGGGGGCAATAAATAAGAGGCAATCAAGGAAACAGAAAAAGAAGAGGGAAAGGGGTCATACCAAAATCACAACCATTCGTATTTAATAAAGAATAAGGTTAAGAATATTATTTCTATTCTTTTAATTCTATCAAAGGTTAATTTTCAGAGGAAAAAAATGCCCTTTTTTGCCTATAACTTATAAAATTTTTAACCGATTTTATGATTTTAACATATTTGAATTCAGTGCTTTAAGACGGAGTTTTTGATACCCATATCGAAATATTTTGGAAAAAAATATTTTTGTTTGCCTTGTGTAATTTATTACTAACAAAAACGTGAGAAATTTTTATTTTTACATTTTTGTTTTGCTTTTTTATTAGAGAAACTTTTAAGACGCGTGCTGAAAGGATCTGAACATTTTTATCAAAAAACTGCCAAATTGTCTTGTATTCTAGGTTTCCAAGATATGTATGCTTGTATTCTAGGTTTCCAAGATATGTATGCTCGTATTCTAGGTTTCCAAGATATGTATGCTTGTATTCTAGGTTTCCAAGATATGTATGCTTAGTATTCTAGGTTTCCAAGATATGTATGCTTGTATTCTAGGTTTCCAAGATATGTATGCTCGTATTCTAGGTTTCCAAGATAAGTATGCTTGTATTCTAGGTTTCCAAGATACGTATGCTTGTATTCTAGGTTTCCAAGATATGTATGCTTGTATTCTAGGTTTCCAAGATAAGTATGCTTGTAATCTAGGTTTCCAGCCAGATATTTGTTTGGCTCTCTATCGGACTAAATTGGATTTTATTTGTTATTTACATCTTGTAATTAAGGTTTTGTTTAGTCCTGTAGAAAAACAAAACGTTGTTTACAGAATTGCAAAATCGATTTCGTCACTAATGATCTTGTTTTATCAGATAACAGGTTTAGTTCTGTAAATTTATATTTTCAACATTAACCCCAAGATTATGCAGATGAGAAAGATTATTTAGGACTTGTGTGAGTCCTGGAACCATAACTGTGAGAGTATCATGGAAATTTGTTAAACACCTTGAAATTACTTGATAACTTTTTGATAATTAAAGTCATGCCACAATGTGGTGTTTGTTTGGATGTCCGCTCATAACTCTTGAACCCCTTGACGGTAATGTGCCTTAAATTTTGATTGAGTAACTTTTAGAACCACGAGAATATTCTCTACTTGGTTTGAAAAATTGTAGAGATCTCCAGACAAAGCTGGGTTCCCAAGCTAGTATATTAAAACAATTGCAGACCAGGGTGTATATGTGAGTCAAGAAATACACCCGACCATCAAATACAAATCAAACAGCGGTAAAGACAATCTCCGAAAAGACAACCGTCTGAAATTTTTTGAAAAGGTGCAATTTTTTCTTTCTCATCTATGATACTGGGGTTTAAGCAAACTTTTTAGATCAGTCGATTGATACCTCGGAGAGGCATGTTTTTTATCTATCCTTTTTATATTGCCATAGCTCAATAGCGGATCTGAAAATATGCCTAGGAGAGAAATAATTTGTCCAATTTTTACAATTTTTTTTCCAATTTTTACAGAAACATTTGAAATATATGTTGAGAATTCGGAATTAGGAATTAGATTTTTGGCTTTAATCAAAAAAAGTATTCCCTCAATATAATAATATCCCTACAACAGTTTTTTTTGACGCCCTGAGTATGGGATCATTTAAGCTCTTACTTATTTTAAATCTAAATCATTTGGAGTATTTTCAAATGTGTGATAAATCTCTTTAAAGAAGTTGTAAAACTATTACAACCACTCTCTTGTTTTATCAATAGAACTTGTAGAACTGACAAAACTCAATTTAAACTTTAAATTCTTGTTCCTTGGCGCCTTAAATTTATGTTTTATATATATTAGTGAAAATAATGTTCATTCTGTTTTATGGGTAAACTATCTACAAAAACTGAAAAAAATCTGATTAAAAAAAAACATACTGACATCTTTAACTAATAAATAAAATATATATATTTTGTTTGTCTGATAGTTTGTATTTTATAAACGTGAACGAAGGAGGGACGGCTAAGCGGCCATGATGTAAATTCTACTGTATAGGTTGGAGACGATTCGGTAAACCCTTCAAATGATCCTATAGATGATGTAAAACCTGAAGCAAGATTCAACCTGATTGTAATTGATCTTGTTTAAATGTCAAAGTAATTACTAACTCAAAAATCTTCAAAGCCATTTAAATGAAAATTCATTCTTAAAAACTTAAATGTAAACTTTTGAGATTACTATTTGAAAGCATAAATATTTTATACTTAGAACTATATTTTATATTTAAAACCATGAATTTTATCCCAAAAATATTTAACGAATAATTAACCTATATTTAAAAAAACCTCTTCATTAAAAAATATTAATTTCTGAATTTTTTTTCAGAAGGATTGTCGAAGTTTATAAAGCGCGTAGTTGGACTACAAATATGTGATCAGAGCTGGGAACTTTGTAATGAAATATCCTTAATCCCGATCGGTTAATTAATCTGAAGATTATTAACATGAGGAGAACAAGCATTTTTTAGTCTTGAGATTAAGAAAAAGAGTGGATCAAGCATTAATCCCGATATCTACCGTTCAAAAGTTCCCAGCTCTGAATGTATAAACCTATCACCATTCACATACCTGGAATTTTCATACCTACAAGTTTACAAACTGTAAAAATTGTACATTTGTAAAGAAATGCATTCAAAAAGATTTAACACAAACCTTTTTTAATAGATCTAAGTAAAGGCTGCGTATCTGCCGAAACTTGGACAACCTTTTTACACAAGCGCTGCAGTAGTCTAAAACTCCCTTTTGTGTAAGAGAAGAAAAAGCATATTCTTCTAAAAAATGTGCAAAAACTAATAAGGCATTTTTTATAGACAGCAGCGTGAAAAGGTTGAACGTGTCGAAGTTTCTCTCGACAAAGATTAAATAGGTATTTGTATTAATTCTAAAAGGTATTTTCAAATTATGCATACAAAACACACCACGGTTTTCTATAAGTTTACGTTCATAAAAAACTGAAACCACTGCTGAGGCAGTTTGAGTATACTCCCGTTTGAACTGTTCATTTGAACTATATGTTCGTTTGAACTACTGCACGTGGTACCACATGAGTAGTTGAATTGAACAATAGTTCAAACGAGTTTATTTATTACTTAAGGTCCAATAAATTAGCTATTAATACTTCTAAAACTACTAGCTGAGAAAGTTTTTGAATTTAATAATAATGATTTAGATACTGTTCAGGATCCTAGCATAATACAGGGTGTCCCATATCATATTAGATCGTCATGATGGGTTAAAATACGTTTTTCGGCACTAATAAGAAATTATAAGAAGAATAAATCATTTCATAAAATTGAATAAGGTTTATTTAAAAATTTTCTTGCAGAAAATTTCAGGTTTTCGAGTATTATGTGTTTATTATGGGGTTAAAGCTTGGAGTTAATCTAATATGATATGGGACGCTCTGTATATCCTATTGAAATTTTAACAAACAAATCCCGTCCGTATCCTACTTTTAAGATTCTTGGTGTCTGGTTAGACGAAAATTAAGTTTTGACCACCATGTTTCGGTTACTTCCAAAAAAATCTCAAACTCTTTACTCACTGAAAAAAGTTGGAAATATTTTGTCTACCAAGGCTTTAAAATCTCTTTAATATGCTTTAATACATCCTTATTTTCTCTATTGTCTTCCAGTCAACAAGTTCAACGAATTTAAACTTAATATTCCAACTTCAAAAACGCTGTACTAGAATTTAAGCTGGAGCCAAATTTAACGCGCATACTAAAGGAGCAATTACATGATGTTATATATGTTATCGTTAAAATTTTGTTGTGGGACCTTACATGACCACAGGGTAGGATGGTCAATATGAAAAATTGTTAGTTAAAAAAAATCCGTTTTTCAAAATCCGCTAAAAAATTGACGAATCAGCGATTTTTTGGGTTATTTTTTAATAATTTTAGAAGATAAAATTCTGCAGACAGAGAAACAGTTTAAATTCTAAATCAAATGCTTAGTTTAATAGAATATTAATAAATTAGCTTAGTAAACCTATAAATCTTGTTGCTGTTAATAAAACAATATTTAAAGATAAGTCAAATTTTATTGATGTTAATACAGGATTCTTCCCTGTCTTTACAACACTACAATATGGATAAAGGGCAGGTTTCATATATAACATTATCCGGTATTTGGTATTTTTAACCTTTTTTAGGTGTAATTTCATTAAAATTCAAAATATCTTTAGAACAGGTTTAAAATAATTTATTTGTTTTCTGTAACTGAATCGACCCCTCTTGGCTAAAAACATAATTACGAGTAAATGTTTATTAGATATTTGAGTTTAATGAAATTACGTATCTTGAAGTTAGTTAAAGTACTGCATTGAAAACTAACAAATTAAGGACAGATCCTAGTAACAGTTAAATTTATGAACGGGTTTGCCAAATCGTGTGTACACTGTACATATGACACTATATTTACAAGGAATAAAAAACGATCAACAACGCTGTGAGACTAAAAACATCATAAGTTAAGTTGCAAAGTTTAAAGGAAATGTCCCGGGATCAAAAAAAAGAACATTTTTGGAAATTGCGGAGTTTAAAGGAAAAGTGTCCTGGGATCAGAAACATCGATGTTTTCGCAAAATTGCGGAAAAGTGTTCAGAGGCCGAATTTAAAGAATTTGAGCCGCGGCTTAAATTTGCGACGCGGCTCAAATATGGTTGGTTCCACTTGAAAAATTGAAGATTTAAGCCGGCGCTCAATTGAAACCGATTTTTGGGGGATTTGCAACGCGGCTCAAATTCATTAAATTCGGACTTCGGCATCAGAAATTGAAAAGAATTTAATCATAGATTATCTTCTTGGCTATAAACTCTCCAGTATCCACATCAGAAATAATCATTTCATTATCAGATTCCTGAAAGAAGTACAAATTTTCACAAATAACATGAATAATAATAATAATTGTTACACAATATTTCTTTTTATGTTTGTGTGAATAATAATATTACATAAAATTAAGATTTTAATAATAAAAGATATTTTTTAAACTTCTGACATTTTTCCCGTCTCCAATTTTTTATAAAACCTGGTGGTTCGTATCAATTAAATATTCTCAAATGTACTTTTATTCAAAACTTTTTACAAAAATTAATCAATACATTTCGATATCAGACAAATTAGTGTATCGTAACCTATCCCAGGTAAAACATGTAAACTTGCTGATATTGTAACTTGTTTTGGTCTGATGGAGATATATATATACCTGAACCCTGACAGTAGGATGAGCCAGAAATATATCAGGGAGCTGAACCATGTCAATTAATCCTCCGTCCGAGGGATCAAATATCTTCTCAATATCCAGGAATTTATCGTAGGGTCCTCCAAACCTTAACAATCACCGAATAAATAAAAAACTAGAGAAAAACAAGGGGTCAATGCATAGACTTAGTCAAGATACATTTTATGGATTTTAAAACAAAATATTAAGACGACAGTAGCTTTAAATCCAAAATTTCATTTTCAGATGTTACGACTTCTGGGAGTTCTGATCACGAGGCCATTTAAGGCCCGATCAGGAAGATTTAAAAGCACTATTTTTCTTCTTCCCATAAAAAGACTCAACTGAGTCTAGTTTCCCGATTAATTAAAAATTCATCTTTTTAACATAAAAAACAAACGAAAAATTTATTTTCAGTCTGCCTTTCACGAACACTCCCTTTAAACAGTTTTTTTACCTTTCAGGGCCCAAACACGACGGCAAATGTAACCCTTTCTGCTTGAAATCTATCTTACTTGACTAACCTGTATTTATATCCCTTGGGAAGAATTTTCACCAAATCTTCCTCGTTTTCACTTTCAACAGAGGATTCGTCAGATAAATATTCTCCTCTACTCTTCAGCACTGATTTAGGAGCAGGTCGTCGACTAAACATGATAAATATAGATTTGGAGCAGGTCGTCGACTATACATATTTAATGTAAGGTAATTTCCTAGAGAACGATTTTAGGACCCCCCCGACCCCTACTATCAATTTTGTAAATGGTTCTCATATGTATTACATTGAAATCATTGGTCATGTGGCCGCGGCGCTCGACCCCCTAGCCTGTCCTAGCCGCAGCGCTCGCCCCCCCCCCCTAGCCTGTCGAAAAACTGAAAAATAAGTTGGCATGTATAACATCGATAGGGGGGGGGGGGGGGGGGGCCAAAAATCGTTCTATGAAAGACCCAAATGTAGATTTGGAGCAGGTTGTTGATTAAACATGATAAATTTAGATTTGGAGCAGGTTGTTGATTAAATTTATTTTTTTATATATTTGAGAGCAGGTCGTAGACTATACAATTTCAATATCGATTTGGAGCAGGTCGTCGTCTGAACCATTTTAATATCGATTTGGAACAGGTAGTCGAATGAATATATTCAATATAGATTTGGAGCAGATCGTCGATTAAAAATAGCCATTATAGATTTGGAACAGGTCGTCGACTAAACATTTAAAATATAAAAAGAGCAGGTCGTCGACTTAACATTTTCAATACAATAAGAGCATGTAGTCGACTTAATATATTAAATGTAGATTTGGAGCTGGTCGTCGAATAAACATACTCAATATAATTTGGAGCAGAACGTCGATTGAATATGTTCAATTCAGATTTACAGCAGGTCGTCGACTTAACGTATTCAATATATATTTGAGAGCAGGTCGGCGACTAAACTTATTCAATTTAGATTTATGAGCAGGTCGTCGACTAACCCTATTCAACACATGTTGGAGTGCAGGTCGTCGAAAAAACATATTCCGTATATATTTCAGAGGAGGTCGTCGAGCGAACATATATAATTTATATTAGATAGCATGTCATCGAATTAACATACTTAATATTTATTTGTTATCAGCTCGTTGACAAACATATTTTTTATAGATATAGTTAACATGATTAAAAAAAATAAATGATCGAGCATGTCGTTGACTCTACTTGGTCTCGTGGGATTTGGTATATGACAGTTCAAATTGGCTCATTAAGTAAGGTTAGTTTCTGCAATTTCAAAAATATTTAAAAAGAAGGACATGCCCGATTTACAACGGTATCCTTTAAACCGTTATCTGATCAACTATGTGGAAGATATGTTCGTGCTTACAGCTTGATACGTGTTTTATAATGATAATTCATTTATTACTTTCCTGCAGTAGAATGCGCAAGTCACTTTTATAGAGAAACTACAGTTAAAAATTATCGGCTTTCGAACTTTAAGAATATAGGTAGCTAATTCATACTTGATCAAATAAAGCTTTTCCGGTTAATACTAGAAGAAATAAAACGGTGTAAAATTATAGGATTTATTAGAATTCTGAATTTGAATTCTCTTAGTGTGTTGTGTACCTCTTATCTGCAGCTAAAACTCTGTTAACAGCTTCTTCACTGTAATTATCTGATTTCATCCTCTCCGCAACCTTTCTTCTAGACTCAAACCTATACAGTATACACAGATAGGAAGTTAGTTGTTATATGGGGGGGGGGGGGGGGGTAAAGGGACTGTAAGCATAATTTCAAGTAACCCTTCAGGCAACGCCGACGTTGCCTGATTCACACTGGTACCGTTGAAACCTTTATCTGATTGATAATTGGGAATTGTTTTTCTAGGTTTTAAAATGTTTAATTCTAATAATTCATTTCCAGCAATTATGCACGAGTCACTTCTGTAGAGAAATCACAAATGAAAATAATAAGTTTTCAAAGATTTAAACATTCACATCAAATTCATGTTTGATTAGACAAGCCTTTTCAGGGTACCGTTGTGGAGGGTCACTTGAAATTACTCTTGCAATCTTTCTTTACTGGTGGAAATATGGAGATAGGAAAGAAGGTAGAAGATGGAGATAAAGAAGGGAGTAAAGAAGGAGATGGAGATAAAGAAGGGAGTAATGAAGAAGATGGAGATTAAGAAGGGAATACAAAAGAAGATAAAGAAGGGAATATATAAGAAGATGGAGATAAAAAGGGCATAAAAGAAGATATGAATAAAGAAGGGAATAAAGAAGAAGATGTAGATAAAGAATAAGATTAAGATAAAAAAGGAAATAAGGAAGATTTAGATAAAGAAGAGAGTAAAGAGGAAGATGAAGATAAAGAAGTGAATAAAAAAGAAGAAGATAAAGAAGGGAATACATAAGAAGTAAGATGAATAAAAAAAGGAATAAAGATTAAGAAGGGAATACAGAAGTAGATGGAGATAAAGAAGGGTATACATAAGAAGTAAGATGAATAAAAAAAAGGAATAAAGAAGAAGATAAATATTAAGAAGGGAATAAAGAAGAAGATGGAGATAGAGAAGAAGAAAAGGTTAACAAAGAGAAGAAGGTAGAAGTTGGAAAACGAAGTGTGATAAAGAAGAAAAGAGTTAGGTGGGTGGAAAACTTTCTTTCTGAACTTTAAAAAGACATATTTACTTCAATACAAGAATGAATTTATTGCAAAGTTGAGATTTCCAATTGGTAAAAGTTTTATAAAGAGACATAAATAATCCTTTTAACATAAAACCTTTAATTTTCTTATACAAAAAAGTTGGAATTCAAGGTGAATTCTTTTTAATTATAATTGGAGGCGTTGATAGAATTCTTAAAGGGACCATTCATGCCATAATGTCCGATTTACAACGGTACCCTTAGAAGCTTGTCTGATCACGTGATCAATGTTTTTGTTCCTTTAAACTGTTTATTTTCATTTGTGGTTTCTCTGCAAAAGGGATTTGCGCATTTCATGCTTAAAAGAAACAATTGCGAAGTACAAAGAAATAAACACTTTTCAATATAGAGAAAAGACGGTTTCATCCACATTTTGGATCAGATTAAGGTTTCAAGGGAACCCTTGTAAATGGTACATTGCCATATTTTAAAGTCAGAATATTGTCGAGGGGGCAGATTTTCAGTGCTGTACAACGTCAAGGTCAAGGTCAAGATCAAAATTTACCTCTCTCCGATAGGAGAAAAGAAGAAGATACTGGATTCTATCTTCTGGCATCTCCAACCCTGTGGTAAACTTGAATCCTCTAGATAAACTACTCCTAGAGAATTCTTTCCTTCAGATATATGCCGTTGCATCGAGGCCTTGGTCTAAATAGATTAGCATAGTTAAAGTAGTGTTATTTTCGGGGTGTAATAAATTTTTATTAATTACCCCTCCCCCCACACAAAAGATAGGGCCTAAACTCAACTCCCCCCCCCCCTACCACCACTTCCATCACTGAAGAACTCTTTTAAATCAAATAATTTAAATCCTTCATGATGATTTTGAAGTTAATCGTTGTTTTTTTATTGCGTTATTTAAAGGGACTGTCAACATAATTTAATGTAGCCCACTATTTAAAAAGTTACATGTTCGATTCACACGGTAGCCTTGAACTGTCATTTCAATTATAATTATTGAAGAAGATATCATGAAGTAATAAATTCTGTAAATTTCTTTCCTGGTCGCTGCAACATAAATCGACAAGTCCCTTTTGGCACTGCCATTGAAAAGGATAAACTTTGAGAGGAAGAAAAGCCAGGATATCTCAATATTTTCAACTAATGTTACCAGTGTGAGTCAGTCCTGTAAATTTTTAAATGGAGGATCACTTGAAATTAAGTCGACAGTGTTTTTAATAATACTAGAAATTCAAGGCGCTTCGCGCCCTTCTTTCTAGGCATTTAGGGCGCTTCGCGCCCATCTTCTATTTAAGTTGTGAACATGTTCTTTTTGCTTACATTTAAAAACAAAGAATTTTTTTTTGCGGATTAAAAAAAAAATCGCGGATTTTCAAGAATTTAATTTTTTTACAAAATTAAAAACCTTTAAAACACATTTATTTTTTATTTATATCATTCATAAACCTTCCATGTGGTCACATGATGTCCCACAAAAAATTTTGGCCCAATCTGTTCAGCTGTTTTGACGTTTATTGGATACAAACAGACAGACAAGCCTAATTTATATATAGATATCGGATGTGGAAAAGAATACTCACTGTGAACTCCTCTCCGTCAGGAGAAACATAAACCGTCAACTCTTTTCCGTCCTTCATCCTCGTCTCACTGATCCAACCTCGAGGCAGAGGTCGCTTACTAGAACCCTTAGAAGTAGCAGGAGATCCAACAGGTTTAGACAAACCCGGTGTTCGAGATGGGGTTTTGGGTGTCGAGGGGGCTTTGGGTGAGGAAGGTGTTTTGGGTTGTGATAAAGGCAAAAGTTTGTGTGCATAGCTGACCATATACTGATCCACTCTTTCCTGTCTTGTTAATCCCATCGTATCCTCGGCTTCACGGGCTGCCTTCTCCCACTTTTTATAGTTTGCTCCCTTACCAGGGTTATACGACTTGTCAGATTTCTTCTTACCTATATATACAGGGGTATTTATTTTCTTCCTGAACACCCCCCCCCCCATTTAGACATTTTTAAAGGGTTTAATCTTACAATATTTAAGAATTTGGTCTATTTGAAGAAATATTTAAGAATTTGGTCTATTTGAAGAAATATTTAAGAATTTGGTCTATTTGAAGAAATATTTCAGAATTTGGTCTATTTGAAGAAATATTTAAGAATTTGGTCTATTTAAAGAAATATTTAAGAATTTGGTCTATTTGAAGAAATATTTCAGAATTTGGTCTATTTGAGGAATATTTAAGAATTTTACAAGGTAAAATCCCTCCCTTTTGCTTTCTGCTTTGATTTTAAATTAATGATTTCAATTTATAGAAATCTTCGCAAATCCAAACTTCAAACATGTTAAATCCAAGAGGAAAAGCGAAATAGATCAAATGAACGATCAAAATCGAATTAATGTATATACACTATACAGTGAGACCCAATAAAGGAAGACGACTGTTGTTAAACACAACAATTATGCAGTTTAACAAAAGTTTCACTTTATCAGTTGGTTTTTCAACAATTCGTAAACCATTTGCTTTCTAACAGCATCAAATATATGATTGCTTAAATATCTTTGTTTATTCCACAGTTTACTGGTTCTCACTCACAGAGTAGATATTGATAGAGGTTAAGTGTACGGAGTACAGCAGGCAAGCTGGGCAAAACTGTACAATTTTAGAAATGTTGGGGTTGTTTGTGTACGTATTCTGAAAAATAAGTGATTTTTCCAGTGCTTCATTTTTTACTTTCATGTTAACATTTCAGGTGAGAAATAGCTATCTATCTCTCAGATTATTTAATATTGATGTTGTACGCAGACAAAATTCCTACTAAATATATGTCCTAAATATTCGCCGAAATCGAAGTTTATAACAAACCCCTGAGCCCAAAACTTAAGACAGGGTATCGTTATGAAAACCAGTTTTAAAACCCGGGTTTCACAAATGGGGTTAGGCAGTTTTATGAATATCAATATTTTTGTAATAAAATATTATTTTTTTCACTTGATTTATATTCTCCATGTTTTTAGAATCTCTTAAATCAAAATCTACACAAATGTTAAGACCCCAAAAAGGAAACTCGGGAGTTTCGTTCAACGATACTCTTTTAAATTTCGGGCTCTGCAGACCCTGCAGTACGCGTACTTTATGAACCCCACTTCCTCTTGGAATCAAGGTTTCGTGAGATGAGTTGGCTGAGTGTCTATAAATATCTAGTCTGTGCAGGTCTCAATGTATTGACAAAGTTTAAGTTCAAAGACATGAGAATGTTTCAACATTAACAAATTAGTTATCAGGATTTTAAAATATTTTTGTTTACTTCTTACCTGCGAGAACTTTAAATGATTCCAATCCCTCAAACTCGAGAACAGATGTCACCCATCCTGACTCATCATTCCAACCAAAGAATTGAACATGTGACGTAGTTTTACCGTTGGCCAGAACTCGGTTATATGATCCCTCGGGACTACGAGTTACAAAGGCGGGCCAGAAAGGAAAACCGGGCATACGCCCCCACACCAGGTCACCTACACGGGGAAACTCGTCTTTATCACCAGACTCTTTCGGAGTTAAAGGAGTGCTGGGCGTGGAGACCTTGGTAGGATTAGAAGGCGCTTCATTTTGTACTGGTTTCGGAGTCACGGGTTTGTTGGGTTTCTTTGCCGAGTCTCCTTTCTTAATATTAGGTTTCAACTTCTTCTTCACAGGAAGGGAGAGGGAGTCGTCAGTGTCGGAGTCACTATTCACTCCGTTCATCACAATTGAAGCTATTAAACTGCTTTCACGTTTCTCAGGTTTAGATCTGGGAACCTCGACAGGTTCGTCTGTACTTGGATCTATTGTTGACTGTGCTTCCACGCTACATCTCCTATTCAGGTTCTTCTGCTTTCTCTTCACTGGATCCGGAGTAGATAAATCCGTCCTATTCTCTGCATCTCCTGTTCTTCCATTACTCGGCGCTATTTCCATCTCTTGTGGTGTATCAGTTACATTGGAACCTTGATCCTCATCGTCCACATCAGCAACCATAGCCCAGCCGTACTTGTTAAGAACCTTCTCTATTCGTTCCTCGTCGGATAGACCAGCAAGCTCCTCTGCATACTCAACAGCTTTGTTGAACTGGGCCTGAGTTCGTTTATTTGGTGTGTAGTCAGGTTTAGACTTTTTACTCGCCGTCTCCTTGTCACGTAGAAAACCTTCTATTCCCTGGAACTTCTTAATTGAACTACTCCCGATCCAGGCTCTCTGTTTACCATATTCTAAAAATAAAACATGTATTCGTCGAGAATTCTTATAAATTGTATCTGCGACTTTAACAAATTCGCCGTTTACTGGATCTCGTGAGACAACCGACGGCCAAAACGGGTATCCACGCAATTTAGCCCAAACTAGCGCCCCGTTTCCGAATCCGTCGGATTTGGCAATTTGCTCAGTCTTTTGGCCAGTTAGGATATAATCAGAAACCTCTGGAACAGCTTCAGTATTAATAGTATTTTCGTTAACAGGTTCTACTTTAGATTCTTTATCTTGATCGGGAGCAATTGGAATTTCTTTTATCACATTTTCATTTTTATTCAATACTTCAGCTTCTTTACCCTCCTCCTCCGGCTTCTTGTCCTTTTTAATCTTGAAAGATTTGCTGAAAGACGCATTAGATTTAAAAATTGGTGGAGCAGGGGTTAGTTTAGTTTGGGGCGACTCAGATTCAGAACTTGGTTTGGACTTTTTTGGTTTCTCCGAAGACCGAGCTTCGGTCATTTTATGAATCTTGTAATCCATCTCCTCCTGTCGTCGGTACTGGGCACTTTTACGTTGATCCTTCCCTTCAGGTTCAGCAGGTTTCCTGGGAGACGGTAAATGCTTGGGTTTCACTGGAGAATTTAGATCAGAACCAAAGTTTTTGTTTTCAAGATCGATTTTTTTGATGAAAGATTTTCCACTTTTGTCGCCCAGTCTTGCGGTTTCCATTTTCTTTACTCTTTCCGATTTTTCACAACCGGCCAAATCGTCGGCCACAACTAGAGCATCTCTCCAACCTTGCATTTTTTCAGCTCTGGGTTTGTAGATCTTAAGGTTTGAGGAATCTTTAATGGCTAATTTTTCATACTCAGGTATACCTTGGTACTCTTTACAGTATTTACCAGATATCCATTGAATTTTATTATCACCAATGAATTGAACATGATATTGTCGTTCTTTCATACAATCATCGTTGAGTCCTTTCCCCGACTCGGAGTTACTTGTCTCAGACCTGACTATTTTAGTGAAGAACTTGAAATGCGGATCTTGCACAACTACTGCAGGATAGAAACAGGAGTTAGGAAGCCGGCACCAAACTAGATCTCCGAGATGAAAAACACCAGAGTCTCCAGATTCTTTTCTTCCCTCGGACTCTCCACTCTCCGGAAAATTCCATTTCTTGGGAGGTTTATTAAGGTTTCTCCCGAGGAATCCGTCCTTGTCCTCTGTCTTGTCCGAAGCCGGAGGCAGGACAACGGACTCTGAAGGAGTTGAGTCCTGCTCCGGCATTTTTTCAATCTCCTCCGAGTCCCAGGCCGAGGACACATTCAAGCACTTGTTGTTATCCATCTTAAAATGTGTCATGAAGTGCTTACCAACAATTTTAATGATGTGTTTTCTTCACCATTCTCTCAGAATATATCTGAAATACAAAATATTCTTTAAATAGTTTCTATTTAGTTTTTTTAGATCATATGATAAGTTAGACAATTGAAGTTGGCCACAGCACTCGGTCTAGAAATGGGAATAAGACAATCCAGTGTACACACTCGCCCTGAACAGAAAGAGGCTTGTTTTAAGGGATATAACTGGTATGCCTTTGTGACCTCTTAGCTCCTCTAGTTTTAATTTTATTAAATGAAATAATATAATAGATTTTGTTTGTCACACACAAGAAAGTAAAAAAATTTTAGATTTTCTGAGAAACTCTACAATAAGAGTAAATATTGATTGAAAACGTGTATAAATGGCGTTTTTTAATATACATAGCAAGGGTTTATACTTGCTAGCAAAAACTAATAAGATTATTAATTCCCAGCTATAGAGATCTTAGAGAAAACAGGGTCTATCCTGGTGAACGATTTCTGGACCCCCCCCCCCACATAACAATTTTGTAAAATTTCAACAATTTAAACAAAATTCATATTTTATTTTATTATTTCAGGGTTAGGTTAGTTTAGGACGAAACATTTTCAATTCAAGTTATAATTGTGTATTGTTTTAGGGTTAGGTTGGGTTAGGACAACTTCTGGGCCGAGCGCTGCGGCTAAGACAGGCTAGGTGGTTGAGCGCTGCGGCCCCACTACTGAGCCGCGGAGAGAACAGACTAGGGGGCCGAACGATGCGGCCATGACTTATTATTTAACAACTTAGCAATGAAATTTCATGTAGATTTGGGGATGGGGGGTGGGGCGGGGTCCAGAAATATAGTTCTCTTTGAAATTAACGAAAAAACAAATTTAAGCGCCGATCACAAAGATAAAGATCAGCAAAAATAAATGATATGGGGGGGGGGGAGGAGGGGGTTTGTCATAAAGAACGATTTTTAGACCTACCATCCCGCCCCCTCTTATCAATTTAGAACATGACCACTACTTTACAGCTAAATTATTATTATTTATTTTGTATTCTTTTAGGGTTAGGTTAGTTTAAGACATTTTATGGGCCGAACGCTGCGGCTAGGACAGGCTGGGGGGGCCGAACGCTGCGGCTAGGACAGGCTAGGGGGCCGAACGCTGCAGCTAGGAATAGCTAGGGAGTCGAGCGCCGCGCCAAAGACAGGCTCAAGAGCCGGGCGCTGCGGCCACATGACCAATTATATTCATGTGTTGCATGAGATCCATGTACAAAATTGATAGGAGGGGGTCCAAAACTAGTTCTCTAGAAAGTTACCGGGGGGGATAGACGAGAAATCGTGCAGTTTCGAGAAAATCGGGGGTCCAAATCGTTCACTAGGAAATTACCGCGTTTACATTTAACTGACAATTAAACGTCAACAAGTCAATAAAGTTGGCAACGATTGATTGATTGAATTCAGTTTATTTCTTTAAAGCATCTTAAAATATGATTGTAAATCAGTTACCACGGTAGAAACAATTGTGAAGAGAAATTTGTTGTTTGGATTACTATTAGAATCGGAGTAGGCCGGCCATGCCAGTTTTTCAGCTGTTTAACATGAGGATGGTGCAACAAATTATTGTTTGAAAGTATTTTATCTAGAATTCTAATAAACTTTTTATGAAAAAAGCATCTATTTGTGTTGTACGAATAATACAATAGCTCAAAAAGGTAAAATAAATTATAAAAAGTTAGAAAAGGTCAAAGTTGCAGCTTCTCTGGTGCGCATGCGTAAATTCCAAAACATTCTGTACGCAAGCGATATGGCTTTAATCTTGCCCTGCATTTACAAATATATATACGTATACTAGACATTAAATGAATTAGTACTGAAACCTGAGAAGTTTTCTTGCAATTTTTTGAATATTTGAATTTATTTAAAGGATAAAGTGGGGGGGGGGGGGGGGGGTTCGCCGCTTGCAATTTTGAAGCTGTCGCTACTGTGCAAATATGAGACATGAGTCAGGCTTCTACGTTTTATTACAATTTCTAAGATTTCTAATTACGAAACTATTCAAAACTGAGTGAAGTTGATAGAACAGGCTATAGGGCGAAAAGGATCGGCAAAGAAATAAATAATGAAATTCACATGAACTTCGGTAAATATAAAAAAAGCATGTGAATGTTAATTTTAGGGCCAAATAAACTTGTTATGATAAATATTTTTTTATCGACATTTTGAGAATTCTAAAACCAAGACCTTTTCAGGATTCATTGGAAAATTAACATTCATATTTCAGATTTATTGAACATAGGAAGTATGTGGACTGTGACGGTGAAAACATTAGATTCACAAAATCACAAGTTTGACGATGTTGATCCAACTCAGACTGTGGCAGAGTTTAAATCAGTGATTGCTGAGAAAGTGAAAGTTGATGCTAGCCGCCAAAGACTTATATTTTGTGGCCGGGTTCTTCAGGATAATCAGAAGCTTAATGATTATGATGTGAACGGACGGGTTATTCATCTAGTTCAGCGTCTCCCCCCTGGAGCAAACCAGGGGCCTGATAGGGTTGCGGAGAGTGAAGCAAGAGCATCAAGCCGGGGTCCGTCACCCTCTCCTAGAGGTAGGATTGAACATATTCATGTACATACGCAAGATATACCATTCCCACAGTTCCTCTCCTCTCCGAGTGGAGCTGTCGGTCACTCGAGTCCCTTGGTTAGACTAAATGTAGCTAGAGAGATGTTGGTCCAAGCAAACAGGAATCTGGATAGATTAGATAATCCTATTGCTGTCAGAGAAGAAGCAGACCTACCTGGAGCAAATATATCTGAACCTGATGTTGAAAGCCCCCTGGGGGAACATGTTCATGGAGAGATGGGGTTTGCTGCTGGTCCTATTCATATTGAGATGATGAGTATACCTGTCACAGCTGATGGAGCTGTTGTAGGAGGAGCAGGAGCTCAACCTGGGTTTGCTGAAGCACTTTCTGCCATGTTTACCGGAATGGGGCCTAGACCAGGGCAGGGAGGAAGTCCAAGAAGAATGTCATTTAGATTCGAAAACGGAGTGATGGTTCCAAATAATGGGACTCCTGGAGCTTCAACTGGGAATGGAGGAGCTGCTTCTCCAGCCTCCAGTACAGCTAATACTTCAGCCACAAGAGGTTCATCCACACCATCACAAACTACAGCTGCTACAACAGCTTCTACTGCTACGCCTCTTCTAGCTAGTGGTGCAACAGGAGCTAGTAGTTCTACTCCCTCAGCAGACAGTGTTGCTTCATCTTCAGAAACTAGTAGTGCCACTCCTACAGGAGCTAGTGGGTCTACGCCTCCTGGAGCTAGTGGTTCTACATCTCCTGGAGCTAGTGGTTCTACATCTCCTGGAGCTAGTGGTTCTACACCTCCTGGAGCTACGGGAGCAGATGGTGAAGGTGCCGGATCAGGTTTAAGAATCAGACATCCTCCTCCCGAGGTTTTGGCTGAAGTTCTAGAAGAATATCAGAGAACCAACGCCAGGTTGGTTGTTCATCAAAATAATCTTATTCCTTTACTCCGAGCTGATGCTGTTTATTCAGAAGAGGAAACGAATGTGCACCAAACCATGTTTAATCTTGTTTCTCAAACAACACATTTTTTATCCCATGCTCAGCACGCTATGTCTGATATAATGTTAAACTTCTCTCGACCTCCTCCGAGACAGCTCCGAGCTCGACTCTTCGTAATACCATCTATTGTACACTCCGCCAGGGTTCACGCTGGACCTGTTATCTCCGTGACCGCTGGAGAATCTGCCCGAGGTACGGGCAGAACTTCAACATCAACGAATACTTCTACCAGTACAGCAACATCAACATCAGCTCCTGCTCCTACTGCTTCTGTTTCTTCAGCAACGTCTACATCTACAACAACAAGTAGTACCGCAAGACAACGCACAGCAAGGATGTCTACTGGTGGAAGGGCTCCTGGTGGACAGGCTCCAGGTGGTGCTAGTTTTACTGTCAGGGCAACTCCTCATCCGGAGCAGATGACGAATGGTATTCATACTCTGGTTCAGAACGCTCTCCAGCAGGCTTTTAGATCAGTCCCAACCTCGACCTCATCTACGCCTGGTCGAAGAGGAAGTACTCCAGGCGTACCTTCAACAGGAGCAACTACATCAGGAAGCTCCGCTAGTAGACCACAGATGGGACATTTTAATATACCGTTAACTCCACAGATTGCTTCAATGGGTAACATGAATTCTTTTGATCCATTCCTACAGTGCAGTTCTCATCATATCCCTAACAACAGGAGTCCGTTGGGAGCCAGAGTCTCTTCTAGAACTAGACCTGGTAGATCTGAGCCGGGAAGCGCAGGAGCTAGTAGAACATCTTCTCTAGACCGACGTTCTACTATAAACCGTGCTAGAACTGCCCCTACTCTCGGCAGCTCATGGATAACTTCGGGAACCACGTCGAGCACACCTTTAGATATTTCTCTTGGAGGTTTATCCGGTACAGCGGGTTTGCCTGGAGTAGCTGGAGTACCCGGAGTACCTGTTCTAGACGCTCAAAATATACCCGTCGAACTTGCAGACATAGGCAATATCTTTAGTCAGATTTTCGGAGGTTCTACGGAGTCACCGAACCAGGATGATATGAACGTGATGAACGTTGTCCAAGGGATAATGGGCCAGGTTATCAGTTCTCTAGGTGGACAACAGGAGTCAAGGACAATAGCAGAGTTCCTCAATACTCTTCCAGACTACAACTATGTCGAGGGAGAAAGTTTAATCACGGATCTTCTCATGACGTTGGCTCAGCACATGAACTTCAGTGTAAGTAGTTTGATAATAAATATTTCCTGGCTTCTCTTTTATAAGTATTATTTATGTCTGAATGTTAAGGATTTGATGGGCGTGGTTGGACGGAACCCGAGCAGTTACGGAGGACTTCAGGCTCCGCTCCAGAGGTTTATTCGTCAGAGGATTCTAGAAGGGAAAGAGGCTACACGAGAAAACCTTCAGACCTGTCTCATCAACATCATGGATGAATGGTATCCAGAGATGGTGAGAACCTAAACTTTATCATATTTATATTTCATTTAAAAAACCTTTTGGATTTATATTAGCTTTCTCTAAATTTTTATCAATACTTATTTCATAAAAATCATAATACATTTTTTTAATGTTCGAATAAGATTGATCTTACTGAAAACAAATTTGATGGGTTGTTAATACTGTAATTTAAGATTTTTCTTACTGATATTTTATTTTAATTATTTCATGATTGCACTCTCTCCAACCTTACTATCAATCTAGATTATAACAATAAGTCCTTTTTGCCAATATATATTGAATACAACATCTTCAAATGGCTAATTTTCTCTTTTAAATGTTTATTAGGCGTAAATTAGCTTGGTTTTTATATTAATTTGAAAATGTTAAGGAAAATGCAACGTCTGCCGTGAATATCCGAGATGATATTGTTTATTCTGAAACTGCACATAGATTCCTCTCCGATAGACCAATGGATCTGTTGAACCTGATCATGGAGGAGGACAACGAGTCCTTCCAGGCCAGGGTTGGACCTCTCCTCCGTCTTATTGCAGCAGAGGGAACAGCTCTGTCTCTCCACTGCTTTTCCGACGGACAGGAGAGTTTAGAAAGACTCGTACAGAACAGGTATATTTAAACGTAATTATATTTGCCTAAAAATAGAATATGAGCAAAAACGCCATTTTTATAAGATACAAGGAAAGAAATGAAATACTTAAAAGCAAGAATGTTTGTATCAGACTTAAGATTTTAAAAAGATGTTTATATATTTCGATGAATTGAGCATTCCGAGCTCTCAACTTTTGAATTGACGGAACTAATTTAAATTAATAAGAAACTAGCCGGAGGACCCGGCATTGCCCATAGAACTTTTTTTTTAGAAAAAACAAACAAATTTTGAATAATATTTCAGTCCTTTCGGTCCAGCAGCTTGGCCGGCTGTAGGAATTATATATAGTATACTGCCCATGGAAAAATAAATAATAAATATTTTGAAAAAAAAATTTTAAAAAAGAAGAAAAAATATTTGATTTTTTAACCCCAGGGCTACCCATGAGTGTCCACAAAAAATTTCAGCCCATTTTGTTTAACAGCTTGGCCGGCCAGAGGGAACATAAACATGAATTTCTTCTTTTATTTTATAAAAGATATATATTTTAGGCTTAGTGCATTAGCTCATGATATTGGACCTATGATTCGTCAGTGGACGACAGGTTCGGCCATAAATCATCTTCGCGGGTTCGTCACTGGTGTCCACGTAGAACTGGACGAGGTTAGACGATTTATTGTTCGTCGGGAATCCATGGAACAGTACGCTGCGGCTAGAGCATCTAGACGAGCAGGACGTATTCCCGTTCCAGATTCTGGTTCTCAGATGGAGGTGAGGACAGAGGGATCTCCGGCTACAATGGAAGTAGACCAGGAGGAGGTAGGAAATAGAGACATGACAAAATATTACATTTTGAAATTATTGGGCCATGAAGAACATCTTAAGCATTTAAATACTCCTAGGGGTAAAAAAGTATTTAACTGGTCTTATTATAAACTATTGTCAGAATTATTTACATATACATTAAAAGGAAATATCGTTGTTATTTCAAATGACGATGCATTTAAACAGGACAATGCCCGAATTACAACAGTAGCCATTTAAACCTAAATCAAGCTTTAAAATTGATCAATTCTGAACGTTTCGTTCATTTTTCCTGTAATAAAAATTCTCAAGTAAATTTTTACCTAAACCAAAGTTGAAATTAAAATTTTCAAATAGATAAAAACGTGGAAAACGCATTTTTTCTTGACTGGACAAAGGTGAATCGTGCAATGCTACTTTGGAAATGGAAAGTCACTTGAAAATACTTTATCATCTTTATCATCTTTATCATCTTTATCAAGACAGTTTTTTTACTTGGCCACATGAACATTTGCAAAGAAACAATAGACGTAAATTTAACATACTTCATTACTCAATCAACTCTGTTTTTAGTTTCCAGTCGAAGATGCTCCAATGGTTTCTATGGAAGTTCCAATAATTCCTGAGAACGGAGCAGTCCCAACCTTTCCTGCGTCCCTACTCAATGTACCCCTTGAAGTAGGGGAAACAGATGCCGAGGGATGGCAGGGTGCTGTACCACCTGAATGGGTTCCTATTATATCCCGGGATTCAAGACAAGTTGCTCCACGTCCTCTTCCCTATAGTGATGCATATATTAGCGGTCAACCTTCCAAACGGAGAAGATTAAACCATGAGAAGAAACCTCGAGGAGACACTATTAACCTTATTTCAGAAACATTAGAGGTACAGGGTGTCTAAAAAACGGGGAATAAGAGTCTACAGACTCGTGTGTAATAGGATTTTCAAGATTGAGACTATTTTTAAAATATATTTACAATTTCCGATTTAATAAGCCCAATTTTAGGTTACAGTTTATGACAGCATAAATGTTATTTTTAGATCTACAAGACTAAAATTGGGCTCATTGAATCGGAAATTGTACGTAGATATAAAAAAATTGTCTCATTCTTGAAAATCCGATTACAAACAAGACCTCTTGCAAACGGAGATTATCTTTATTTTTACCAAATTTACTCACTCCAGTTGGAAACTTTTGGAGCCTATAAAATTGTTATTTTTAGATCTACAAGCATAAAAATGGGCTTATTGAATCGGAAATTGTAAATAGATTTCAAAAATGGTCTCATTCTTTAAAATCCGATTACAAACGAGTCTGTAGACCCTTATTTCCCGCCTTTTGAGACACCCTGTATATTTTTCTTAGGTTAAGTTTAGTTTCAAGATAGTTTAAGTTTCGAGTTAAGAAAGTTTAAGTTTAGATTCAATATACAAGTTCAGATTCAAGATAGTTTAAGTTTAGATTCAAAAAAGTTTTTTAGGATTATGTGATAAATTTTAAAATAGTTTAAGCTATTTCTAGTTCAAGTTTAGATTTAAGATGGCGCAGCTCAGGTTTTAATTAAATATGATTAAAGTTTTATATTCAATTTCAGTTTAAGTTTAGATTTAAGATGGTTAAAGTTTCATTTAGTCGAACTTTGGATCTAAGATAGTCTAAGATAAAATTGGTTTGGGTTAAATTTAAGACTGTTTTTCATTTGGATGCAAGATGTTTGTTTTGATTTAAGATGATTTAAGAGTTCAGAATGAACTGGTTTTGTTGCAGGAAGCTGTAGAGAGCAGTGGAGTATCTCCAGTCCGTGGTCTAGATAATTTACTTAGTTCCGCTAGTTCTAGTTCTTTACTCCAGGATGCAGTACAAGATTTAACCACAGATACCATACAGGTTATTATTATTATTAGCATTAAACCTACAGTCAAAGTATCATGTCCTGCAGAATATGTTTAATTTTAACCAATTTTGTAAGCAAGATATATTAACATGCTGATTGTAAAGAAAGCTTTAGAATTGGAAGGATGAATAAAAGATAGGATGAATGGAAGGTTAAAAGAATGAATAAATAAAAGGCTAAAAGGATGAATGAATGAAGGTTAAAAGGATGAATGAATGAAAGGTTAAAAGAATGAATGGATGGTTAAAAGAATGAAAGGATGGTAAAAAGAATGAATGAAAGGTTAAAAGAAAGAATGAATGAAAGGTTAAAAGGATGAATGAATGAAGGTTAAAAGAATGAATGAAAGGTTAAAAGAATGAATGAATGTAAGATTATAAGCATGAATGAATGAAAGGTTAAAAGAATGAATGAAAGGTTTAAAGAAAGGATGAAAGGTTAAAAGGATGAATGAATGAAGGTTAAAAGGATGAATGAATGAAAGGATAAAAGAATGAATGAATGAATGGGTGAATAAATGAATGAATATAAATTCTGAAATATTTTCCCTAGTATTTTTATTTTATTGAGCTGAGAAGATATTTTCTCGAATATTATATTATAACATATTCAGGCTTTTGTTTAATATTGTGTAGACTGGTCCTGAAGTCGCAATAATATTGCAATGTAAATGTACACAGCTTTTTCATAATTTTCAACATTTATTATTAATAAGTAACAAATTTTTTATTTAAAATTGCACGGTGTAGAATAACCATATAATATCTGGCTGATTAGTTATTATTGCAAAAATGTTAAAACATACTATTGTTTCGTATTTCAATAAAAATTAAATTTAAAAACCATATTTTTTTAAAAAAGTTGAGAAATAAGCTAGAATTCAAGGATAGGGATAACGTACTTTAATTTTGTTCGAGTCAGGTGCCCGCTTCTCTTCTACTTCTAAGTAGTATATTTATATAAACCTAGTTTTGTTTCAAAATTTGCGAGTGTAACCATATATAATGTCAAATAGTGTCAATTAATCGAAAGTGGGAAATTTTGTTTTCCAACCCTGCTTAGTAATAATTTACATCCTTCCTCTTAAATCAAGGTCTTTAAATTGCGTAGAAAGCGTTAGAATTGGCTTGACATGAGCGTGGGTTCTGAAAATAGTTTATCTCAATAAGTGATCAAACTATTTAGAGGGTTAAAAGGATGCACATAACCTTAACCCTAAACAGGCTGGGGGGGGGGGCGCTTAGCGGCCCCCTTTAGTTTTTTGCCCTCATTGCACTCATTTTTCACACCCATCACAGTGAATTTTTTTTTACTTAATAGAAAGAAATTTAAATGATCTTTGTTAAATCTTTTTTATACATAGTGCAACCAGTTTTAGTGTCAGATTATGGTTTCGCTCTCCGGAAAGTTTTACCCTCTTTTGAGACACTTCAGGCCACATCATTTAATCAGTATCTTGTTGGAAAAATCTTGACTTTAAAGAGTGATCCGTATTAACTTTTTTCCGGTTTGTTGGGAGCGATTCTTCTCGACAAATGTAGTTTTTCAAATCCCTCTTCATCAATCTTTTTTTGTGTAAACTTTGTGTTTTATTAGTTCTACTCGTTCTACGGTTAAAGAGAAACCTTATGTCAAAGAACATTTTAGTCAAAAGTTTTCTTCGATTTTAGGGAAAGGGTATTTTTTACACTCATTGTCAACTTTAAAGAAAACATTCAAGCGATCTTGTTTATCAGTTTATGTGACGTTAAAATACAGATGTTACGGATAGCTTATTATGTGAAATGGGTCTGTGTCAAGATTGTATAATAAGGTTGGTAATTCTCGATGCGCTCTAATGTACGGAAAATATAGTCTCCTAAGATTGAAAGAAAAAACCTCACATAACGAAATAAAAACCAAATATGATGTCACCTGGCCCCTATAAGCAGTGACGTCATAAGAGGGGTTTAACTATTTTTTAATTTCACAGTAACCAACCTTATTGTACAAACTTGGTCTGTGTATACTTCATTGGACTAGTTCATAAGTTGAGTGAGAAATCATCTTCCTATTCCACAATTCTATAGGTCCTACTGTAAGAAATCAAAGACTTTTTTCAGTAACCTCTTACTTTTCATGTTTATTGGGAAAGCTTGTACTGGGACAAAATATGTACATTACGTCACTGTGTTTAAAAGTGAAATGTTTCATTCTCTTCGTTCCGAAGACTAAATATTACGCAGTTGCTGAGGGGAAACTTCTGAGGCCATTCCTTCCACAAACTACATTGGTCGACAACTTGACGTCTCCTATATTGGTCGTCAAATGTACGGAGAAATATCTATCAAATAAGAGAGACATCTAGCGGCCAACATATATCGTCCCCAAAGTACGCGAAGTACACGACCACTTTCTATGGAGAGAACGGGCTCCGAGGTACTACTGACAAATAAATAGTGTCAAGACTTAATTGAGTTATTTTCGACTGGCATGTGTCAAGTTGACCAACATTTTTAGATTCCAAGTTATGTAAATTATATTTTCAAAAGATTTTCAGGAAAGTAATACGAGGTCCCAAAGTCGTACCTCTAACGTGACATATTGATTATTGATCTTCTCTTTAGTGGAGTGTATACATTGTACATTAATTAGGAATACAATTTATAGATATGAAACACCATTTATCAGTCTTATGTGAAGCCTTTGGACAACACAACAAGGAAACCTAGCTTTAATGTTGATCAGAAACTAAATAAAGGGTTAAAACTATTATACATTTACAGTGTCTATAAAAAGTCCCGTAGTAGATAGACCATTTTAGACAAAAAATTATTTATAAAAGATGTCGGATCTATATTCGATAACGACTGCAAAATAAATAGCTATGCAATTTAAGATGGATAAGATTTAATTGAAAACATAACAAAACAACATAAATATTCTAAAAAATATCAAAATAAATATCCAAGGTTTGAATTTTTATATCTCTGCAATGAATCTGTTTTGTTTGTGAAGTTGAATAACGATGTAACAAGGTTCGTTTAGTCTCAAAATCTAATTCCGTTTCATCTGAACATACCGGCAAACTTTCTTCGGGGCAACAAACCCTGAAATAATTGCATCCATTTTAATAAATGAGAATTAATTAAATGATATTGTTGGTATTGGTAAATTTGATAACCTAAATATTTATTTTTATATAAAAAATAATTTTAATGTCAGTCAGAATTTTTTAGTCTTTCTTTTTCAAATATGACAACCTGCCAAAGTTTGTCTTAATCGCTCTTATTTTCATAAATAAACGACATTTGTGAATCGTTTAGGACAATTCTTAATTGTAACACGGAAAAACTGATTATAAAAACCTGTTTATCGAGTAGACCGAGTTCAATATCATTGAAGCTGGGTAGTTTCTTCAAGGTTCCAATTCCTGCCAAACTAACTTTAGACGCGAGCATTTTCTCTCCGATTCTGTTAATATCGTCCCGGGTAACACGGTCGATTAGATGGATAAAATGTTGAGGAGGTTTTCTATGTCCTTGAGCCAGAACCTGTCTAAACAAATATTCATAAACAAACAACTTAAATAACTTAATTTTTATTTTTACTTTTATACGACACTTAATTCTTACTTGATTTTTATGATTTAGGGTATAAAATCAAACAACTAAAACAACTTAAGTTACTACTACCCTTTTTTGTATTTATTAACTCATTTCAACTGTTTTTATATTTAAATGTGTTTTTAAATTGAAAACAATTGGTGGCAAAAAGTATATTTTTTTTGTTGCATATCCTTGTTAATTTAAAAAAGGTAAGCCAGTCTTTAGAATTATTGAAATGTATCCTTAAAGAGACAGTTTCCTATTGTTACAATGGAAAACTTTTTAGAATTTAACACTTTTCTGTTCAGAAAAATGACATTATCTTTCACATTTTTGATTACATTAAGGTTTCAAGGGAACCGCTGTAAATTTGGAATTATTATCTTTGCGCTAGTCCCTTCAAATCCAAAATTTTGACCAATTGCAAAATCTTCCTCTATAGTTTAGATTTAAAAAAGTACCTTGCAACATCCTCGAATATGACTGGTCTAGACTCTAGGTTCATTAACAGCATAGATTTAAGCTGAGTTTTAGCTCGGTTAAGTTCAGAATCTGATATTTGTCCTGTGATTGCAACCAATTCACGAACCAAAACCTAACAGAAATCTTTTTAAATCGTGGAACTTTTAATCTCCGAAACTAAATATTTAAATATCGTCATTTTATCAAATAAATTACCATTTCTTCAAAAGGCGTTTTTTTTCATAGAATTTCCTCTGTAGCTTAAAAACCCTTGATATACATTGTATTTTGTATATCAAGGTTTCTTGTAAATGTGTTAGAAGTTGTTTACAACATACCTGGACTAGGTCCCCGAGCTGGGATGGATGTGCTGACGCATTTATGCAAAATATTCCAGAATCATTGTACGCATGATTGTACGCTGTAGCACTATACATCCAGTGATACCGATTCAGTACGTGCGTATACAATCTAAAAAATGTAATATTTAAAATAATTTAAAATACATGTAAAACAATCGAAATATACACATTGAGAACTACTTTAAAAGATATTAAAACAACTTCACTACCAACAAATCCTGTTCAGAACTCTCCCGAAAGCAGTTAAAAAAAAACCCCGCCCTATAGAAATAATAAAAAAAGCCAATTGATAATTCAAATTGCAATTTAAAAAGTTCTTAAATAATATTTTTAATAATCAAACCTTGTATACATCCCCTTGCCCGGTCCTCCAGCTGAGAATGAACCTCCTCCTCCCATCAACATGTTGAGAACACAGAAAGGTATAAAGTCTGGATCCTGGTGTCCTACACTCTGTAGACCCAGGACAACATGTCCTAGCTCTGGCATAGGAGTAGGACCCAGTGATACAGAGGACAGATCCTTCTCAACCAGGCAGTGTCCTCCTGTATACTGAGCAACGGAGGAGTCAGTGATGATTTTAGTGAGGTTTTCTTTAGCCCAGATTGGAGGTTTATCAACAAAATATTTCTGAACGTGTTCGACTAGATGATCATGATCCACTCCTACTCCTGCTACAACCGTTCTCTCAGGTCTGAAAAACATAAAGTACATTTTTAAATATGAAATTATTAAAATTCACAACGATAATTTATTTATAGCTAATACGTCAATAAATTTGTTTAAAATCCGCCATATAGGCCATACTGAAGGACATTTAAGAGATGAGGTTGAACCTGTGGAAGGCGGAGATGTAAAAGTAAAAGGTTTAACCTGGGGAAGGCGGAGAGGTAAAAGTAAAAGGTTTAACCTGGGGAAGGCGGAGAGGTAAAAGTAAAAGGTTCAACCTGTGGAAGGCGGAGATGTAAAAGTAAAAGGCTTAACCTGGGGAAGGCGGAGATGTAAACAGTAAAAGGTTTAACCTGGGGAAGGCGGAGATGCAAAAGTAAAAGGTTTAACCTGTGGAAGGCGGAGAGGTAAAAGTAAAAGGTTTAACCTGTGGAAGGCGGAGAGGTAAAAGTAAAAGGTTTAACCTGTGGAAGGCGGAGATGTAAAAGTAAAAGGTTTAACCTGTGGAAGGCGGAGATACAAAAGTAAAAGGTTTAACCTGGGGAAGGCGGAGAGGTAAAAGTAAAAGGTTTAACCTGGGGAAGGCGGAGATGCAAAAGTAAAAGGTTTAACCTGTGGAAGGCGGAGAGGTAAAAGTAAAAGGTTTAACCTGTGGAAGGCGGAGATGTAAAAGTAAAAGGTTTAACCTGGGGAAGGCGGAGAGGTAAAAGTAAAAGGTTTAACCTGGGGAAGGCGGAGAGGTAAAAGTAAAAGGAAGGCGGAGAGGTAAAAGTAAAAGGTTTAACCTGTGGAAGGCGGAGATGTAAAAGTAAAAGGTTTAACCTGTGGAAGGCGGAGAGGTAAGAGTATAATGTTTTCCTACTGATGGATCCAATATTCTCCTGAGGACAGATCTTAGGCAGACCCAGAGTATTTCCTCTGGAAAACATAAAAACAATCTTTTTGTTGAAAATCCATACTTTTGTCAGGTGGACTGATTAAGTTAGCCAATAGTCAAAGCAAATTTTGAGTTTGAAAAAACCCTACATTGGGTTTCTGAAATATGTAGTACTGGCTTAGGAACCCAGCTTTGCCTAGGAACTAAATGTTCTCTTAAAAATACTTAAAATTTAAAACATTAAAAACATTCCCATGGTTCTACCGAGTTCCCCATTTAAAACTTGATGCTTATTGGTCCACGGGTCCATGAGTTATGATCGGACAGGCAGACTGAAACAGAGATAACTACTTTATATTATTATGTAGATATAGATACGGTGATTACAATGATGATGTAACCAAAAACTAAGTTTATGTTCCTGAAAGCTGCAGCATGAATCTGTTCTACTAGGAGAGGTTCCTGATCAGGACGCATCCCTAGATCCTCCAGCTCAAACCTGATCATCATCTCACACATCTCCATCTCCTCGTCTGTAAAAAGAGGTCGGAGGACAACCTCTCCAAGGATTTCAATGGTCTCCTCCAACCCCCGGCTATCCACACTAGAAGCGTACAGGAAAATGTCCCTGAAACAATTTAAATTTCAAGAAGATTATTTCAAAACTCTAATGAACTCTTTTATTTCGACTGCGAAGATCCTAGTTAGTAAGTGAGTAATATAAAGTTAAAACATCATGTCACCATCAATGAAAAAGTACACGAATTCTACAGGATGCCGTAAAGGTTTCTGAAGTCTTTTTTTATGATTTTTAAAAGTTTATGAGTAAGTCATAGTTTATGGCTTTTGGTCCGGAGGAGGTCTTTTTTCAAATGCATAAAAAACCCTAACTGACTTTTTCGGGTCACTCTAGTTTATTCATGACAAAGATTTCTCTTGTTAACTTATACTGTATCGTGAGGCAACGCGAATTAATCCAGTAAACATTGGACATGCTTTCGTTCTAATTTCTTTGATTAATTATCACCTTGTGGATTGACAATCACAGATTCCTCCAAACTGTTCAAGTTTATGCAAGATCTCGTCTTTGCTATTAAATTTAGATGTTGCATTGAAGGCGAGTTTCTCCAGGTAGTGAGATATACCGCTAGGGAAGGCAACTTCATACCTGAATAGGTAAACAATTAGGAGACACTCACAGGACAAAATCCGGAAATGAAAACAATATTCTGGAAAGACACTAAATAAATATTATAACATACCTGGACCCAGAGTCTATGCAGACTCCTACAGTACAAAACTGTCCATATTTGGGCTGAGAGGCAACCCTGATACCATTCTCCAGGGTTGTAACCTATACAGTATACAATATATTTAGGATGAGAGGCAACCCTGATAACATTCTCCAGGATTGTAACCTATACAGTATACAATATATTTAGGATGAGAGGCAACCCTGATACCATTCTCCAGGATTGTAACCTATACAGTATACAATATATTTAGGATGAGAGGCAACCCTGATACCATTCTACAGGGTTGTAACCTATATAGTATACAATATATTTAGGATGAGGGCATCCCTGATACCATTCTCCAGGGTTGTAACCTATACAGTACACAATATATTTAGGATGAGAGGCAACCCTGATAACATTCTCCAGGATTGTAACCTATACAGTATACAATATTTTTTTGCTGAAAAGCAACCCTGATATTATTCTCAAGGGTTAGAACCTATAAAGTATACAATATATTTAAAATTCGGCGATGGTGATGAAAGGCAACCCTGATAACATTCTCCAAGGTTGTAACCTATACAGTATACAATATGTTTAGAATGAGAATCAACCCTGATGATATTCTCCTGGGTTGTAACCTATACAGTATACAATAAAATTATGCAACCGTAGACGCAACTGTGATACTATTCAAGGGTCCTGTACACTAATACACAATAAAGATAAAACTAGACTTTAAGGGCGCCTCGTGCCCATCTTGGATTTTAATTTAAATAATTTCTCAAGTTTAGCTATTTTTGGGGTTGATTTTAAAATATCGGATTTTTTTTAAGGCAAATATCTTAAATTATGACCATCCATAACCCTTCCCTTGAGTCATGAGAGGTCCCCCAAACAAACAAATTTAGATATAGTCTGCTGTAATGTTTTCCTTTTTTATCAAATCATACTTTGCAGGCATGGCTTCAGGCTCCTAAATAAGTGTTTGAGTTTAAAGTCTATCCCACATTCGGGGTTTTCAGCCCGATCTCTACCAATAAAATGTTGTTATTTTCTTAAAGTTGTTACATCCCCTGATATTATTATTATTATTATTAAAGGACAACCCATCATTCAATGAAATAGGGGTCGGCGCTCCTGATATAGGACAAAAAATTAAGTAATTTAGTAAATTAAGTATACATTTTCATTAAGTGTCCTTTTTTCTTAAGAAAAAAATCAAACAATTAAAATGCTAACCTACGACAGATTTGTATTGAGATAATAAACTTATCGATATAATTATTTTTGTTGGTTTTGTTTATGATCAATATTCGTTCTAGTTATCATTCCACCTTAGTATCCGGAGAGTTACGTTCCGCTTTAATAAAAGCGGCAACATTGAGTCCAGGTAAGGGTTCGGACAAAGAGGTTCTTGCTGCCACAGACTGGGTTGATGTCGGTGGGGCAGTGTTCCGACTTCGACGACAAACCCTCTGTGTTGTACCCTTAAAGCTCGGCGAAAGTATTGTCTGCACAGCTCTCTGAAAACTCATTGTTCTGAAAATCGAGGGAAATCGGTAAAAGCGCAGATAATAGTTTAATAATACGATATAAATGGCAAACAATGGATTAAATAGAACATTATGGAAAAATTAGCAGTGTTACATTAGAACACAATTATGTTCCTGAAAGCTGCAGCATGAATCTGTTCAGTTCGGATAAAAATTGAGGTTTATCAACTTGTAGGAGCACATTCCTTAACTTGACCCTTTAAACTCTATAACATTAAAAAGAAAAAAAATGAAGAATTACTGGACTCTTTTTAGCCATTCGGATGTATTGTAATGTACAACGTGCATGCGTAATAAAATAAAATAAATGTAAACCTGGCATGCTCTCCATGGAATGAATGCAGAACCTTGTGATGAACCAGATCAAACACTTTTATATCTCCGTCAGCAGATCCTGAAAACAAGGTATATTTGATATTTTTACAATGAGAAACTTAAATAATGAAAACGTCTTAAACTTCTGCTTAGAGCAGAAAACTTTAGAATTGGATATCAAGATCGATGCTTGATCTCTTCTTTTTACTCATCTGCAGATTAATATAATCTTAAATTAATATCTGAGAATGTGTCTCATCTGCAACCAATCGGAGCCTTGATCGTAGAAACCGAACAGCCAATCAGGAGCCAAGAAAATTTAAACTTTGGTGCGCGATTAATGAGAGAACTCTCATTGGTCCAAACCCAGCAGTGATATAAAAAAGAGAGGATTAAGCAGAAAATCTAAAGTGTCGACAGTAGATACAGATATTTAGCACTCGGGATTAGGGAATCCAATTCTAAAGTTTTCAAATAAGTTAAACTCCTAAATTCAAACTTGTTAAATGAAATGTCACCTGTAGCAAACATTGTCTCTCCGGCGTCAAGACACATAGTTTTCACCGCAGAATCATGAGCCTTGAATGCATGAAGTAGTCTGGCCTGTCTGATATCCCAGACATTGACTAAACCCTTCTTTCCAGCTGATATCAGAATCTGGTGCTGGGTAGCGTGTATCAGACTTGAGGCACCAGCCTCATGGCAACTTGAAACAAAAACACTATTGTCGCAAATAAAAGGTTTAAGAAAAGATATTAAATTGTAATATTGCACTCAACTATCATTCTTAGGAAACTCGGTTATTAGTTAAAGCATTAATACGACTAATTAAAATCATAAATAAAATATTTTCTTTATATAAAAATTCTTACTGGAATGATTGGACACAAGCTCGCTTGCTGGGCATCAATGTATCCCAAAGAGCAACATTCCTCCCGTCACTACTGTGTCCTGCACTAGCCAGTAAACTGGAACTGCCGCCCTTGATAAAACAGATCAATTAACAAAAACAAACATTTTTATATTTCTACAGACAGAGACCTTTTTATTTGGAAACTTTAAGTAATTAAACCAAAGTACAAGAGAGGTGAAAGCAGATGATCTGTACTTTTGTCCAGAGTAAACATTTCATGTAAAACTATATGTCCACTGTTAAGCTTGTTTTATCCTATATTTTATATATAGTTCTTAACTAAAACTTAAACTAAAGTTCTATTCTGTGTTAAAGCTTTGAAACTGTGTACATTGGAAGGCGTGTTGGTCGAAGAGCCGGGACGGTACATCCTAGACTTGGCCATAACTTAATACAGTTCCGTCCGTGGGGCTAACGGAGAGTGTAAAACTATAAATATATCTATTTGGTTCAAGAACTCGCCAATAAGGGAATCATGGCAGACATAAATTTTGTTAATTGTTATTAATTATTGAAAATTACTTTACAGGGAAGTTCAGGGAATTTTACTTTAACAAGGATTCCCAAACCAAATTTTAAATTTCCCAACGAAATAGTCACACACAATTTTATCGTCTTGAGATGAAAATGCGCGAAGTTTTTTTATGAAAACTTTGCTGAGTGGAATGTTATTTCACTCAGTAGTTATTTGTCACGAAGGACAGTTAAATGACTTTACATCCCGCTGCTGGGGGAATAATAGTTAGGTAAAATTTAAAATGAACCGAACCTGGAAGACTAAATCTGCGCAGTTCTTGGTAAACATCTCCAGGTTTAGATAGGGCTGAGCAGTATTGTTCGCCTGCCACAGAGAGACATTTCCGTCCCCGTCCGATACTCCGAACTTGTTTCCTTGCTCGGAGAAAACAATCCTGTTCACTCGAGCGAATACGCTGGATTGACGAACTGTGGTAACCTTTAAAAAAAATTTTTATTGTTGATTGACCAACATTTTCTGAAATAGTTTTATTTACATCCACCCCACACTATTGAAATATTTTTCTTCGTCAACACTTTGGAATTCGACTACTTATCATCAACAATGACCCCCCCCCCCCCTAAATAAACACATTTTTTCACTCAAATTTGACAAACTTGATCAAGAAAACATTTTGTGCAACAATCTAGATTGGTTAAGCTGAAGATAAAATTCGGCGAGATTTCACCAAATTCATAAAAATATCTTTTAATTCTGCTTCCTAACTAATTTTTATTTTCATTCCAAGGAAAGTATATTACTCTCCCCCGTCTTACATGTTGGTTATGTGACCACTCCCAGAGAAGAACTGAACCATCCTGTCCTCCACTAAGATAGAGAGGAAGGTGAGGATGAGCACAGAGTCTTCGAACCCCGTCCTGACGATGGCGTTTTACTACTGGAGATGTTCGAACTCCCTGGGAAACCTTAAACATAAGTTTTAATAAGCATGTCTAGAGAGTTTCTTGTTTTCAAAAAATCAATTTCTGTCGTATTTTCTAAAATCTATTTTTTTATTCGATTTACAAACTCTTTTTGACAGTAATTTATAACGCATTTGGTAAGTTTTCTTTTTTAAAAAATAACGCTTTATGATCTAAAACCTAAATATATACTTTGCTCGTCTTTATGTCTGTTTGTTTGTATCCAAAAACGTCAAAAAACAAAAGCATAAGTTCAGCTACAAGAAAACAAACAATAACTTAAAAAAGAAATATAATCCAGTTCATTGTTTTTATTTGTTATATATTAACCTGACAGGATGAGTTTGAAGGAGAAACTGATGAGTGTCCTGCTCCTCCGCTGAAACCGGAGATAAACTGGAACGGATCTCCGGGAGGAACCATGAAATTATTTCCCTAGAAATACTAGTTTAAGACAACTCAATATTTACAATGTCGTTAGTTTTATTTTTCTTGATTCCCCATTCCTCAAAAATTGTATAAACTTAACAGTGTAAAAAAATGTATTTTGTGAAACTTAAGTTGTTTTTTTTGTGTGGAAAAAAATGGGGGTTAAAGCGACAATAAACAAAGATTTACAAAATATTTGTTATGTTAATTTAAAAAGGTAAACCTTAGAAGTATGAAGTCCTGAAGCTTCTTGCATCTTGAGAATATCAAACTCTGCCTCGTCCTCCGACCTATCAGACCAAGAGGATGGGTGGAGGAGAAGAGCCATGTTAATCTCTAGAATCTCTCGAGGTGTTGAAACTGCGACTAGGCCTCCGGACACCTTGTTTAAACAGAATGCTGTCAGGTTATCTGGATCCTTGTGAATGATCTTCATCTGTCCAACAGATTCTTCATGATTAATCTCATCTCCGTTCCTGCTCTCTCTATCCTCCATCCTCATTTGAGAAATCGACATTTTCCTGCTTTTCCCAAATATGTATCGGATAAAGATGGGTTGAACACTCTCCTGATGAACAAGATATTTCCAGAGTCGTTTAATAGCTCCTAGTCCCTGACCCTTACTGGAGAACGGAGTATTAGAGGGTTCAAGCATGGCTTTATACTTGTTTATGAGAGGACCGGAGGCCTGAGCATCAGGGAAACAACCCGGGATATAATTATCCGGAGGTTTACCATCTCTCATTAACCTCTCAGTAACAACCTCGGCCCACTTTTCTGTAGTTCTCAGGCATTTGTAAACAAGAGAACTAGTTATAGGAAGCTCAGACAACTCTATACCTGCAATAGACAGGAATTTCTCAATGTTCTTCTGCGCTATACTAAGAACTGTTAATCTTAGGATTGCCCAGGAGTAACTATTTGGGTTGCTATGCTCCAAGTTTTCAGATTTTACTGGAACATTGGAGAAAGGATCATCATCTTCATCCTCTAATTCATCAATGTCGTCTTCTTGGTCCGACTCTTCGGCAGAATCATAATCCATACTGCTCATGTTTGCATCTAATGTGGGTTTGGACAAAAGTTTAGCAACAAGAGAGGATTCTGGAGGGAAGAATTCTTCTCTTGTCGCAGGTTTCCTGTTGTTGAGTGTATCCTGAGCTGAATCCTGTGGAGGGGATCCGATCTGTACATTGAGTAATTTCATGTTTAACTTTATCCTTTGCTTGGTAATATTTGTCACGGTGTTAATCCCAGAGGAGAGAATATTCTCCGCCATATCCTGACCCTCCTTCATCAGAGGAGAGTTTACGGAGGTTTCTACCTTCACAATCTTCTTACTCCCGCCTCCGAAGACTTGTGTCCAACCGTTCTGTGTTGGAACCTGACTAATCAACCTATACAGAACATGACAGTCACATGTACTGAGAGCGTAGAGAAGTAAGCTCATGTACACAGCTACATAGGTTTCACAGAGCAGTACACACAGATTGGGTGTATCATCATCCTTATCTCTATCTAGAAGAGCACGGAGAGAAGTTACTCCCGGCCATTTTGAAGGTTCGGTAAACACTTGGCTTACATCTTCCATAGCTGAGGATCTACGGTTTCCAATGGAGAACATAAGATAGGAATCTTGAACAACATTGCTGATTCTACCAATAGCATCCATTCCTGGAGCTTTCCTTAACTCCTCAGACAGCTTGGATCGACTTATGTTGTCGGAGTCGCACAAGGACTGATAAACACAAGATGAGAGAGCGATAGATAGATCTCTAATGAGAAGAATGGAAGGAAACCTACCGGAGTCTGGAGCTGGTAGAGGTTTATGACAACAGATCTGGTAAAGTATATCATGAGAGAAGGACTGAAGATAATGAACAGGATCAGTAATAACAGTTTTCTGCTGTGCAATACAAGCGGAGAGAAGTGGAAGTGTGGTTGGGAAAGGAAGTGGAGAGAGGAGCTGATGCTGGGTTTGTTCCTGCTGCAGTTCCTGGAGAAGAAGAACTAGTTCCATTCGTACATTAACTAGACCCCCGCCATTAGCTCCATGAAGACCGCAATAGCTGTGAAGAGTTCTGAGCAAGGTTTGGTTAGCTGCCAACCATTTCTTTCTCCTTGAAACTCTGAGAAGACGAGTTTCAAAATCAATCTTCTCATTCATTATTACTTGGTGCAGAGCGGGTGCTTCTGCGGAATGCTTAGATTCATCCAGAGAGAGATTAAGAGCTTTATCAGGTTCATTTGCTAGTTCTACACCGTTATAATTGCACAATTTTTTCAAAGCTTCAACTTCTTTTTCCAACCAAACATAGAGCTGATACCTGATCAAACCTCCGTCAGATTCGAACCCTGTAGCCAGGGTACTCAACTCCTCCATCATAATCTTCAAGCAGGCCGTAAACTTCATCTGCTGGGCAATGATATCTATCACTGGTTTAGATTCTGTTGCAGGAGCCGCTTCTTCAGTATGGAAGGAAACAGATTTACCCTGATTAAATAGTTTTTTCTTATCCTCCTCAAACTCGGAGTCATTATCATCATCATCCTCACTCCACTCTAGCTTCAGCTCATCGTCATCATGACCAGGTTTAACAGTCTCCGCTGGACCCCAATCCAAACCAAACTCATCAGATTTGGTCGGAGCAGTTTCTTTGGTAGGACTAACACTGCTCAAATTACCCCAATCCAGAGCATTCTCATCCAACCGTCCTGATTGCATGATATCATGATGACTTTCCTTGCTCTGCTCACGAACAACCTCCTTCTTGGTTTCTGTTACAGAAACTCTAGCAGGGAGTTTAGAGAGAACGTCTAGAGCAAGAGCAGGACACCCACCTCGTAGATGAAAGTTTGCAGTGGAGAAATATAGTTTCCTCTCTAGGGGAGAAACTGAATCTTCAATCAGAACTGATCCGCCTTCCATGCTTCCCTTCTTAAACCCGGAGAGCATTAGAGCCTTATTCTTATCCTCAGAGTTTTTACTCAGCTTGTGTCGGATAATCAACGGATGAGTTCGTAAATAAACGTAGAAATTGAAAACCATGGGATCAGCCTCTGAGGTCTTTATCGGAAGAGGATATTTCTCATCTAAGACATAACTAGGATGATCATTCCCAACATTCCTCTCCATCAGAGTGGTAAGACTAGAGTCATACTCCTTCAAGATCCAGTGTCCAATAGATCTAAGGAACGGATCAGGATGCGCCAAGTTTCTTGAATACTCTCCGGCTTCGGTAAAACCTAAAATCTTATCCTTGATAATATCCTGAACACAGACAGGATGGGTTTCAGTTACTCCATCATACAACCGACCAACTAGGATTGCCAGCTGGATATCTTCTAGCTTAGAAACAATAATCTCCATTGCATCCTTTAAGCTGCCACTGAGCAGGAAGAAAGCTGCAGCGTGCAGAAATCTTTGTTTTCCCATCAGAGCAAATGCATTTTTCAACGCTGCTTTCCTCCACCTTTCCTCATTGAAATCATTTTTGAAAAACTGCGTCATTTTATCATCCTTAATGGAACGGAATAGACCCCAAACAAGAGATTTCTTCTTCATTGCCAGATAATATAAAGCTGCGTCCAGGGGTTCCTGGTTCTTTTGAAACGAAGCTTTAGCAAGATTCTCAACAAGTTTTCTCAGAGTAACATTGCTACGGAGCCACCAGGCTACTCCAACCTCTCTCAGTTCACTCCAGGTCGGATTACCCCTGGAAACACAAGGGATTAAACTCACCAGTTCCTCCTCACTCTCGGAGTGAAATGCCCATATGATGTTACTGGAGTTAAGCCCAGCTTTTGCTACACTACTCCTCTGAGATAAGGGAAGACATCTTTGAAGATAACAATAATGCTTCATGGCCAGGAGGAAGCGAAGTCCACAATCATCCAAAGAATCAAGAGAAATTTCTCCTTTCCCAGTGCTTCCCAGGTTTGTTTCCTTTGAAATAGCTGATTTAGCCGCATCGATAGCAAACCTCTCCGCTATATCAACATTGCAGGATGCAACTGTATCCGCAAGCGCCATCAGGTGCATTTGATCCAGACTTGTAAGTCCAGGCAGCTGGGAGTGAGTTAGAAGTTTAGATAAAACCCGAGCCTGTCTTGGACCAAAAAAGGACAATCCTTGCTTCTCATTAGACATGGAGAGCCGTCGTTGTCTGACAAATGAATCCTCGTCCTCTAGGTTTAAATTGAAATCCATGTCTCCTTCTACAACACTGTCGGAAAAGAGTTCATTATATTCCTGGGTTTCAACATTAGAAGATCCTTTCTCCTTGTCTGCTTCTAGCAGCATCCAGAGAGGGAGCGGAGATATAGCATAAACCTCAGCATGATCAATCAATTGATCTTCCGGCATCGCAGAGGTTGAACTTCTTTGATTATCCCGGATCGGAGACGGAGACCGTCCTTGTCCTCCAATAATTGATAAATTTCTGGATTTTGTCCAATCTTTGGTTTTCTCTGATTCTTGTATTGTGCTGTGTCTGCTTCTTTGTTGCTTTGGGCAAACACATTTGACTAGATGATTCAGGATTGCTTTAACCCAACGTATTTTCCCAGAATGCAGGAGCTCCATCAACTGTTTAGGATGATACTGGGGAAGAACAGGACAGGAGAGATGACTAGCCTCAAATAATCCCATATCTGACATAAACTCTTCTACTCCGCCCCCCATCAACTTCTTGGCTTTCTCAACTGAGTCATTGAAAAATCTTGCATCCGCTCCATATGAGCCTTTCAACCCACCATGAACATTCTTGGGTTTAGTTTCCTGGGAAATAGAAATTAATTCCGTCTCTTTCAGTCTTCTCTGATCATTATCCTCCGCTGAATCTTCTTGAGAGTTTGAAACCTCTGCCTGCCATTGGCTGTACACAGCAACCTCATTATCCATTGCACACATGAGAACTCCGTCCCGAGCCCAGGATACAGACATGGGAAGGGGAGGTAATCCATCAGCAGTTTGGAGTTCTATCCGTCGGAATATCATCCATTTGAGTTCATCTATCAATGGTTGCAAACCAATGGATGAGGATTTCCTGAGTAGAGGTCTTGAAGACTGGGGTTTCTTAATATCCTTCCTGTTCAGTTTACAGGCGTGAGATACGTCAGCAGAAACTGTGGTTAGAAGAAGAACCTTATTTGCAACCGCCACAGTTAAAAGATGACTCCCATCCTCGTTGGAAACCCAATCCAGCTGAACTAGTTGTTTCTGAACTAGGGAGGAAGCACAGGTGTCTCCGAAACCTTCTTTCAGTTTAGATAGAGTTGCTTGACTAGGAACCTGGGGGTGATGATTAGTTGTAGTTTTCCATCCTTCTTCCCTCTCCAGTTTAGAACCTTCATAAAGGTTCTTGTGCAGCTTAGCGAACGCATTATTTCTCCGATCTTGTGGTTGGAAAACTGTCTGATCCACCGCAGGTTCAACTCTTGGAACCTCAATATTTTTCAAAACAATCTTATCCTCCAGGATCCATTCAATACCTCCGGAGCTCTCACATTCATAGATGGAAACAAACAAGTTTACATAACTAGAATTGGAGTGCTTATTTTTTCGGGTAAAACTTTCTCCAGACCTGTAGGCAACAGCAATCCGTCCCGTGTAGGCAGCGGAGACACTGAGAGGGTATCCTGGAACCTCAATAGCAGAGGATATATGTTCCGTCTCCATCTTCCATTCTTCCCACTCGAACGATTCTTCTCCGCCGTCTGAAGTATCTACAACAGTCCAGAATCTGATGATGCTATCCGAGCAGGCTGTTACCAAAAGATAGGGAGCTAAACAAGCAGGATAGATACTGGAGGAGGAGAGATGTCCTGCGGCAGGTACACACTGGATCACCGATACACTCTCCGGTAGGGGGAGCTTCTGAGTGCAAACCTTGGTGCTGGAAATCAGAACTCTTCTTCCTTCATCCTTGGGTTCCTCTTTCATCTCCGGTGAGGGGGATCGTGTTGTGTTTGCACTTCCGTTCTCTTCGGGTTTCTCTGGACTTTCAAGAATCAATTTCCACATGTGCATCAAGGTTGAATTCTCAACCTTCTCCGCTAGAACTACATAGAATATTTCTCTGAACCCGGTCTGATTCTCTCTCAGGTCAACCATAGCCGACATTGAAGACGGGATAAGACCAAGCTTGACCCCGCTCTGTGAACTAATGGATCCATGAACCATCTCATGATGGAATGTGTGGAGAAGGATTGTATTTTGCCAGTTCTGCTGAGTATCCTCTATTTGGTCCAGATCTATCACTACTCCAGGTCTAGCGGAGGACTGGGCAGAGACTATACTGGAGTAAACGCTCTTATAATACTTCTTGTCCTTTGCTGGAGAGGTGCTGGCCATACTGGTTGTAGACCTGTACTTGTTTGCTGAATCTCTGAACGTAGTGTTTAATTCTCCCAGCAGAGAGCGTGCATCTATCACAGCCTAGATAATTACAATTTTGTTTAAAGTGAAGAAAGAACTGTCGTTGTAATTTTAAGTTACTCTCAATTTAAACAGGCCCTTGCCCGATTCACAAAGGTGCCTTTTAAACTTTTTTCCGAATAATAATCAATAATCGTTTTTTTTTACTTACAGTGTTTAAATCTAACAATTTCCTTGTTTTTGTAGCATAAATTCACAAGCCACTTATAAAGAGAACCCATAACTGAAAATTATCAAGCTTTAAAGAGAAAAACATGGATATCTCATTTATCCTTGATCAAACAAAGCTATTATGAGCCCCATTGAAAATCTAGCATGCCACGTTATAAATGTAGTCTCCATTTTTTTACGAGTTGAAAGGAAAGGCAAAAACTGAAAAATATATTTTTTCCTCGGTTTGATGTTTTTGTTAAAGTAATTTAAGGATATAGCTTTAGATAACCATGTCTGTTCATGAATCTATCCAAACAACCCTGTCACATAAAAAAGTAGGATTTTTTTTTTAAAATTTATGAACTTGTATTGCACCTCCGTCTGAGGCCTTTAAAAAAACTCAAAATTTGTATCGGAATTTGCACTATATTCCTTTTAGATTCAAGCACACGCTATTTAATATATTTTTTGTATTACCTGGTAAACCCTGAGACTCTTCCCATCTGATGAAACAAAGCATGCACTGGGAGAGTTGGATAGAGTACCCAGAACTGAAGAAGGGAGCAGAGTAGGGATCCACGCTACATTGGTGAACGCAGAGATTTGTCTAAACAATATTTCAATTAGAACTGGTTTCTAATAGGGTTTAGTATTGACTCTACAATTAACGATAGAGCAAGTTGATCAGAAATAGAAATTGAAATAAATAATGCTCTTGATATTTATAATCATATCTATTATCAAAAGAAAAAAAATGCTGTGAATTATACATGTTCAATGTGTTCTTACAAGAATTCGTCATACTTCACATTATTTGAAGACCACTGTAGTGTCGAGGAAGTTTATAAACTTTGATTTTAATTATTTCATAAATAAAAAAATAAAATCTACCTTGAATTGATTCTTGCAAGCTCAGAGATACCTCCACTACCAGGTTTTGAGATAGGACTGATTGGATCTACTCTCCACAGTATCAGCTCACTACAGAAATTTTCTTCTTTTCTGGGACCTGACGGAGCAGAGCTCATGTTGTGATGAGAAGTTGTAAGAAGGAGGGGAAGGACGGGATGAGGAGTTATCTCATTAACCCTAAACCTATGTCCGTTCACCCTTGCTTTATGACTAATGTTGAGAAGCTGGCAGAATTTAGTATCCGGAGAAAAGGTTACGTCCCACAGGTTCAAGGTTCCGTTCTCATGCTTTGAGATCATGGAGACTATCGGAGAAACATCATACTTTTTTGTTACTGAAACCAATTTCTCTTTTAAATCCTTGTGAGGTTGATGTTCCTCTTCATTATCCTCCCGAGAGCCCGGTTCAGCTGCCTCCATTTCCTCCTTCAGGAGTTGGTTTATATTCAATAAATGTTTAGAGTTGAATATCGCTACGTTACTGCTCATGGTGCTCGCGTCTCCTATAGGTATAGCGTTGGGTATCCTGGAGCTGAAGCTAACCTGAGCTTGTCTAAATGCTCCGGGTTGATATTCATCTAGAAAATCTGCTACCCAGACCAATAAGCTTCCATCCACTGGATGAACCTGAACAATTGTTGTCGATATTACTTTGTCGTCAGTTTATGACATCATGAAGTAAAATTTTAAAAAAAATAATTCTATATTTTCTTTTTTTCCACTTCTAAATTTTCTTTTTCTGTATAGATGAATGCAAACCCAAAATTTGTAGAAATTTCTTATTTGTATTTTAAAATAGATATCACTTATATTTTAGTTTTTAACTCTTCAATTTTGACATAAGTTAAAACTTGATGGGCGTCCACAAGGTTTCTGTTAAGATAAGATCAGTACAAAGAGAAACGGAATTATACCAAATCCTTAATTGAGAGAAAATCTACTTTCGTAGTCGACCCTAGAAAGAAAGGATAGAAATTAAAGAGAAAAAATCTATGAATATTAGAAATATAATCCTACCGAGAAGAGTAGATCCGAGCTCTGGTGCCAACCCTGCAGTAAAACCTCGATTCTCTGGTCCATAGCCTCAGACAGGGTTAGTTGATGAGCCGAGGTGGTGCTGGGTTGGGATATATCCGTCGAGAAGCTTGTTACACTCGGAGTATGAGATATTCCTCCGCCGTGAGAAACTTCCTCCGCCCTAGAACCAATATTCCTGACAGGACTCATCTCTCCTCTATAGGATCTAACATCTCTAGGATCTTGCAATAGTTCCTTCTCTACCACACTATCCTCCCTCTTTAGGGCTACCTTGGCCAGCTCCTGGAGAATCTTCTCCGTCTCCAGGCTAAAATAGATCTCCTTGTTGTTTAGCCAGTGCAGAGAGAACTTGTGAACTACTCCGGAGTTTGAAGAACTGTTCATGGCAGGAACTAGAGGGATATCGGTCAGAGCGTTGATAGTTGCTGCCAGATGAAAATGCATTCCAGAAGACACCCCTGAGCCCTAAATAAGTTTCAGGTTACAAAATTTTTTTTTTAAGTTTTAAAATATCGAATATTTTTCAAGAATCTGACATTCACAATGTTAAAATGTTAGTGCGTAAAGAACTTATAAAATTCAAACATCAGAAAACCCATTAGGATAAACCAACTTAGAGAAAGTTCCTATTCCTACCTGGAAACTTAGATTATGAAAATCATGAACCGAATAGGAAGATGGAAGTGATGGTATCGGAGCTGGAGATCCTCCCTCATTATCTCTCATCATCTTACGTGAAGCAAAATTCTGACGCATGTGCTTCAACCGTTCTATAAACCGTTGTTTCTGCCGATGAGCTCGGAAATGAGGATCCTGGAAGGTAACAAGGAAAATTAAATATCAAAACAAAAAAATAACTGCTTTTTAAAAAAATTGAATCAACAAAAAAACTAAGAAGTGATCAAACCTAGATTTATAAACTATCATCCTATGATCTAAGATAAAAACAATTGTCTATTACACCTACCTGATTATCTACTAGAACTACCTGATTATCTACTAGAACTAGATTATCTACTAAAACTACCTGATTTCTACTATAACTATCTGATTATCTACTACAACTACCTGATTATCTACTACAACTACCTGATTATCTACTTCAACTACCTGATTATCTACTACAACTACCTGATTATCTACTATAACTACCCGATTGTCTACTATAACTACCTGATTATCTGCTACAACTACCTGATTATCTACTATAACTACCCGATTGTCTACTATAAATACCTGATTATCTACTACAACTACCTGATTATCTACTATAACTACCTGAGTAGCTGCTGGATCTATTTGTGTAAGACTAACTAAACCATCGTCCGGAAGAACTGTCTCACACCAGAGTCGGGAGATATTATCCTCACAGTTAGTTACCAGCATATTTGCAACTCCACACCTAGTTAAATCAAGAATACAAAATAGAGTATCAAATCAAATCAAAATGGAGTATCGAAAATAACAAAATGCTGTATCAAGGATATTTAAATAAAGTATCAAGGTCCAAGGATATTAAAATTAAGTATCAAGGATAACAAAATGGAGTATCAACGATATCAAAATGGAGTATCAAGGTGAAAAATAATTACAGCAAATGCCGTGTAATATTCATTGTATATCAAGAAAGAACTTGACCTATCAATTTTTTCCTTAGAAAAAGATTGTCGATGCTCTGGAAACAAAATAAAAATTGGAAAATGCATCATAAGACATTGCTTAAGTCTGTTACCTTGGCATATATTTACTTGTATCCCTCCAGGAGAACCCTGTCACGGGACGAGGATGCGCAACATAAATGAATCCGTAATTCTCACGGTGCTCCTCGGAATCCATAGTCTGGGACGGGAGTAGGAGATGCACGTTCTGGAACCAGATCCGAACCAATCGATCGTTCTTTCCAGCAGTTGCAAACAGGGTTCCGTCCGAGGAGAAGGCAAGGAAAAACACCTGATTAGGAGGACGGATACTCCAGATACAATCCCAGTTCCCGCTCCGGTTCTCGTTCTCGTCCTCGTCTCCTCCGAGAGCAAACCTTGTTCTCTCGTTGTATTTCCACATCTGGAGAATTTCTCCGGCAGTGAGTAATCTTGTCCCTTCATGGTTCCAGGATAAACTTGCGACTTTACATTCTAGATCTAGTTCTCCGGTCTTAACCCACCAGTAATCCAATCCATGCTTGGAGTCCCTCTGCACTAGCGGAGTAGGCTCGAACACACAAACCTAAACCAAATAAGAGATGATTAAGCAAAAAGAGAAATAATAGAAAATTCCAACCCATTCTTTTTGAAGAATTTTAAAAACTTGTCTCGCTTCTTAAAAATTAAGCAAATGTGTAGCTATATTTTTGTTAATTCTTTGAATTTAAAATAAATTTAATATTTTCAGTTTTGTTAAAATAACTAGTGTCTAGTCCCTTAGAAAGAATCTTTAGTTAAATCTGACCTTATTTTCATACGCAACAGCAATCTTCCCTGTGTTGTTGGAAACATCAACACAGGAGATCTGAACGTTGTTGTGACAAATCCCAGGTATAATTTGAACACGCTGGAAGTTGTTTGCTAGGATAGTAATATTGCAGCCAGCAGCATAGGCGGTCAAACGGACTCCTGCATCAAAAGGTCGTAGTAGTTAAGATAGGTCGTACTTTTAAAATTTTGTTTATATTATGCATTCCGAATGGGCACAGGAGATTTTACTGGTATCTTCAAGATTATTATTATGGCAAATGTGATCAAGTTCTTTCAGCATAAACATTAAAATTCCAAATGTAAATTTTTAACAGTAAAACAGGTTTGAAAGGAGTGTATTTTTTGATATTATTTTCAAGACGTTCGAGAAAAATCTTTGAAAATATGTTTCCCCGTTTAATACAAAAATTTGCAAAAATGCCTTTACTTTTCATTTTCTATCAGTAAATCCTTTAATATCTAAAGATTCAAAAAGATTCTTCAAAATTACTTGTGAGCAATATACCATACGCTTACCTTCCACGCTTCCAACTCCGAAAGTTTTGTCCCCGGGGTTACATGCCCCGGTCAGAATCTGATGACATTTCATCTTCTCCTCAAGTTAACATTTTCTCTGAAACCTATATTTCAACCGTCAGGTACCTGGCTTTAAAATATCACAGCTTAAAATAATTATCAATACTTATCAGTTGTTAGGACGGAAAAAACTACAGATCTGAACGGAATAAAGCTTAGTCAATCTCATCATCATTCTCAATAACCTCTGGTATAGTATTATACTGCCATTCATCGGGGAAAGGGCAGGTACTGGTGGTTGGAATACCAACACCGTAGAACGTGGAGAGAGTTCCTTGTCCGAACCTTCCCCCCATACTTCCTAGATCAGAGGCACGGGATCTAGAGGAGCAGACGGAGATATTGCCTTCGTCCTCAGAGTTGATCCGTCCTCTCCTACTCTCGTTGAACAAAGGAGACTTTAGGCCAGAGGGCGAAGCTTGCTGCCGTGTTGAGACGTTGAGGGAGAGCTCCTTTTTATCCGGAGTAAAGGACGCGTTCAGAGGAGCATGAGACGGGAGACTATTGATATACTCAATAACCTTGGAGTCTGCTGCACTGGCTAAAGAGGGTGGAGTCGGGGTTCCAACACTTCCAGGTGTATCACATTTTAGAGTTTCTGACAACTAAAAATAAAAATTATTCAGTCAACTAAATGACAAGTTCTATTTTTGTTTGATATAATTATATTAAAAAATTAATGTGTTGTGTATTCTGAATGTTTTTATTAAGCAAATCCCTTATAAAAACTCAATTGGTTTACCTTTAAATCTAGACTAAGATCATTATTGTTTTCAACATCACTGATCTCTGACACGTTTCTAGCTATAGGACTTGTCGGCTCATCCACTAGGAATGGATGATCCAAACCAAATGAAGAGAGAACCTTAGTTTCATTTTCTAGCGTGGATGGAGCGACAGGACTTAAATCCTCAAATTCTCCGGGGTTTAGAATATCTGATAGATTTGATTCAGAAATTGTGGTGATGCCGTCTCCGGAAAAACCGGGAAGATCCTTATCTGAGCTTGGTAACTCTGCTTTCTCCAGACCGGATTGACCGAAAAGTTTCATTTCAGGTTCAGTAATGAGTTGGAGCGGTTTTCTTTGTTTGTTTTCCACCAAGATGTGCGCATGCGCCGCAGATTCTATTACCGGGTTTAGGATTTCGGATTTGACCGGAGTGTTTGATTGGATAGGAGAGGATTTTTTCATGAGTTGTTCAGATATATTCATCTGATCAAAATTGTTTGTGACGAGGGTACCGTTTGACACATCAAGATTCATCTCCTGACTGTTCTCAGGGCTGATTGTTTCAAGACTGAAATCTAAAATAAAAACATATTATGATTTAATCATATCATAAAAATATATTTTCAGTTCATGGCAAAATAAAAATCGTAATAACTTAAGTTCTGAACGCGGAATTAAAAACCTTCAAAGTTACCCACAAAGGATGATGGTTTATAAGACGACGGTAAAGAATCTAATCAGCCTTAGGATCCCAATCCGTTGGATCCGCAAGATTTTGGCTTCCTGGATCTGGATCCAACGGGCAAACTTAATACAAAAAAAAACACAAAAATTTAATGGAAATAACCTGGATCCGGATCCGAATGAATTTTTTTCCAGTGCGGATCCAGGATCCGGAACCGCATCAAAATTAAATGGAACCTAAGCACTGCTTTTTTCTTATTCTTTTTTTTTTAAAGTTGTTGTAAACTTATTTCCTTCTCGGCAATATCATTTATACATCATTCAAAAATGATTTGCAAGGCAGAAAAAAATCCGTCTTTAGATCGAATTATAATTCTTTAGCTTTAGGTCTTATCCTTTGAGGATAATCCTGTAATATATATATATATATATTTATATATAATAATGTTTTCATAAACTGTTCATTAATCATTCATTTTTGTAATTTACCTGAATTGATTGTTGTATTTGGAGTATCTCTGATCCCTTCCAGTGGAGTAATCTCTTCAAACACCCGAATATCCGAGTTTAATATCTCTAGGTCTGTATCACGAAAATCTTCCGAGTCAGTTCCTTCTATTTCATCTGCAGGAGTGGACGTGTTTGGACCCTTGGTTTTCCGTCCTACTCCACGCTTCTTCTTCTCCGCAGGACTGTAGTAGTAGAAGTTCTCGGAGTTAAGGTTGGTTTTTCTCAATAGTTCCTGGAGAGATGCTGCAGCTGCTGATGAGCTAGGTAGGATAAAACTACTATCCAAGGATACAGCCTGGTATAGAGCTCCTCCTCTCTGAGGAGATCCATCGGAGGAACTCAGAGTATTCTCCTCAGAGTTTCGGAAGGATTCCCAAGTAAGAGATCTAGCAGTACCTGGAGGAAAACTGGTTTCAGGACGGTTCAGAGTATTTTCTGTAGATAACAATCCTTTTAGCATTGGATTAAGACGGGACGTGTGCAGTTCTTGTAAAGTTTGCCTTCTATGTTTCTCAGGGTTCAGAGTTTCAGAGCAGAGAACTGCATGAGCTGTTATCTTGATTTCTAGGTTCTGATCGACACCAAGATCAAGAGTAATAATAGCTCTGTATCCGGCGGTACCGGATATACATCTCACGTCCCAACAGTCTCCAAACAGAAGATCCAAATGAGAAACGGAGTTTTCAAACTTTTCAATATGGAAGTCAACAGAGAAAGCAGTTTCTCTCTCGAGACCTAGGATCCCTGGATCCAGTCTCCAGTCCACAGCTCCAACCGTCCAGGAGTGTACAATGGAGAACCCGGAGAGAAATCTCTGCACGTCTCTCCGAATTGTAGAGCAGAGCTGATGTCTCCGAACTATTCTCTGAAAACAACCAAAGATACGAAAACTTTTTAAAAATTAATTCTACTGGAACGAAAATTCCCTGAATTTGGATAACTATTGGAATAATAGCCATTGGACATTTGTTCCGTGTGATAATAAGAGATTATGGACAAATTTGTCTTATTTTATGGCCTAGTGGCTTTCACGGAGTTTTATTAAGAAGAAATGTTCATGAATATTGAAAAACCAATTAAACGGATAATAAGCACATTGTGTGTAGTAAAACCAGTGTCTATTTTAAGTAGTTTAGAAATACCATAGACAATTAATCTCCAGCATTACCTCTATCAAAAATTATTTTTAGAGGCAATGATATTTCAAAAATGAAATTACGGTGAATCTGCAGTCTGCACTGACCTGTATATGTAGAGGATATGTTTCAATAGTTCTCTGAAGTAATTCCATTCCTTCTTGTAAGAGATCAAGAGCAATTCCTCTACCACAAGCAGTCTTTACATTCTCAACCTCAACCATCAACTCCTCACCCGGTAAAACTAAATATATGCAATATCAACCATCAACTCCTCAGCCGGTACAACTAAATATATACAATATTAACCATCAACTCCTCACCCGGTACAACTAAATATATATTTAATATCAACCATCAACTCCTCACCCGGTATAACTAAATATATACAATATCAACCATCAACTCCTCACCCGGTACAACTAAATATATACAATATCAACCATCAACTCCTCACCCGGTTCAACTAAATATATACAATATCAACCATGAACTCCTCACCCAGTACAACTAAATATATACAATATCAGCCATGAACTCCTCACCCAGTACAACTAAATATATACAATATCAGCCATGAACTCCTCACCCAGTACAACTAAATATTTGCAATATCAACCATCAACTCCTCACCCAGTACAACTAAATATATAATATCAACCATCAACTCCACACCCATTACAACTAAATATATGCAATATCAACCATCAACTCCTCACCCAGTACAACTAAATATATACAATATAAACCATCAACTCCTTTCCCAGTAGAACTAAATATATACAATATCAGCCATGAACTCCTCACCCAGTACAACTAAATATATACAATATCAACCATCAACTCCTCACCCGGTACAACTAAATATATACAATATCAACCATCAAGTCCTCACCCGGTTCAACTAAATATATACAATATCAACCATCAACTCCTCACCCAGTACAACTAAATATATACAATATCAACCATCAACTCCTCACCCAGTACAACTAAATATATACAATGTCAACCATCAACTCCTCACCCAGTACAACTAAATATATGCAATCAACTCCTCAACCGGTACAACTAAATATATACAATATCAACCATCAACTCTTCACCCGGTACAACTAAATATTTGCAATATCAACCATCAACTCCACACCCGGTACATCAAAATATACAATATCAACCATCAACTCCTCACCCAGTACAACAAAATATATACAATATCAACCATCAACTCCTCACCCAGTACAACTTAATATATAATATTAACCATCAACTCCTCACCAAGTACAACTAAATATATAATATCAGCCATCAACTCTTCACCCAGTACAACTAAATGTATAATATCAACCATCAACTCCTCACCAAGTACAACTAAATATATACAATATCAACCATTAACTCCTCACCCAGTACAACTAAATATAAAATATCAACCATCAACTCCTCACCAAGTACAACTAGATGCAAAAATGAACGGGTGGGGGTTCCAAGAAGATGTATAATATCCCCTACAAAATTTTATGAAAGATATAGCGATAAATTGTCGTAAAAATGGTTCAAACTAGATTTCTACCTGTACTTGTTGATGTCTCGTCGGATAGAACAGGAACTAAGCAACAGAAAATCTAAATAAAAAATCTAAAATAAAAAGTTTAAATAAATATTTATCGAATATTTTTTTCACCTGATTCAAATCTTGAGAGATGAGAATATCCTTGATACAGTGAAGAGGAGGATTCGTCTCGGACGTATTCTCCACCTGTGCTATACAACCCACCCGGAGCACACATCCGTTTTTCTTTAGATATACAGGGAGAGAGAAGAGTTTCCGCGGATTTTCCCCCTCTACGACCTGCCGAGAGAAGAACATCTTGATACGATCTAGTCTTGAGGGCGAGACAAACACCGCCATGATGAAAAGTAGAGCGGAGAGAACTTGAGGAAATAAACTGAGGAACTGCTGAACCAAAACAAGGATAAGAACTGAAACAGCGCTCAACCGAGTAGATATCCGTCCTGACTCAACCAGCCCCATTTATCTCAACTATTAGGGGACATTTAGCTAATCTGAAAATATTCCATTTGTGAATAAGATAAATATATATATATATGTAGATAGATGGATAAAACATGTACTGTGATAAGACATAAAACCATTCAATGTGAACTTCCTTAAATTTAGGGGGAATAAATTAGAAGGCGTTAAACTACATTAACACACCAATTTAAAAAGTACAAACTATCTGAGTTAAGAAACATTGTTTAAATAAAAATATTTTAAATATATTATTTACAATTTCCCGACTTTGCTAAAAAAGCTGCACAAAATTAATTGAAATTTCACCAAAATTAATATTTAAACTTGATCGGTCCAGAATTAGATAATTTTTTCTATGTTCATTGCTTCTGTTTGAAGAATTCTAATCCCAATAGATTGCTTAATCATGATCTAATATTTACGAGTAAAAATTTAAATACTTAATTGAAAAGGAGCATCCAACCGATAAAAGGAATGATATAAAACAAAAACTATAAAATGCAGATTTTTGTATATAAAGAAAAATACTACATTATAAATAAATAGGTAAAAATCGAGCACATTAGGCGTAAACTTTTAATGTTTCAACTAATTCAATGCATTATTTATGGACGATGCAATTCAAATTATTGTATTTGCCCGTTAAAAATAGTCCTATACAAAATATATTCAATGAAAATTTAAATTATTCATATATTTTATATTAATTTTGCAAGGAATATGGAAAAAAGCACTAAATTCACTAAATGAATTAGTTAATGTCGGGCAATGCAGAAATCTGAATGTTTACTCCTGATAGAATGTGTTTAATGAGTATAAATTGGATAAACTTAGAATTAGAAGAATTTCAATGAAGAATTTTACTGGTTGCTTTTTGAGTGTTAAACCAGTGTGAAGTGTAATATACTGTTAAGTGTTTTTTAATTAAACTAGTGAAGTTTTTTCCTAGGTGTTAATTGTTGATTCGTTGAATGTATTTACAATGTATTGAATTCATTCTACCAAGTACTTGATAAATGTGTTTTTTTATGAGTTAGATGTATTATACTATGCGAGTTTTCACTATGTGATGAATGTATTCTACTCTATTTTGAATGTATTCTACTATGTGTTGAATGTATTCTACTATGTATTGAATGTATTCTACTATGTGTTGAATGTATTCTACTATGTGTTGAATATATTTTACTATGTGTTGAATGTATTCTACCATGTGTTGAATGTATTCTACCATGTGTTGAATGTATTTTACTATGTATTGAATGTATTCTACTATGTATTGAATGTATTCTACTATGTGTTGAATGTATTCTACTATGTGTTGAATGTATTCTACTATGGTGTTGAATGTATTCTACTATGTGTTGAATGTATTCTTCTATGGTGTTGAATGTATTCTACTGTGTCGAATGTATTTTACTATGTATTGAATGTAGTTTACTGATCTAGGATATGGAAAACGAGTTCTATGACTAGAGTTGTTGAGGTTGCAGAATGAATGAGAGGGATGAGTTCGTTGTCAAGATTATTCATGTAGACTCCGGGTAGGGGTTTATCATTAGATCCGGCCTCGTAGGAAACCTAAAAATAATATACAATAACTATTGGATTCTTTTAAAAGTTGAATTTAAAAAAATATTTATTACCAATAGGAACTTCGTAGGGGTAGAAAATGAGTTTCAAAAGTTTATAAAGTTTCAAAATTAAATTTTTATAATTTCCCATTTATCGATTTTTCTCAACGAACTTTGCACAATGCACATAGAAGGGGCAAATTTTGTTCTGTAATTATAAACAAACGTTTGAGGTGTAGTTTCATCAAAAATGTATTTATTTTTATCCAAAAGTTATTTTGCTATATTTTATAAAATTGTATGTTCTTTTAAAGTTTAAAACTTACATTATCCTCATCAAGTGAAACTCGAACTGCAAGAGGAGAAAGGTTTTCTTTCTTGAGATCTGAGAGAAGGGGGACCAGAGCTACTCCGACAGCTCGAGCTACTTCCTCCGCTACCCTGGTTGGATCAGGATCACGTGATCGATTGGCTTGATCAGGGATCTTCAGAAGGAAAACTTCAGTCCATCTAAGCACAGAAGAGAGTAATTGTTTCGCGAGATTTATATCGCGATCTATTTCAAACAAATCATTCAGATATTACACCCTATGGTCATCGATTATCTTTCGCCACATTTGTATATAGTTGATTTTTCATAATATGTTTTTATTTTATTTTTTAAAATAACATTTAGCTTCTAACTTGTTTTCGAACATTCCTAGAAAATATGAAAATCCTCGAAACAGGAATAAATGTTTTTATAAGTAACTCTCAGATCATAACAATTAAAACATATTATGAAAAATCAACTATATACAAATGGGGCGAAAGATAATCGATGACGATAGGGTGTAATATCTGAATGATTTGTTTGAAATTAAATAGATTTTTTTACGGTCTAAGTCGTATGTTGCATCTTTCTGAATTTGTATGGATACTACGTTCTTCGGTATTAGTCGTTTTTAACAATTTTCTCCTTATAGACGCAACAGATAGAAGATTAGAAGCGATCAAAAGCGCTTTTTTATCGCAATAAGCCTATACCCCCTTTCATTTTTCGCGAACACTCCCTTTAACATAAGAAAATTGAACGCCCCTATTTCCTTGATTTTTTGTTTATTCTGGTCCGGTTTTGTTTACAAACATTGACCGTACTACACTATATACAAACTTATCCATAAACCAGTCAGTGTTGACTGAATACTTGAAGGATCTAGTTGTACCCCAGAGCGTCATTGGAATGTAATTAATACTAATTTCTTATAATTTTTATATGTAAATAGTTAACCATTATTTGTATTTTTCTAATTATGATGTATTTCTAGTGTATTAACACCTGAAGATGAATAAACTTTTCCTTCTACCATTATGTACCTTTTGCTTTGAGAGAAACCATTTCAGTCCTTCATGTTAACTTATAAGTCGCCGACCGGCGCGAAACAGTAATGAAATTTTAATTATGCGCATCGAGAACAACTGTCTCTTAATCTATATCTACAATATAATATATACACCGCAGTACAAAAAATTAATAACTTTTATATTCATGAAAAGGCAGTAAAATACCTGAGTAGATGAGAATCAGTGCGCATATCTGGTCCACAATGTATTCTTAAACTTCCCACACCGTCCATACCTTTTCCGTCAATAACACTTTTTATCCTGAAACCAAGAATATTACAAGTTTATGATCTCCAAGTAATGTATGAAGGTACAAATATCGTATTACAAAGTAACTTTGCAAACTAAGAATGTAGAACGAAGTTTTAGAATAATTGGGAGATGGTTAAATGTGCTCTAATGAGTTTAAACTAAAAGCTTGGGAAAACCCTTTAAGCGTGAACTCTCTCAATTTTCAAAATTTCAAATTTGTTTATAAATCTCAATTTAGCATTTTTTGTGAAAATCGGGTGTAAGAAATAAATTTTATGTTTTTTCTAAATTTTTCTTCTTCTGCTTGACCTACCCTATATTGAAAGCTTTATCTTCATCCACCCACTTGATGGAAACTATTTCATCAGGTTGCTCCGCCCCTATCGGACCACACCCTATATTCATATCCTCCATGTTCTCCAGACATTTCCTCAAGGCAACCATATGATCAGGGAGAACCTGAACACATTCAATTCAATATATTCTTTATGCAAACAAGATAAAAGGAAAAAATATCGACTTTTGTTTTTCATCAAATTCATTAAGCTACAGAAAACAAAATGAATGAAGCATATCACATTTTTTTGTTTGGGGGGGGGGAGGGGTGGTGTTTAATTCTAACTTTTCATTATTTTTATCTAGTTTGGTGTACTTAATAATAAGTTAACAAGAAAACTATTTAAATTTTTTCTCCTGATGTAATAGCCCAATTTCTTAAACATGGTACCATATGTACTCAAATTTTTAATCATTTGCATCTAATTTGATGTACACACTGATCTTGAATGACATGTTGACAAGAAAACGAATTAGATTTTTTTCTCCGGATAGCCAAAATTCTTAAACATGCTATCATAGGTACAACTAAAAGTCGTATCTATCTATCTACACTGCTTTGGTAGAGCGTAACCAAATGACTATGGTTCTAGCGCGACTAAGAAATAAGGCAAATCTTTTTACTACCTGAACCATGATTCCATCCTCAACTATTGATGATTTAGCGGTCAAGTTTGCTGTAGATTTCAACGCCCCGTTAAAAACAACAAATGAGGCTCCGGTTACCACTCGTTCCTTAATAATTAAATGTCTAAATATTAGTAATGAACCTGAATGAGAGGACTGATTACAGAATAAATCGACAAAAATATATAGATTTGACATCGTTGATATTTGATACTAAGCATTTTGAAGCTTAGATTTTATTACTATTAATGAACCTGAAGGAGAGGACTCAATTGAAACGCATTAGATTGTCAAAGTTCTGTAGTTTAAGCGAGTTGTTGATATCTGATATTAAGAATTTTAAATCTAAGGTTTTGTTGACGTTTTGTTTTCAAAAATATATTCCTTCTTCAACCTTTAAAACAGTTTCATCTATTTCTTCATAGTTAAAGGGATTGCTAGTATAATTTCAAGTAACAATCCATGTAAAGATGGCAATACCTGATTCACAAGGATACCCTTGAAACCTTTATCTGATCAATAATGTGGAAGATATTTTTGTTTTATAGGTTTTAAAGTATTTAATTTAATTTTTAGTTATTTTCCTGTAGTAAAATGTGCAAGTCATATTTTCATTCTTTTGATACTGTTCACCCAAAAATCATCAATTAAAAAAAGGGGGGGGGGGGGTAAATAATTTGTTAGAAAATATGCACCCCTGAAACCACAATTACAGACAAAGCTTTTAAGGGTAACGTTGTGAATCGGGCATTGCCATCTTAACATGGAAGGCCACTTGAAATTACGCTTTCAGTCCCTTTAATGAAATTTCGTTTAAAGATTCAAATGTTAAAATAGACGACCAGATGAAACATATAAACCAGTTCTAACCCACCTTGTGCTGTATATTAATAGCTTGAGTTTGGTAAGTTCCCTCTGGTGTCTGTATAGCTACTAGATGAGAATCCACCGACATGGAGAAGTTTGCTCCTAGAGCTAACACAGGAAGGTTGGAGTTATTTAACGCCTTACTCACTGCGTCATGTCGGTTTTTAGGAATAAGAATAAGAGTTCTTCTCGGAGACATATGTATAACCAGTCCTCGGACCGTTGGTATAGTGTACGCATAGTTCTTAAAGTCGGAGAGAACACTCATTATAGTGTGTCCTAGTTCTCCGTAGACAGGTTTCCGTCCTCGTACAGAGACAAGAGGAGCAGGATAATATCTGAACTCTGCTCCGAGTCTCAGCATGAGACGGAGAGGGAAAACCCTGGCCCAGGGTATCTCCCATCTCATGAGTAGGATACCGAATAAAACAGGAGGAGGAGGTAGAAATAAATCCGTTACAGCCTGAAATATTTTATCATGAATTGGTTACAATTTACATTTAACTTCGAATAAAACTATATGAAGAAAATGATGAAATATTTTTCATTCTATTACAAATTTATCTCACTTTAACAGTAAAAGTATACGAATTTAAAGGAAACTACTATAAATTGTTAAATGGAGGATTCCATAGATCTGACCCAAATCTTTTTCTACCTGAAAAGTGTGCCTAATGAACATCCATCCTCCATGTGAGTTTGAACCAAGATGCTCGGAGTTCACCGTTATATGACCCATCTCTAACACAGGCTGACCAGCACCCGCCTTTAACATCAAATGTCGCAATTGAGATTTTTTTTAAAAAACTTTAATCTTTCAGAAATTTGAATTTCATAACCATCAAGGCAAAATTTCCATAATATTTAATCAAATCTATAACATTTAACTCCTTACAAAGTCTAAGTTAAAATGGTAAGCTACAGTTGTAACCTTGATACTATGGAATACGAGGGCGACTTAAAGGGACTGTCAAGGAAAAATGAAAGGGGGTTAGGCTGAAACCTAAACACTTTAGGAGTTGATCGAGAGTTCTATCTGATGTTCCTGTCTCGAGAAATTGATACAAAACTGTGTCAAATTTATACGAAAACAGTTTTATATCAATTTCTCGAGATAGGACTATTAAAGGTCTCGATAACTCCTAAAGTGCTTAGGTTTCAGCCTTTACCCCCTTTAATTTTTCCATAACAGTCCCTTTAAGATATGATTTTAAATATACCAATGAACATTGAACATAAGACAGAGTATTTGTGAAGTGTTCACGGAAGTATTTCACTTCATAAGTTTATTTTCAAGATACAGGGTTACCCACAAAGGATGAGACTTCGGACGACTGTTCAAATATTAAATAAGCTATTTAAACACTACATTTAAGACATAAGACTCAATCAAACTTTGGGATTGTCATATCTAATAATTTCTTTACAGTCTCATCCTTTGTGGTTAACCCTGTATAAGCAACTGTTTGCTTTATGACAACATCAAATACACTAAAGATTGCTTTAATGTCGTTTTCCTATTCCACAGTTTTATGAGGACTACTGTATGTTTATTTAGCCGCAATTGGCCGATTTTACCGGGAAACTAAATTTTTGTTATCAATGTCGACCCACTTGGAATCTCAAAACCAAGCTAAGAACATTTCCGTGGCTCTCCCAAGTTTCCCAATAAAAATTTGAGGAAAATCGGTCCTAGGGTTCCTGAGTTATGATCGGACAAACAAACAAACAAGACAAACAGAGATTGTCTTTATATATATAGATACATGCATAACAAGAGAGACCCATTATGCTAATTCGTCACAGAAAAAAGTGGACCCACTCAATTTAAAATATCAAACCAAGCAAAGAACATTCCTGTGGTTCTCCCGAGTTCCCCAATCAAAATGTGAGGTCAATCGGTCAAGGGGTTCATGAGCTATGATCTCGAACATACAAACAGACAAAAAACAGAGCTTACAACTTTATATATCTAGAAGATAACTAACCTGCTCATATAAAGATTGAATAACGATGTAAATATCACGCGGAGGCAAGAGCTCGTCCTCCTCTGTCTCCAGGAGGATGACAACCTCGTCCTGGCCTACCGAGGTCAAGCCTCGAGATGCAAAATTCCAAACTAGTTTATTGATTGGAGTATATTTAACCCGTTTGGTGAGTACGGTTAGGTTGTTGTTTAGCACGAAGTTGACTGATGTTCCTGCTGAAAACCAGACAGATATCTCCTCATCATCCACCTGACCCTTTCCTAGATAAAAAATATATGCAATACTGGCTGGAGAACCCGCCCAGGTTTATATAATTATTCATTATTCATGATTTTAGCTGATATGTCCGGTGTTGCCCGTTGAAGTTCAAATTTTTTTTTTTTTAAATTAGCCTATATTTTAAATATACAATAATAAGAAGTCTCTGATTATTGGGAGCCCAGCGCTGCCCAGGTTACTAAAAGGTACTGCCGCCGTTTACCCGCACTTAAACGATTTTACCGGGGAATTAAATATTCAATACTAAAGTCGACCCACTCAATTTAGTATCTCAAAACCAAACTAAGAACTTTCCCGTGGGTCTCCCGAGTTCTCCAATCAAAATTTAAGGCAAATCGGACCAGGGGTTCCTGAGTTATGATCGGACAAACAAACAGATAGACGGACAGAGAATACAACTTTCTATAAATAGATTGATGGTTTCCACCTGAAACTAGTGGTAGCCCTGTAGCTGGCATCCTACTTGAGCAAACATCTCCACTCAAGGAACTGGAAACTCGACCCCGGAGTCGTTTTGCCTTTATCCGTCCCGGTCTCTTCCCTAGGGTTCGGTGCTCGGATCCTGCTCCGTCCAGTTCGGTCAAATCTCCGCCAGGACGGATACCGTCACTAAACATGACGGACTTGTTATCCGTTTTTGAACTAACGGAGCTTCTGTCCGTGGATCCGTTCCTTTTGAGAACCCCGATAGGAACCATCACACTTGGTAAATCTGGGTTCCTAGATCCCGAAACCTGCTCCGATACCGGGACTCTGAAAAAATCAATGTGTAAAAAATTGGAAATTTTTTATGGTCCAATATCAAGCGACTAACCTGGTACAGTATTCCATAGGATTGGCAGGGTTAGGCCTGGTTGGCATAGAATGTGTTGAACTTAGTCCTGCCTTCTCCGCCTTCTCTAGTTGCTCTAGGACAGCCTTGCACGGAGTACAGACACGTTCTTCTCGGTTTTCAAGGTAAGCAAGCTTAAACCGTTCTCCACAGCACCCAGAGCATAAAACCTTAAAGTTATCAATATTCAATCTTTTAGAAGTTTTAACTTTAAATTGATGTTAACAAATTATTTGTAGGTTTATCTAACCTTTCCGCATGCTCGACAATGATGCCTTCTCTTCACCACTGTAAATTTAGCTGAACAGATCATACAATTAGGGGAGTCGGAGTCCGGAACCCAGAAAGGTTGAACCCGTCCCAACATTAGTTGGTCTTCTGTTAATCCTTCCAGCAGGTTGCTCAACCCCATCCTTAAATAGTTAAATATAAAAACATGTTCTTAGTTTTTTCTAATATAGGGTTACCCACAAAGAATGAGACTGTAAAGACGAGCTGAAACTTAAAAATATGACGATTTAAAGCTTGATTATATGCCAGTTTTAGTCTACGATAAACCCTGAATGCAAGAAAACAAATTCCATACAATCGTCCCTGAAGTCTCATCCTTTGTGGGTAACCCTGTACATATTTCGTACATTCCGATTTTAAAAATTACAATAATTTTTGAAAACTAAACATTTCCTTGTGTTACTAACGTACACGGTACAACAAAGGCTTGTTTGACACAAACTCCCTATGAGTTGGGATCATAGCAGATGAGTACCTGGGACCAGTTGGGTTGGAAGGTGTTTCTCCAGGTGCGCCTAGAATAGGATCTCCAGCACTCACCGACGTTTCGTCAGAAGTTTCTTCAGGAGCTAAAATTTTAAAATTGTTAAGAACAAAAACTAATTTTACTAAAATCATCCGGCCTACAATAGATTGACAAAGCAACTAACTGTTTTTATATTAGACTGATTTGCTAACCTTTCTCTCTAAATCTTTCGTTCTGATCCAGGTTGAGTGTAAGCGGTCTCACAGGTTTTGGTTCTTCGTAACTAGGATCTACTTCACTATACGGGGGAGGAGACTCAACCTTCCCTGATCCTATACTAGGCTGCAATTCATCGTCAGGAATATTGAACTCCTCCGTCTCCACCTCACCAACCTGAACCGTCTCCTTGGTTCGGATCCTAGGCTCAAGATCATCCTGGAGTAAAGTATCAGGTTTACGCTTTGGTCTTGCTCCAGTTCTCAAACTATCATCCTCTCGCGGGCTTGGACTCAAGCTTTCAGGGAAATTTTCTTGAATAAGTTTCTCTTCTGAGTTCTCCATCTTGATCTGCTTGAGATACATCTCTAGTTGCTTTTCATCTACATAATCTTCACTACCTATATCCAAACCATTATCCTCGTCTATAGAAAGGGACTCAGACGTGTGCTCCTGTGGAGAAGGATCCCTGGACGGTATCTCAGGGGGATTAAAAACAGGAAAATCGGACTCTAGATTGTCGGTAAGTGTATTTTCAAAACCTTCACACTCTCGTGTTGGTGATATATCCAATTTTTCCAAGATAGGTTCAGCTCCAGGTACTACTTGGGTTTCAGAGATAGCGCTTTCAGGTTCGGTATCAACTGATATTATATTATGAGATTGTGACTCTGTTTGTGGTATTGACAGTGTTTGCTCTTCGCTCGGTTCCCTTACTGTATCCGGGATAGAGGCAGAACTAGAAATATCTCTAGTACTAGGCTCGGGACAGCAGGATTCTAAAGGGGTGTTAGCTGAGGAAGGAGATAGGACGGATTGCGGCTCATTGTCCAGTTGTATAGAATGATCTTGTATCACAGGGATTTGTTTATCAATGTTTATAGTGCTGGCATCACCATTAGTTTTCTGCTCCTTCAGGTTATCATCTGAACCTGTTAAAATATCTTCTGGTATATCTTGCATAGAGCTAGTTGCTTCTCCGTTTAGATTTGGTGGAACAGTTTCAACAAAACCCTCGTTCTTGTATCCAAGGTTAGGATTGAAAGGATCAATGCGGAAAGGAGTATCATACCTAGCAAAAACAAAGAATTTTAGTGTTCCATTCTTTTTTATATTATAAGTTTGTAAGATTTCGGATGTCGATTATTTAGGAATTGGGTTTGCCAAAGGCTTGGCTAATTAACTTCTTGCTGCCTTTAACTCTTCGTTGGACATTATAAAAAAGGGGAGAAAGGGAGAGTGTGTATTAAAAGCAGTGTAAAATTCCATGAAAGGAGGGGGTTGATAATTTCCTGCTGGAAAACTAGACGATTTTAAAGTTTTTATAAAATAAGTTGAAAAATTTGAGTTAAAAGTTTCATATAAATTTTCTTACCTAGTTTCTAAAGGTTGATTTGAAGAGGATTTCTCCAGGTGCAGTGTATCTCCTACTCCCAGGTTGAACCTTTGATCTGGAGCAGATATCTGATCCAAAGAGAATGGACCGAGCTCCGTGTCCGGAGTAAAGAACCCAGACGAGGACGGATTATCAATCTTACCTAATTGATTCGCCTGCACATAAAATAATATATGATTATGAATATTTTTATTTGTATTAATATTATGGATATGTAGCAAATTGTTGAAGATGATTTAGAAGGTAAATCTAAATTCTATCTTTAGTTTATCTACATTTAGTTTTTTTCTTGACCATAACTAACTAAAGTTTAAAAACGTACTAACAAAAATTATTGGAACTTACCTAAGATAAGGTTATCCTTCCCCCCTTCCACTCTCCCCCCCCCCCCCTTCCAACCAGAGAAGGTGGACTAATGTAAACCATTCGGATGACCGGAAAGTTTATGGTTATAACCGGAATCCCCAATGACTGGTAGAAATAAAGCGTGAACAACCAGATTGAGCAGACCCCCCCCCCCCCACCACCGCTTCTGGCCCCCAACTGGCCGCAATGTTTGAACTTGAAACAATTTCATCACGCAATAAATAAAAAGGTCAACAAACTAATTTCAATGATGAACAATAAAATCATTTTAACATCACAAAAAAATATTCTCAGATAAAATCGTAGATTTTAAAGTACAGGGTTGCACACAAAGCTATACTGTCTGATTACTTATAATCATGATTTACTACAACTAAAAATATCTTTCTAAAATCAATAAATTGGCCATTTAAAGACTACCTTCAAGACAGCAGACTTAATTTCAACTTGGAATCGTCATGTTTAAATAGTTTTAAGTCGTCTTTACAGTCTCATCCTTAGGGGATTACCCTGCTTACAAAACTATACTAACAACTATATCTTAAAACTTTTTTTTGGATTTTAACTAACCTGTCCTTCATGAAACTCGAACTCATCAAGCACAGCATCAAGATCAACTGTAAACTTCTCCATCTTTTTAGAAATTAAAGTCAAGTCATATCTGAAATATATATTAGTTTAGGCTTTAAAAATTATATAATCCTTCTGTTTATTTTTTTTTAAAAACGGAGAAAATCACTTATATAATAACATACATTTCCCTTTGTCTTTAATGAACATATTCAAAAATAATAACTTATTTCACACCAGCTAGAAATTGCAAGTGGGTTATAATAATTGTTTTTTAGAACTATCTTTAAACATTTAAACAGCTCAAACTAGTAGTCCATTGCCATCGATTCATGAAGGGTTAATTGAAGCTTCACGTACAGTCCCTGTAAATCGTCCTAGAAATGAGGTTCAAACTTATCCAGTAAATTAGGTACAGAGCGTCCCATATCATATTAGATTATCTCCAATCTTTAGCGCCAAAAGACGCACATAATACTCAAAAAATCTAGCATTTTCTGCAGAAAAAAAAAATAATTTTAGCCTTATTAAATTTCTTAAATTGATTCATTCATCTTAGATTTTCTGATTTATCCTCCAAATTGTAATTTAGACACATTGCCGCGGTCTAATTTGATGTGGGACACCCTGTATCATATCCATAAGAGTTAAACGCCTACAAAAACTAGTTGTCGAGTCACAACTTTGCTTGAGAGTATTTTGATAAATCGTGTATGTTATGGATAAATAAAACATTAAATATTTAACAGGGTTAGATACTTTACAGCAAACAGGGGTTTCCGATATAAAAGATTGAATGAAAAGGGGTAGAGTTGAATACATTACATCACGGGATTTTAGATTTTAGCGCAAGATTTATTATTTTTGCCGCGAATGATTGTCTGTCCTTACAATCAATAAATAAACTGTACGCCATTTCGATGATTTCTGAAATAAAGATAGATATCACGTAAGGTTAGTATAATGAAGAGTATGAAAAGGAGAACACAATTACTTTCTTAACTCTCTTAACCAATAGCGCGGATTTCGATCGGGTAAGTGTATCTGGCGGTGTATTTTCGACCTACGCATATCCGCTATACTCACTTCTTCGACCTTCCTGACCTACGACAAATATCAGCTATACATACACTATACCTACTAGCACGTGGGTTTACAGCTGCTAAGTGGACTTGTGGCCGCAGCACCCGTTCCCCTAGCCTGTCCTAGCCGCGGCGCTCGGCCCCCTAGAATAGCTGTCCTAGCCGCAGCGCTCGGCCCAGAAATTGTCTTAACCTAACCTAACCCTCAAATAGTACAAAAATAAACAGCTGGCGTAGGTCCAACTTTGCAGTAGGTCGGAAAGTTAGTAGGTCAGAAGTTCAGAAGGGGGGATGTTGCGTATTCTGCGTATAGACGATGTAACATATTACCGTGATTGCTACTCAACAGAGGGGGGTGTGACGTCCCGCCCCTTGTACTCCTCATTTATCTTCTTTGAAACAATTATATCTCCCTCCCCTTATAATTGGATTTAGAGCGGTGGGGGCGATGTAGTACAACTATAGGTTTCTAGCCCACCCAGGACAAATTCCTGTATACGCCCGCCCTCTCCCGTTAAAACATAGAAATTACATTCTCAGTTGCAAAGCTTAGCATGCAGTCCATGCAGTGGCGCAACTAGCACGTTTGAGGGGGCGCGGGGAGTAAAGGGGGCTAGCGGTAGCCCCCTGTCGATATTTTTAAAAAAAAAGCGCTGTTTAATTAAAAATAACACCATTTTTTAATTGTTGAAGGGACGGTTGGCTCTATGCTCAATGATATACCAACTTATAATATCCGTGGCAATTGTTCTTGTGTTAAAAAAAATATACTACCAACAGCTTTGAAAAGAACAATAAGAGTAAATTAATGAAACATGTGCGCGAAGCGGCAAATAAATCCTGTTCTTCAAGTGTCTTTTTACGTTTTTCTTATTGAATTTTTTAGTCCCTGGCTTAGTCAAATTATCACTATGTACAGAAGTTTAGACCCATTGACTATCTAATATGATATGGGACACCCTGTATATTATGTCCCCTATTACAGTTTACAGCAGTTTTATGTAATTCATTTTCTAGTCATATTTGTCCACTATCTAGTCCCTTAATCTTAGGTCTGTGCAGTCCTATGCAGTAAGTACATAGTTCCTGGCAGTACTGGACTATCTCGTCTGTCCATAATCCATAATAGTCTTTCTGATCGAAGTCCCTCTGTCCTTGTTTGACAGTAAAGGGCTTATCCTTGTTTTCCTCTTGCATTCTGCAAAAGTCTAGAATAGTCTAATACAATTCTTTTTTCTTGTTATTGAGAAATTGTCAGGTTTTGTGTAACCTTAAATGATATATCTATATAATTACTCATGAGGAGAAGCATATATACAGGTTTTTTGAGAGAATATATAAAGAATGACCGATTTTCATTTGTCGAAAACGAGAAAAAAGTTAGAAATTCTATTAGAAATGATGCGTGAAGCGCCAAAGAAAATTGTTACTGACAAAGTAATTAGACTTAGTATGTATCATTATCTATAAAATAAATGGGTTTGATTCATTGCTCTGAGATGATTGAAGGTGAAAATACAACAATTTACACTTAGGATCGTCATATTCGAAGACTTTTAAGTCGGCCTTACAGTCTCATCCTTTGTGGGTAAGTGTGTTATCTCATATGTTCTCTTTAGATTGCATAAGTTAACCATACTACCCACGGACAAAATAAGATTGATATTCACAAACAATTTGACGTTTTTCGGTTACAACACATAAACAAACAATCAAAGAGACAAGCAAAGTATATACATATAAGAAAAAATAATTAATAAAATTTTTTTTACTTAATCTTTATTTATGCAATACAATGTTCACAGAAAAGTTTTATTCATATTCATAATTTAAAAAAGTTCTTTTCCTTAAAAATGCTGAGTAAAAACTATTAGAGCCCTGCCAAAGAATAAATTAAATCATCATAACACTTTAATTCAAACATATAAAATCACTGAGAACATATTACAGTATTAATTTCATTATACTTTTTCAATGAACAAAACTAACAACATTCTTAACAAAATGGTTAAACAAAATTTATTATCTTATTGTGGGTTTTTCCCCCAATCCTCAGGACTATAATGATAGAACTATATTTGATACAAGTGTGTATATTTAACTGAGTTCAAATCCTGCTCCGGCTTCTATAGCGTAAATCAGTTTCTCTCTTAACATTTTAGAATTCTAGAGAAAATATTTATTAATAGTAAATGAGTCACTTGGGGAGCATTAGCAAAACGGAGAATGCATTTTCACGAAGAAGTAAGAATTTTTTTTTTGCTTTTTTTGTATGATAGAATGTTTGAAGAATGTTTGTAGAGTAAATCAAAACAAGTCATATCAGACTTTTAGAAACATCTACTTTCACATTTAAATCTACTCTGGAGTAAGACCTTATAGTTTGTAATAATTTGTTTTAAATTTCTCTTTTTACCATAAAAAGAACAAAGTTGTTAATCTATATTCTTATCACTAGAGTTTGTCCGGGGTGGATAAAAAACTTGATATTTTATACGTTTCCCCCGTTATTTATAGCTAAAATTATTGCTAAAACTAGGGATGCAAACCTCCTGTAAGCTTGATAAACATAAACCCTGTGAAGAATTCAATCTAACCTTGAAATCTGGTAGTTTAAGAAGATTCATGCATGTAGAGGCTGTTGGCAACCTGTCCTGATCCCCCCCGGCATTATGAATACAGAACGGTGGATCCAGATCTCGGAAACCAAGATGAGGAGGACGGGAGCAGCTCGTCACAAACTTCAGCAAGGACCGCTTCTGATCCTCGGTAAAGCCTCGAACGGCCTCCCAGAAAGCTAAAATAGAAATTGTTTTCAAAATATACATTTCGCCAACTGTATTCAGAAATAAATTGTTCGAATAGTAATAGAAAGATGATCTGCTGTATATCATATATACCTGTAATAGTAAAATGATCTACTGTATATACTGTATCCCTGTAATAGTAAGATGATCTACTGTATATACTATATACCTGTAATTGTAAGATGATCTGCTGTATTAACAGTATACCTGTAATAGTAAGATGATCTGCTGTATATACTGTATACCTGTTATAGTAAGATGATCTGCTGTATATCCTGTATACCTGTAATAGTAAGATGATCTACTGTATATACTATATACCTGTAATAGAAAGATGATCTGCTGTATTAACTGTATACCTGTAATAGTAAGATGATCTGCTGTATATACTGTATACCTGTAATAGTAAGATGATCTGCTGTATATCCTGTATACCTGTAATAGTAAGATGATCTACTGTATATACTATATACCTGTAATAGTAAGATGATCTGCTGTATATCCTGTATACCTGTAATAGTAAGATGATCTACTGAATATACTACCTGTAATAGTAAGATGATCTACTGTATATCCTGTATACCTATAATAGTAAGATGATCTGTTGTATATCCTGTATACCTGTAATAGAAAGATGATCTGCTGTATATCCTGTATACCTGTAATAGTAAGATAATCTGCTGTATATCCTGTATACCTGTAATAGAAAGATGATCTGCTGTATATCCTGTATACCTGTAATAGTAAGATGATCTGCTGTATATACTGTATACCTGTAATAGTAAGATGATCTGCTGTATATCCTGTATACCTGTAATAGTAAGATGATCTGCTGTATATCCTTTATACCTGTTATAGTAAGATGATCTGCTGTATATCCCCCTGAATAGTTAGTATGAGCCTGTAGATCCTCGACACTGATCTCATGTTCAGCTCCACAGATAAGAGTCTCCAATTCACGGTGACTAAACATTCTCAACCAATCCAATCCTATCACATCCTCAAGTCCATTCCTTACAAAAAAAACTTATAAAATCTAATAAAAAGTTTGGTAAACTAATTATAATTCTACCTCAATGCAACAAAGAAAGACAAGGAAAAAATCAATTATCAGAAAATTTACTTTACATAGGATTAATGCTAAAAAGTTGGATGATAAAAAGTTTGCTAGATAATTTTAATTCGAAATAAGTAAATTTAATATAACATTTTTTTCCAATTAATTTAGAATTAAATCTACTTATTTTGGACATAAATAGAGTATTTTATTCTATTTTTGCTTTTTCGTTTTATACAAAATATTGTGCATGCATTTACCAAATCAAAATGAAGAGTATTTCTACGAGAGATTTTAAAGAGAAATTAAGACGAACCTGAATGCAATGCATTGATTTTTAATCTGCCTGTTGAGTTTATAATCTGCAACAAGATGGATATATTCTATCCTATTATCCGAGGTAACAGGAGTACTATCTCCTTCAGGTTTGAGTAGTTCTATCCTTGTCTCTCCGAACTCCTCTACAGCCATGGTAAAATCTAATCCTAGATCCAGAACATCTCCCTCGTATGTCTAAACAGGATTTACAAGTAAAATAGGAAAGGGCAATTGAACTTTATCCAACTAATAATCAAAACTGTAAATGATGATATCTACACATATACATGTTACATATTACAAACTTATTAATTTTTTCAAAGGTGTTTTGATTTGGATAAAATTCAGTACTATTTTAACGACGATAAGTTTGTGTAAGTAAGATTACCTTGAGATATAGAAGATTCTTGTACAGCTCCGGGTCTAATGAGTCCAGATGATCAATATCAACATTCACAAGTTTCTGTCCAAGAAGTTTACTCAGGAAAAAGGCTGCTAGGGGGAGCTCAACTAAAAGGTTTTCATACAGAGCCTTCCCAAGAATACGTCCGATGAAGAAATAGTGAGCTCCAGCATTGGGATGGATCTGGTTAGCTGTAGGGTTCGGATAAAGATGTTGATCCCTGGTGAGAACAAAGAAACCTCTGTTAGGATCGAATGCAGCTTTGAGAAGCTGACTGAGGAACTCCCTAAAGAGACCCCCGCCATCAATCCCGGCCTCGTCCAACCCCGCAGCATTGACGAGCTGAACTCTCATCTTCAACTTCATGTTGGGTTCATTATCCACGGATAGTTTCTCAAAGGCATCTTCGTAAATATAGTTTCTTCTCACTAGAATATCTATTGTTGGTCCTTGCAGAAAATTGACTCTATCTCCCTGGTATTCCTGTTTATCCCTCTGTATCAGGTTCTGGAAGAGGAGAACCCTCTGACTGAAGGATATTGTGAAGGGAAGTTCCCGGAGAACTGTTGCAAGTCTCACCTCCTTGGTAGTGAGAGGAGGACCACTCTCCTCCAACTCCTCTCGGGTAAACACTCGGAGTCCTCTAAAGGGACGGTAGGCACGTATTCTAGACCTTCGGAAGGATACGTCCTGAGGTCGGTCTAAAGGTAGAGTAATCCCACTACTGATCCAATGATCGTCAAGACAGAACTGTCTCCGGGTATCTCTGGTATACAGTTGACGAACTAGAGAAACTACCGTTTTAAAGAGATGAGTCCAGATGATGATATCTCGAACGTCCCGAGATTCCTCCGGAGTATCACGAACAGAATTTACAGCTTGTCTGTAATCATCTCTAACTCTAGGCCTGGATTCAGGAAACGCAAGCTCAACCAACCCTAGAGCAATATCACGCAGGGAGAGAGACATACTCACCAGCTCCGGTAGTGTAAACGGCATCCAGTTCCTCTGCTTGGTATTAATCTGCTCGGTTCCATAGAACTCCGTATCATGGATAGTAACTAGGAGGTAACGGAACAATGAACAGAATACTGCCAATGGAGGAGATATATCATCCCGTTCTAGTCCGGACATCTTCAATCCTCGGGATATGATTGAAACGAGCGGAGTAGGAGAACCGAAAAGTGAAGGTTGTGAGGTTGTGCAAACTATATTCCAGAGCTGTCGGAGAAAATTGGGACGAAATGCGAGGGAGTGCAGGAGAGAGTAGTCATGCATACCCTAAGAAATAAAACAAGGTTTTATCAACTTTATATCTTTAATTAGTTATTTTTATCTTATATATTGAACATACCTGTTGATTATAAATAAGTAGTTGATGACATATTTTGCAAATATTTCTAATATTCTCCGTATTCCCTAATCTAACACTAGCAGGAGAACCGGAGAAGGTTGGAGCAGAGCTTCGGGATTTCGAACCTTCAGCAATGCTCACAATCCCGCTCACAAACTCAGCCGAGTTGAGCAAACAAATTGAGGTTTCAATCAAAGGGTTTCGGTTGGATGACTGATCCATGGCCTCACTCTCAGAATCACTATCATCTCCCTCCTCATCAAGTTCAGGGACAAGCGTGGTCCTGGAGTAATCATTAATTATCTCTAGATTTTTATTCTAAATTTAATAAATATGTAAATATCGAAAAGAATGGTTGTATTGAATATAATATCTGTGAAACTGTTTTTCCATTTAAATAAGATTTGTATTTATTTTAATTCCTGAAAGTCTAAAATATTTTCAATCTTTTATCCCTGTTCTTTTAGACACATTTTACTCGAGTTAAACTTCACCACCCCTAATTGCTCAGACATATATTGTTCCAACCCTATGATCCCTGTTTTATTATTATTAATAGAAAACCCATCATTCAATAAAATATGGGTCAACGCTCCTCCCAACCGCAGTGTATCCCTAGTTTTGAGTAATCAAAGTTATTATCGAACCTTGTCAAGGTACTGATCACATTCAGAAATGATGTTCCTTGCTCCTCATCTAGTCTTCCCAACCTGCCCTTACTCAGGGTCAGGATAGAGTAGAGGAGCTCCGGAGAGGACGAAACTCTTAGAGAACCTGAACCCGTGTTCTCCAGGTGCTTTAATACTGCTCCGATAGAAAACTCTTCACTCACAGCCAGACTTGGCAGAATAAATAACTGAATCTGAAATAATAATTTTTAATGTTTCAAACTATTTAATATGCGTTTTTTTTTTTTTTTTTTTAACCTGTTCAGAGAGAGTTCCTCCAAGAATATGAGTTGATAGGTTTGTGAATATTTCAGCTTTAAAACTCGAATTCTAAAAAAAAAACTTGTGTGAATAAAAACCAAAAAAATAAAACTAAATTAATTAAGTTCATTCTATAATGTTAACTGGACTATTATTTTAAAATGTTACCGCTGACTGAACCGCAATTCTAATATGTTACCGTTGACTAAACTACTATTTACTATGTTACCATTGACTGAACTGTTATTCTTATATGTTAACGTTGACTAAACTAATGTTTTAATATGTTACCGCTAATTAAACTGATATGCTAATGTTACCGCTGACTAAACTGCAGTTCTATTATGTTAAGGTTGACTAAACTACTATTTACTATGTTACCATTGACTGAACTGTTATTCATATATGTTAACGTTGACTAAACTAATGTTTTAATATGTTACCGTTGACTAAACTGCTATTCAAATATGTTTCCGTTTACTAAACTACTATTTAATAATGTTACCATTGACTGAACTGTTATTCTTATATGTTAACGTTGACTAAACTAATGTTTTAATATATTACCGTTAATTAAACCTGCTTTCCTTATATGTTACCGTTGACTAAACTGCTATTCTAATATGTTACCGTTGACTGAACTAATGTTTTAATATGTTACCGTTAATTACACTGCTACGCTAATATGTTACCGTTGACTAAACTAATGTTCTAATATGTTACCGTTAATTACACTGCTACGCTAATATGTTACCGTTGACTAAACAACTATTTAAAATGTTACCATTAAACATTTTTATGTTGATTTAACCTCTTATTCTTAAAATATGTTACCGTTGCCTGAACTGCTATATTAACTGGGTTGAGAACCATCTGAAGGATTTCACCGGCCAAAGGAGTCGGCGGCCGAGTAGTCTCACTGAGTACAGGAGGTACACGACTATCAATAATTAGTCTCACCAAACTAAAGTATTTTCTAGAAACCAGATATTTATAAATATTTGTCACTATATCTGGTTTGTTTGGAAAGGTTGCATTGTTTGTGTATATTTGGAGGAAGCGAAGAGAGGCAGCTATTGAGTCCGAAGAGCTTGCCAGCAGTTCAACACAGGACAAGGAGAGTTTACACAACGTGTGCGTCCAACCAGGATTAGATTCTATTACAGGGACGAGCTTACTTCTCTCCCGAACCAGAACCTTGATAAAAAATATAATTTTTATTAAAATGTCCTCTTAGTGTAAAGAGACTTAAGTTTATCTGATAAGAATGGAAGATATCCACGTTTATCTAGTTTGAAACGTGTTAAACCCTTAAAAATGCCACTATTGTTTCCGCATCCGAAACCCGCAAGTCACTTTTAAAAAAGAAACCACTATTGCAATAATTAATATTCAAAAAGAAAAACATGGATATCTCATTGATTCATGATCAGACAAAGCTTTAAAAGATAGCGTTGTGAATCTGACATGCCATTAATACTTGCGTCAACACTCTACAGTTCATATAAGGCTAGAATTTAAAAAGTAAATATAAAAATTGTAAAGGTGACAGGAAAAACGTAAACGAATCTTTATTTTCCAAAACAAGCTGGCATTCAGTAATCAGTATATTTATTCCATTTGACATATAAAAGTTTATCGTAATTTCTCACCTGAAATATCCATACTAGAGTAGCACTGTCTGTGGCGAAAACGACAAGAACGCAGATCCTGCGGAAAACCTCCCAGTCTCCAGGTACAGCCTCCAACTGTCTCCTAAGTCTAGGAATCTCATGATCTCTGATCTGTCGGAAAATTCGTCGTCTACAGATAAATCCTCGAACCAAGGCTTGAATTCGAACTGCAGCGTGTGTCTCAGCGCGCTTGGCCTAACAAAAAATTAACAAATGAGAAGCTGTCGTCAAAAGAAAATCTGTATCAATCCTACAAACCTTTATCAATTTGTCTTTAAAAATAACTTCTTATTCATAAAAGTATTCACCTCTCTATTTTTCCTGTCTAATCGAGCACGTTCTAGTAACTGTTCCTTGTTCTCTGCCCTGGTCGCTCCTCTGTTGTTAACTATAGGTTTCGTCCTGAAATCTCCCTCGAAGTATCCCTTCCCAAACATTCTCTTCTGAAATAAGCATTTTAATAATCGGTTCCACTTCGGTCGGATTTTACAGAGCTGCGAGAGCGTTTAAAATGAAGTCTTTCCCTTGACGCCTTCAGTTTTCCTTTCCTAAACCAGAATAGGTTCAAATTCAACATTTTTTAAAATAAATCTATCAACGTGATAAAGCAAAACTTATTATTGAAGTTTTATGCTTAAAAATTTTATATGAAAATGATGAGGTAGAATGTCGATATCTTTCTGCAAAGAATTAAAGTTAAGCTTCGGTTTTGTCAAAATCCTCGATTTACTTAACAAAACCGCTTTTTTGTTGATTAACTGGTAGCGTTGTAAAAAGTTAGTGGAACTTTTTATATTGCAAAATTATAAGTCTATGGACAATTTATATCAGGTATATAAAGTATCAATTTCATTCTGTTTGTTAGTTTATCCGATCATAACTCAGAAACCCCTAAGGAACCCGGTAGGACCACGAGAATTTTATTAGCTTTAAAGTTGAGTGAGTTGACTTTCATGGAGAAAACTCTGGACAAGCTAGTTTTATATATTTTTATTCAAATTGAACCATTTCCTAAATTTTTCCACTTCCTCTGCAGTAGATAAAGGTTTATCAGGCTGCGTAGCTAACCGGATTGCATTGCGAAGTTTCTCTAAAGCGTCTGCCTGATTTAAGCTCTGAGACCTGAAAAAGAGAGGGTACATTGACGGTTTTACCAATGCAAGCTTTCTGATAAAAGAAAAATATTTTTTGATTTGACTTTTCAGATATTTATCACCTTGTTCGATCTGATTTAACAACCATCCAACCATCTTTAGTCAGCTGAGAAGAATATTTTTCCAAAACTTTAGATTTTATCTCAGAACTCAACCAAGTTGCTGACTCAACATGAAATCTAAAACAACAAAATAGAATCCAGAATTTAATTTTTTTTGATGAGTCCAAAAGTAAAAGGAAATAATAAAAGAAGAAAAAATAAAGATAGCATATAAAAGTTTTATAAAAAAATTGTAAAAAAAATATTTGATGAAAACTGTATAAGAAGAAAAACAGGTAGAATCAATTTTTTTAACACAAAAAATAAATTTTACCTTAAATCTACTTTAGTAGAAACCTTATTAACGTTCTGTCCTCCTGGTCCACTACTACAGGAGTAGGTTGCTGTCAGCTCCTTGACTGGGATAACCCCGGAGAATTCTCCGGAAAAACCTCCTTTCTCAACCTTCTCCTCGGACCCAGGATACAGGCTTTTTAAACTAAACAAGCAACATCAATTTCCAACAAAAAGTAACCTTGACGCAGATTATTACTAAATCACAAAAACTTGTCAATTAAGCTGATGTCTCATACCTAATAGAGCTTTCATAGTCGGACATGTTCCTGGAACGAAAAACCTGAGAGAGCGTGCTCCGGCTCAGGGTTCGGAGAAGCATTGTCATCTGAAAACAAACTGAGATCATTCATGTATAGAACATACAAACTAAATCAACAAAACACAAATTTTAAGTTTTTACTAAATTACAAAACTTTTACAACAATTGTTATCCTAACAAAATAAACGGATTATCTAGCTGCGCCCCCGGTATCTCCACCCATTCCATTGATAAGCATGAAGATACAAACTGGAACAATATACATCCAGTACTTGGAGAAAAATGATTTTTCATCCTTGCTCTGTCCAGTCATCTTCCTTGTTTTCTCCTGAAAATTTTTTTATTGATCATAAGTTACATTTTTATTAATAACTCGACAAAAAGGCCTCTAGTTAGAAAGAAAAACTGTCTTAAGTTTATCTAGATTCTACATATGGCAAATAAATCACTAGATGCGTTAATTAGAAGCGTTAGTCTCAAGGTTATTAGGGCCAGTAAACGAGAAATTATCTGGGAGAACCCATTGAACATTGACTGTTGATTACACTAAGTTGACGTTAGACCTTGTGTTTGTGATTATGTATAATTAATCAGTATATTTTGTATATCTTCTTAAATAATCAATATCTGCAATATTTAATAGAATTACACCCCCAAAGGGGATGAGGCTTGTTTTGTATGCTTTAGTAAAGAAAAATTGTTAACAAAGGGCAAGTTATCACCCACAATTCATTTATTTTCTACAAAAAATCCTAAATTTTTCCAATTCAGTTAATAAAACTCGCCGCTCCGGGCAAACATACTTAAAATTCAACATCTCTAAGGAAAAGTTTAGAAAGGGGTAAATATTAAAACCCATAAATATTTGTTTATTTACCTCCTCCATCCTCTGTATGAAAGCTGCAGTATCCGGAGTAGGACCGTTCTCCATGTGTTGGATCTGAACCTTGGTATCAAACTTATCCCTGTTTCTTCCCTACATCATTATTTTCATATACTTTGAATTGTTTTAGAAATATTCATCTATAAATATACTTTGCATGTCTGTCTTTCTGTCTATCTGTTTTGGTGTTTTTATGTTTGTTTGTTTGTTTGTTTGTTTGTTTGGATGTTTGGATGTTTGGATGTTTGGATGTTTGGATGTTTGTTTGTTTGTTTGCCGGTTGACCCCAGGGAAGATTTATGAATGCTCAGTGGCCGAATTTAAAGAATTTGAGCGGTGGTTTAAATTTAAGCCGCAGCTTAAATATGGTTGGTTCCACTTAAAATTGTATCAAATGTTTCAAGATTTAAGCCGGCGCTAAATTTAAACCGGGTTTTGGCGGATTTTGGCGGATTTAAACCGCGGCTCAAATTCTTTAAATTCCATCTCTGAATTACAAAGAGGTGTCTCTAAAACTTTTGGATTTTTGAAAAATTTTGAAAATCCACGAACTTTTGTTGTTTATGTTTTATACTTCAAAGATGAGAAGATGCTCACAGAAAAGTCACACTTAAAAACTTAAATAGAAGATGGGCGGCGCAGCCTAGTTTTCATGTATTTTAGATTGTTACAGAAAAATTCTTTCTTAAAAAAAAATTAGATAGATCTAACTACTTTTCATTTCTTCAACAGACTGGACAATGGTAATAGAATCAAATATATGATTATCAAATTTACCTTGTAAGGTGCTTCCTCTGTTCTGACCGCTAGGTTCACAGCAACTAGACTTCCTCTCCAGTCTAGGTTAAATATCAGGGTCTCAGCTAGACCAGACTCTAGGAGAGTGCACGCAGAAGTATAACTCTGGAGCTCACCTACTCCTCCCTCACCAACAACCTGAACAGGGGAGTGTTGGAGGACGAAATACAACGCATTATGGGCGATTTGTCAACTGCCACAAACCCAGGGTGAGTGGGGGACGGGGGCTGGGACTGGTATGCTAACATGGAATTTGGATTTGAATATGCCGTTTAATTCCAAGGAAAAATACCACATATATGATACTGAGAAAAATAGTATGTTCAGTTCTCTTATGAAAATTACCAAAAAGAAGAAACATATTAATTTAAGCAACATTGTTCAAACTTTGGACGATTGCTCTTGTGAAAGAGTTACTTTTAGACACGCTAAATATTTTGGACTAAATATGTGAATTTATTAATAATTCAAGAAAAATTTAGAAATAAATAAAAATTATAATTGTAAATAAGAAAAATTTAGAAATATATAAAAATTATAATTGTAAATAAGAAAAAATCCGAGATCTTAACTTACCTTGATGAGGTAAAGTTGGTTGTTGCTACACAGTTCCTTCATTTTCTCATATTTATCTGACTCAAGAACATCCTGGTTTAATCAATCAATCAATCGTTTCTACAAAATTCTTAAACCAGAAATTGGAAATTAACATTAAGGTTTAAAAAGGGATTGATAAAATATTTTCAACCATGATTATTTTTTGATTTCCTGGTTGACCGAAGCACTGCCGAGCCTGGATCTGGTTAAAGCTACAGAACCTCTGTTCTCCCAGCTCCGACCCAGATCAAAACTATGATCTAATCTCAACCTCATGTCTCCCTCCATCTCCAGGTCGGAGCAGGAGCACAGATCCAACAACAAACCCAGGAAAAGGAACAAGAGCATCTTTCTAAAAATGGAAAACATTGTTAATATTTGAATCTCTTGTTTCGGTAACATTTAAGGAAAAAACAAACAAAAAACCGTTTGACCAAGAAAAAACTTTAGCAAAAAATGATTAGGTTATGAAATATCGCTACGAAAACTTATTTATTATATATCTTTCAACTCAGAAACATACTAAATTTATTTTTTTTCGAAAAACTTCGAAAAACCAATCCTCCTCTTATTTATATGTAATTTTAAAATATTAGAAAGAAATAATAATTATTAGATCATCTCAATATCACAGAATACTTGTAAACACTAAACATCGTCGATATTAAATGAAATCATAGAGTGTCCCAGTAAATAGTATAAATTGTGAATATGGTCGAAGTTGTACTTCTTGTTCTACTTATTGGGACACCATGAGGATCATATTTATGATCATCTCTCATCTGCTCTTGAGTTCTAGAAAAAGTTCACATTTATCTCGGACGAAATTCTTCTTGTCGTCCAGGACGAACTTGTTGTAGCTCCCATCCGAGCAGACAGCTACGATACTGCTGTCCTGGGTGAAAGCACAGATGCATCTGGCACCTCCGGGAACCTGACAAAAAAATATAAAAAATTGTGAAAAAATCCTAGTAATGGTTGTGCAATAAATGTTAAAATAAAAGTTTAAAGATGAGCTTATGTGATTCAATTTCTTAAAAACAAGATTCATCAAAAATGAATTCCCTTTTATTTCAAATTTGTCCAGAAGTCTCTAAAAACGTAAAATTATGATAAAGCCTTAAATATGACACTCTTTAAAATGAGCCTTTCTGTTATTTATTAACATTTTGTCAAATCATAGAACTAGTAGGGGGAAATATTAAAATCTTGATTTAAATGGTTTAGTTTAACAAATAAAATCGATGTCACTACAAAAAAAACCTAAGTGGCAATATAGATTTGTTCAAAAGGCAAGCCTGTTCAAAACTATCCCTATATTAATACAAATGAGAGCTCTTTAGTTTTTTAACAAAAATTGTATTAAGATATTTGCCTCAATTCTTGAGAAACTCCACATTGAGGAGAAGTATTTAGGAAGGAAAGATGCTGCGGCTAAACTCGACTGTTTGTTTTTATTCTTCTCCTCCAGGGAGAATATATGGATAGTTCCGTGGTCGCTGGAGACACATAGCAGGCTGGAGTCAGAGTTGAAGTTGATGCAGTAGATGGTGGCAGGGTTCGATCCTCGTCTCAGCTCACACAACAAGGATCCGTTCAGGACATCGAATACACGGATCAAGGTTCCTTTACAACTTGCTGTTGCTATCTTTGTGCCTTTATTAAGAAAACTATAATTAAAAAATATAATTATGTAATTATAATATTTTTTTGATTTTGATTTTGATTTTTAACAGATATACTTTCATTTTTCCAGGACAGGTATTTTAGGTAGGGAATCAAACAAAGATAGTCCTATTATTTTGTTGCAAACCTTTTTTACCTCTTTTTGATATATTTTCACAAAAAAAAATTCCTCAAAACTGTTGTATCATTATTATTTTTGAGAAGGGATATTTGCAAGAAAATGTTTTGTTAAAAATCCAATTAAAAAAACACATCTTAAATCTGAAAATAAGTAAATACAATTTACAATTACAATTACAAGTGGGTAACAGTACACAGCCCTCCTACCATTCAGTGTTCCCCCCCCCCCCATCCCATTTTGTTACGAAGACATTGTTGACTAACCTTGGATATTTAAAGTGATAGCTACCAGAGCTGAACCATGTGCTGTTATTGTTAACGGTGATTTCTCTGTAACTGCTAGATCTACCAGCTGAACCTGACCTGGCTTCAACCCAGGGAAAGCGAGTAGACTGTTGGAGGAACTTGGACTTAGAGAACATAATCCTTTCGGATTCAAACTAATAAATAATAATATATGCAAATCTTAAAATATACCATTTTAGCAAGGCTTAGTTATCATAGCAATATTCAAAAATAAACTAAAAATTATAAGTTCTTTATTTTTTTTAAGGTAAAGGTGAAATTATGAATTTAACCAACCTTGTATCAAAAACATGAAGCTGTGTAGGAGATGATGTAAATGTAAACACTTTAATAAGTTGTTCCAACACAACAACTATCCTGTCTCGTCGTAATCTCACACACTTCACATCACTGGAAAACTCCATTTCAATCACAGTTTTCTTCTTTAAATCATCCCAGATATAAACCTTATTCGGAGCAAACTCTGGACCGTCTCCGTTCCCAACCAGAGCCACGTAGTTGCACCGGAACAGCATCTCGAGGAACCTGATCCCTCCGGCTCCGGAGCTACCCCAGTCCTCTGATTCCTTCTCCCTCAGGGGGTCGGAGTTAAAGATCTTGAATCCAGTTTTGGTTCCGGCGCAAAAACAACCTGAAATTATGGAAACCTAGATAAAATACTGTTCCATTCTTCTGCCTTAAGCCGGTCATATTAGGGGGGCAAGATTTTGGAAACTTCAACCCCATACCTCCCAACCCCCAACCCCCCAAAAAAAAAATTTAAAATAAACTTTTGCAACGAGATGGTAACACAAGTAAAGTAAAAGCTAAATTTTGATGATATTTAAATGTTCCAAAAGAAAACCTTGATCTTGGTTGAAACCAGCATAGAGAAGCTGATTCTTTGTTGTATTGTTTTCCGTCAGGTTCATTCTTTATAAACTTGGCTCATCTACTTGAACTTGATCATGGAATAATATTTTCTGCGGGATCGGACATTTTAACTGAAAAAAATAAATTGATAAAGAATTGAAATATACTAGAAGTGGATAAAACGTACAAAGTTAGATTCCCATTTCTAACTTTTTAACTAAAAATGTTTAAACGTAATTTTTCTACTTGAAAATATTACTTTAAAAGTAAAGATTTGTGCTTAAGGATTAATTTCAACTGAATTTTCTTTTCTTGCATTTCATCTTTTCCAATTCCTCCAGGAGTTCTCGGCAATAGGTTTAGGAGGTCTGATGAGAAATAATACCGCGTCACATTTCAAATCATTTCAAGAATTCTTTTGAGAAAATTGAAGTTTTAGAGGAAAAAATGTCAATTTTTATATTTGGTACCTTTAAAAACTAAAGATACAATTATTAAAATCTATTTTAAATTAAAATATAATTTTTACAACTTTATTTTGTTTTTTGATTTACTTTTCTGACCGCCATATCTTCTTTCCATAATTTTCTATCATAGCAGACAGAAACATCTGACTCACGACACAAACAACGTAATTTTCATTTTTAAAGTTTAAAATCATGTAAAGTACTTATTCTACGTCAGTGATCTTTTTTAAAAAACCAATGCAAACTCCTTGAGTTGTCTTAAATAAAATGTGAAGTTGTCATCTAATTAGATAATAATATGTAATAATGTTTGTTCAGAAAATTTTCTAAAAAATTAATTAATATTAGGGAGAAAGTCTTAACCATCAAACTTCTAACGTTGAAATTTCAGAAGATACAATGAAAACTCTATAATGACGGACATATTTTCATTAGATATGGATGAGTCGATAGACTTCATAGTTAAGCACCTTCCGGAGTCGATCTACACCAGTTTAAATGTGACCTGGAGTAAGATCATGTCCGGGGAACCTGACTCAGAGGTTGTCACAACAGTTTTAATCTCCCTAATTATTCCGGCCGTGATCATCCTCATCATATCCTGGAGCCTGGGGACGAAGGTGAAGGAGAAGATCCCAGATCAGATCAAGAACAAGATCAATGCAGCGCGAGATTTCGTGGTTCCCCCCGAGGGTCCAAGGTTCAGGAAAAGAGATAAAATTGCCTTCATTGGACAAAGAATGGTCAAAAAAGTAAAGGCGGCCGGCAGCTATATCCGAGGAGGACAAGGACGGAAAAGAAAGGCTATTGCCAAGTTTGCTAAACGTTTGCTAGGACAACAGATATCTCCTGAAACAGGACATAAGTTCAAACTTCCCCTACCCTTGGAGTACCTGGAGGAGGACTTCGACGGAGGACACGAGATTTTACCGCAACAGCTGAAGTTCGTGCTGCAGAACATGCGAGTTTTCGGTCATTTTGAGCAACCAATCTTCCTCGAGATCGTTAAACAGATCGAGTATATGTCGGTGCCAGCAAACCAATATCTATTCCAGGTAAAACAAGTAAATATTATCATGAAACAATATTGTAAAATTTTATTGAAAAAGAGTGAAGAAACTTATCAAAATAATATGATTGGAAAGATCCAATGTGATAAAGAATATTACTATTTAAATATACTATTAAATTTAACCTAAAAAAAGGGTGGGTCTGTTATTGCTTGCTCAGTGTCTTTAACGTTTAAGACAGAACCTCGTTTAGGGGGGGGGGGGAGTAGTTTTAGGAGTGTTGTTAAGGGGGAGTTTTGGAGAAATATGTTTTCCAGACTTGTCATAAACATTAACTCTCTAATATTTTAGGTTGGAGATCCAGATGCCAATATATTTATCGTTCAGACCGGTCTTCTCAATGTTTACTCTACTGACCCTGAAGGGAACAAGTCTAGTCTAAAGCAAGTTAAACCCGGGGATTCTGTGATGTCTCTTCTCAGTTTTCTAGATCATCTCTCCGGACAGGAAAATAATCATTTTTTATAAAATCGACGAGAAGGGTCTGTTTCCAGTTTTTCAATCCACAGTTTTATATTTGTTTAAACTAAATCTGAACTAGCTTAATATTATAAACTCCATTAGACGATGTCTTTAACGCACAACTCATTGTGATAAATCCAGATTGACAAAAGAATGATACCAATGGGCGTTATTGGAATAATTAAAGTAGACATAATTTAAAATGATTTTATTTAACAGTACAATCCCTACAAGACTGTATGCGCCAAGGCAATGGAAGATACCAAGATAATTAAACTTCCATTTAGTGCGTTTAAGATTGCGTTTGAAAAGTACCCGGATGCGTACTTGCGCGTAGTTCAGATTGTGATGATTCGACTTCAACGCGTGACCTTGCTAGCCCTTCATCAGTATCTAGGACTAGGTACTGAACTGATTGCCAGCCAGCACAGGGGGAACAAGAACCTCAAGTATAGGTTAGATAGGATGGACTCTATCCAGGGAGCAGGAGCAGCAGATGAGTCAGTAAACCAACCTTCAATATTGCAGATGCAGTTGTCAAGTAAGTTTTTATTTTTGGGAAGGTTTGATGTATTAAGATTTCTGCCATCCGCGCGATCTTAAACTATTGCACACTAGTCAGACACATCCTTAAAGGGACTGAAAGAGTAATTTCAAGGGAACCTCCATGAAGAGATGGCGATGGCGATGTCCGATTTACAACGGTATCCTTGAAACCTTAATAAGAACAAAAATGTGGAAGATGGCGTCGTTGTTCTGGCTCAAAAACTCCTTAACTCTGATCTCCATTGTTTTTTATAAGCAAGAAATTTTGCAAAGAAACCATGAATTAAAGTAACAGTTTTGATAAACAAAAGAACGGATATCTAATTCGTACATAACCAAACAAAGTCTTCAAAGGTACCATTGTAAATCGGACATCACCACCTTTGTATGGAGTGGGACTTGAAGTTACATCTACAGTCCCTTTAATATGTCGAGATTGCTGCCATTGTAAGATCTTAAACCAGTCCAACACACCCTTAATAATGGAGTTTGGACTGGTGACAGGTTAATGAGCACTGCTCTGGATATCAGGAGGTTCATAGTAAATCACCCCAGTCTTAAAGTTGTATGATCCATGCCGGTACAACACGTACTGTATATGCTGTCCGTCGTACCGTCCAGTCAGGCTACCCAGTGTAGAGTCGAATCAGCACGTTTTATGTAATAAGTGTAGCTCGTGATGAAATTTCATTTAAAAAGTCTCGAAAACACTTGGAAAGTAAATTCTCGGTAAAGTTGACAGTTCTCCCTGGAAATTCCTCGCTATTAATAAATAAATGATTTAACTATTTAGATCAGAAGAAGAGGAAAAGTTCTATTGAGAAGCGGGAGGAGATGCTGATGTTTGCCCTTAAAACCTTCAAGGAGCAGCTAGGACTTGAATCTGAAGCAAGTTTGGAGGGAAATGTGGAAATCAGAGAAATTCCTGAAGGGTATGAAATCCTTAATGCTAATTATTTTTTAGATAATTTACTTTTATATAATAAGAAATATGTTGATGATCTTTCATCTCACTGTATTTATAGAATAGAATAGAATAGAATAGAATAGAATAGAATAGAATAGAATAGAATAGAATGGAATGGAATGGAATGGAATGGAATGGAATGGAATGGAATGGAATGGAATGGAATGGAATGGAATGGAATGGAATGGAATGGAATGGAAACTTTTGTCTCTTAAAGCATGGTTAAAGGGACTGTAAGCGTAATTTTAAGTGACTCTCTATGTAAAGATGGCAATGCCCGATTTACAACGATACCCTTAAAAGCTCTGTCTAATCAAGTATAAATTAGATATCCATGTTTTTGTTTCTCTTAAAACTGTTTATTTTCATTAGAGGTTTCTATGCAAACGTGACTCGCGCATTTCTTGCTTATAAGCATACAATGGAGAAATTATTAGAATAAAAACACTTATCAAGTCAGGAAAACAACAGTATCTTCAACATTTTTGATCAGATTAAGGTTTCAAGGATACAGTTGTAAATCGGAAATAGCGATCTTTGAAATTACGCGTACCGTCCCTGTAACCTTTTCTGTCTTCTCATAAAAGTTGTATTTAGATACCGGATCATGGAGGAGGATAGTTTGAAGGATGCAGCTTTGGTTCTAGTCGTCCAGGGTTGCTTCATCGTCTCCCAGCAGGGAGAGGACGGAAAGGAGAAGGAGCTCCATCATTGTTATCCTGGAGGACTTCTTGGACAACTCCAGGTTAGTTGGGATCTTCAATCTACTCCAATACAACATTAAGGTCTTTACAGGATTGCAAAACTTGTGGCTCTAGGCTTGAACAACATTTTGCAAGGTTTGCTTGGGTGTCACTTACCCCCATCGTACCCCCTAATCGTTTTGAGTCGTTTTTAAAAATAGTTTGATAAAACTTCTAAGATTCTATTAAACTTTGCACTATCTGTATCTTTAAAAATGGAAAACGATCCAAAAAAGATCGTTTTAACTTGTTAATTTTTTATTTGTTTTTGGATCGTTTTTGCATATATCTTCTGTCAGGGTTTAAATTTGACAATGTTTAAGAAAACCAAATGTTTAGAGTAAAAATTTGAAAAAACATTTGCTTTGCTAACACTTTGCCAAACTTTAACACTGAAAGAAAATATGCGCATAAAAAGACCCAATTGAAGGAATATTGATTCATGCAATTAATCAATATTTGATCTGATGTTTTATTTGAAGGTGTTAACAGGAGAACCATCCATCTTTACAGTGTGTGCTCGTGTGTCAAGTCACGTGGCCTGCTTGTCCCGACAGCTCGTCTTTGATCTAATGTCTGCTCAACCGGATGTTACTCTTCATCTGGCGAGCAGTGTGACGTCACATTTATCTCCTTTTGTTAGATCTATAGGTAACAAGATATTACATAAACATAGATCCACGTTTGAATAAAGTTTATCACTATCAGTGAATTTGTAAAAAAATGAGTATTAGACAATTTTTGTTTCATTGCTACTCATACAAAATACAGGTGTTGAAATTGAATTAAGTTTTTAACTTTTGTATTTAACTTATTGCGCACATTCTGAATCCACATCTTGAACCAAAATGTTATGGGTTACTAAGTCCTAATCTCTGATAAAATTTTCTTAATACTTTCTGTTGGAAATATACTCAATCGTTTTACTAAAATTTAGCATACTATACGTAATGTACAAATGGATTCTAGAACTTTTTTAAGTTTTCGTTTTAAACATACTCTAATTTTACATTTATAAAAATTCATTAGTAAGAAATTTCATATAATTACATATCCGAATATAACGCTTTATTTAGATTTTGCTCTGGACTGGATGCTTATAGAGTCAGGGAAAGCAATATATCGTCAGGGTGACGAGGCCGATTGTACATTCGTCATTCTCTCCGGCCGTCTCCGGTCTGTCATAGTTAGGAACGGTCGACGAGAGTTGGCCGGAGAGTTTGGACGAGGAGAACTATGCGGGATTATTGAAACTCTGACAGGAACTCAGAGGTCAACAACTCTCCTTGCAGTCCGTGATACAGAGGTTGCAAAACTCCCAGCTGGACTGATTAACTGCATCAAACTTAGGTTCCCAGTGGTCGTCTCTAGGCTTATGAGTCTTCTAGGTAACCTACATTTTTTTAGTTCCCGACATTTTTAAATTAGTTTCCGCCATTTTAAATATTTCCTAAACTTTTTACTTTGGAATAATAAATATAATATTTACAGGGAAAAGATTGCTTTCTCTTGAGCAACCTGGTCTCGGACAGGTAAGAACACTTTTTATTCTTCTATTTTTCCTGCAACCATGTGGATATTTCAGGGAGCTAGTGAATCTGTGGGTAACCCTGGGTTCAGTACCATTGCTCTTGTTGCTGTAACAGATAATATTCCTCTCTCCGCCATTACACATGAGCTTGTTCATTGTCTAAACATTATAGGTTAGTTTTTCTCTTTTTTGTGCATGAACCTTACTTATTTAGTCACTAGATAGTTTTTCAATTTAATCTCTCTTGACTGACTGTAGGAAAGTTTTTTCGTATTATTCCTGAATCATTTTCTCATTTTAAAATCGACTTTCAGCTGTAGTTAAGAAATAAACTGTTCACACCTAGATCGGTCTATGATTAGATTTAATCTCTACTTGGTCTTAGTTTGCTCTGAAAGATTTGATCTTAGTTTGATGAAAAACAAATAATGTTTTACGTATGTAACTTCATGGTTAAGCTTAGTTTCTTTCAGAATTAGATAGGACTTGCTCCAGGATAAGATTCAGACTTTGTTTGGTTAAGTATTTAGGTTCAGGATAGCAATCAATATCTGTTCTAGGTCCAGCTAAGAGAATATCTCCTGACGTGGTCCGAGCAGCTTTAGGAAGCTCTGCTCTTGAACCTGGGAATGATTATAAGATGACCGCCTGGTTGGGAGGTCAGGAGGATCAACACAAGGTTGTAGTTTACCAGGCTGATTCAGTAGAGAGACTTACACCTTGGACTCAACAGTGTATTAGGTCAGACTTTAATACAACTCAGTTTTAAAATCACTGTTGACGTAATTTTAAGAAACCCTCATTTATAGAGTGGCATGTCCAATTCACAACGGTACACTTCAAACCTTGTCTAATCAAAGATGTATGAGGATATCCTTGTTATTCTATTTTAAAATTTTTGATTATTTTCTTTGTGGGTTCTTTATGTAACCATAAAAGCGACTTGTGGATTTATTTACTTACTTGGGAATACTTTGTAATCAGGGTTCCAGATAGGAGTATTTCATGGTTCCAGATAGGAGTATTTCTGGGTTCCAGATAGGAGTATATCAGGGTTCCAGATAGGAGTATATCAGGGTTCCAGATAGGAGTATATCAGGGTTCCAGATAGGAGTATATCAGGGTTCCAGATAGGAATATCCAGCATTTTACTCATAGGTTTCTCATTCTTGCTGTTCTGGTATTTTATCATATAAAGACTTGAAATTTTTTATATTTCCTGCAGAAATAATGAAGGAAATTATCAGAATTTTAACACTTTTTAAGAAAGAAAAACGGCGATATCTTTCCTACTTAATGTTTCTAAAATAAAAGATTAAATGGTACCATTGTGAATCGGTTATGACACTTTATAGATGGAAGGTAACTTGAAATTAGGTCTTCAGTGTCTTTAATTAAGGTTTAAATCCATTTTTTATTCTGTCTAATAACTGATAATTATTCAGGCATGCTGACTGTATCCTGATAGTAGCGTGGGCAGATTCGAAACCATCCGTCTCCGGGTTTGAAGAGAAGCTGGAGAATCTCTCCTTGAGAACCACAAAGGAGCTGGTTCTTCTCCACTCGGAGGAAACAGAACTGCCACAAAATACAAGCAAATGGTTGGAAGGTTCGTTACTTAACATCTTATCCTAAAATGTAATTAAAAAGGTTTTCTTGAATTGAGTCTATCGTAGAAAGATCCTGGATCAGCGCTCATCATCATATTCGTGTTCCATCCCGTCTTTGTGTTAAACGGTCCGACCGGAGACTTGAAGAGCAGTACCAACAGTTGGCCATAGAGGGAGTTAAACCTGATATTCATTCTGATCTGGCGAGATTAAGCCGGATACTGACAGGAACTAGTGTAGGACTGGTTTTAGGAGGAGGAGGAGCTAAAGGTTGCTCTCATGTTGGTATGATAAAGGTAAGGTTTAATACCGGATACAATGTATTTTAGAATGTACATTCTCAAAGGGTCCTGAGTATCTGAAAATTGAGATTTTTAATCTAACCTTTTCTTCCGATATTTTCTCCCTAGACCAAACAAAAAATGTTTTATTAAAATGATAAACAGATATTTACAACATGATGATAATTTTGTAAGAAACTATCGATGAAAATAGCCCTCATGGACATCTTTGAGCTCTAAGATTGTATTTGTTGTATTTCTTATTTTAAAATTAGGGGCATTAAACGGGTTACCCACAAAGGATGAGACTTCAGAGACGAAAGTTCGGAATTAATACTGTCTGTTTCCTTATATTCATGGTTTCCTGCAACTTCAACCTTGTTTCGTTCTTTTTCAAATCATTAAATAAGCCATAAAATAACCAGAGTCAAGGCAGAAGACTTAATTTAACATTAGTGATTAGGGTCGTCATATTTTAAGAGTTTCAGATCGTCTTTACAGTCTCATCCTTTGTGGTTTACCCTGTACCGTATCACGTATGTATTTCAAATTTGTGAGCAATCCCTTTAATGATAATATATCCAGGCAATATTAGAGGCTGGTATACCCATAGATAGGGTTGCTGGAGTATCCATTGGATCATTCATGGGAGCACTCTGGTGCCAGGAGAGGGATATCAGCAAGCTCACCATCAAGGCCAGGAGCTTCTGTAAGAAGATGGGACAGAAATGGAGGATGGCGCTAGACCTCACCTATCCTTACACCAGTATGATGTCAGGGTTCGGGTTTAATACTCTCCTGGAGGAGGTGTTTACGAATACTCAGATAGAAGATCTCTGGGTTCCGTTCTTTACTATCACCACAGATATTAGTGTCTCTAGTATGCGGATTCATGAGGTTGGATCAGTTTGGAGATATGTCAGAGGTTCAATGTCTTTAGGTAGGTTTATTCTTCCTTTTCAGGTTAATTCTTTCTTTTCCATGTTTTTCTTTCGTTTTAGAATTAAACTTTTTAACTTTTTAATTGATAGATAGATAGTAAGTATTTTAAATTTAAGCGTAATGGACAAATCAGAGATCGGCAAAACCCCCTGAGGCCTTATCTCAAAATGTACAAGGGACTAGATTTCATGAATTGTGATAAGTAGCTGATTCATTTCAGTCCCAGGTTTCATTTTTAAAATAGTTTTGCTTCTTGAATGGATTTGATTTGTTGTCATAGGATGGACCACAATCCATGTTCGCAATCCGCATCAGAATACTAAATTTAAATATATTTATATTTCAGCAAGTTATATGCCCCCAATGTGTGACCCTGTTGACGGTCATCATCTGTTAGACGGAGGATATGTTAATAATCTACCTGCTGACATCATGCACAAGAAGGGAGCTCATCATATCCTGGCTGTAGATGTTGGATCACAGGATGAGACGGAACTACATAATTTCGGAGACTGGTTGTCAGGCTGGCAAATACTCTGGGCTAAACTCAATCCGTTCTCAACCATGCCAAAGGAAATTATTATCTTTCGAAACTCGAAGCTAACGTCAACAAGCTATCCTTGAAATTATTTAAGTTTTGATTATTTTAAACTGCACTGAAAGCTTTTTCTTCCTAGTATGCTTTCTTTTTTCCTTAAGTCCGTCATTGGTGGTCTTTTTGCTCAAATTGCCAATGATCTTCTCTTTTTTACAGTAATTCAAACATTGCTCTATGTTTAGATAATATTTCAATACTATCAGGTCCCAAGTCAAGCAGAGGTTCAGTTACGCTTGGCGTACGTATCCTGTGTGCGTCAGCTAGAGGAAGTTAAGAATGCGTCATACTGTGATTATATTCGTCCGCCTATAGACAAGTACGGAACCTTGCAGTTCGAGGCCTTCGAGGAGATTCGAGATGTTGGATACTATCATGGACAGGTAGGCGGATATGTTGGATATTATCATGGACAGGTAGAGGGGATATTTTGGATACCATCATGGACAGAAATGGGGATATTTTGGATACCATCATTGGGATATTTGATGGATCCGATAAGTGATGGTCACTAAAGCTTTTTTAATATGATTAAACATCTGCGGAACATTCTAGACTTATTTTGCTGGACTGCGTAAAGCTGGTCAACTGGGTTGGGTCAATTTTGACCGATCTAATCGTCGAGGAAGCTTAGAAAACCTTGCTGTAGATAAACATGCTCCAGGTCTACCAGGAAACTATGCAAGGTAATCATAGAGGAAATAAACCTTACTTTACAGATTTGCCTCGTCCATATTCTGTTACGTTTAAGATAAATGTTTAATTTTTCTCAAAAGTCAGCGAGAACTTTACTGAACCAAGAATTCTTTTTTTTCAGGTTTACTGATCTTGCTGAGATGGTTTGTCGGGTTCGTCAGACTACTCCAGATAGACAAATTGTCCCGTATTCTGCAGAATCTGATCTTTCTGATAATTCGGAGACAGAACCTGATGATTCGGATTTTCTAACGGATCCTGAAAACTGTATTGAAGAGGTAACCATTTTTTAATCCAAATTAATGAAGTTGCATGGAGATAACACTTACTTATGAAGTTAAACCTACAAACTGAACTTAACATTTATGGACTATGAATCTTCAATGTCAAGTTAAAAATCTTATCTAAATCAAATTTCTTACATCTAACATATTTCTTAATCTACGCCTAAATAAAAATATGAATCTTAAACAAAATAATAATCTAAACCTGAACTGAACTAATTTCAATCTCACCTATCGCTTAACTTAAAGCTGAATTAAACCCAATTTCTAACTTAACTTTAATCCTCAGGATGATGAAGATCTAGAGAGTGGGTTTATGTCAACAGGAAATGGAGATTTTCCTCCACAGAACTACCCGTAATGAATTTAAAACAATAATTAGAAAAATATGATCATTTCATGATTGAAACAAATAAAGGCTGAGATGGAATTTAAAGAATTGGAGTTGCGGTTTAAATCCGCCAAAACCCGGTTCAAATTAAGCGCCGGTTTAAATCTTGAAACATTTGATACAATTTTAAGTGGAACCAACCATATTTAAACTGCGGCTTAAATTTAAACCGCCGCTTAAATTCTTTAAATTCGGCCACTGATATCCTAAACCCCGATTGATTTTTTTTACACAACTTAATAGTTGAACCAGCTAAACTCTTTCTTAAATCGATTTTTGTGTATTTTTGTTGATTTTGAATACTTTTTATTATTGTTAGAACCTTAAAAAAATATTCCCACGTGATTATTTTAGATTGAGTTTGAAGGATGAGAATGGATCCAGATCTAGATCTTCTAGTTTTACTAATAAACCGGGACATATATAGAATACAGTATATTTATAGTTTTCATTTATTGGGATACCAAAAATATGAAAATATTCAACTCTTATAGATGATAATTAAATATCTGGCAAAAGCGCCTGTTTCTTTGCAATCAGAAATTTTTCTTATAGATTTGTATACATCTGCGCTATTTTGTGTGTTTTTGTACTGAATTTAAAATATGCTTTTTTGTTAGTATCATAGTTTCAGACAATATTTTACATGTTATGCTTTTCTTTTTAAATAGTTTTCTTGATTAATTTATATTCCTTAAATCGCTTGGATTTCTAAATCTCTTGTTGTTAAGGTAGAAAATGAGATTATTCCAATACTTCTTGAGTTGAAAACTTTTAAATGAACAGAATAAGCTAAACTAATTATGTCTGGCAAATCTTGTTTAATCATTGAGAGAGAAAACTTTTGAATGAGAAATCCTTAATCCCGATCGGTTAATTAATCTGGAGGTAAAATACAGGAGGAGAACAAGCATTATTCAATCTGGATTTTAAGTAAAAGAGTGGATCAAGCATTAATCCCGATATCCACCATTTAAAAATTCCCAGCTCATTTAGGTTTAACTGATATTTCAGATCTGCATTTTTGGTTAATCTTTAACCTTTCTTTTAAAGTTACCAAGCAGGGAACTTTGGAATGGTGGAATCGAGATCAATGCTTGATCCTCTCTCTTTTATCTCGAAACTAGCCTAATCTTGTGTTTGTATCCTGAAAAGTGTAGAAATTTCAACCAATCAGAGTGGTGTATCAGCAGCCGGGAAATTTGAAATTTTGCGCGCCATTTAAAGAGAGTTCTCGTATCTAATTAAGATTGATATACAATTATATAATTTTTAAAAACCGGTTTTTGATTTGTCAACTTTTGCCATAAAGAGTGAATTAAGCAAGAAACTAAAAGTGTCCACATTGGATATTCAGATTAAGCGATTGGGATTAAAGGTATCCGATTCTAAAGTTCCCAGCTCAGTTCAAATTTTTTTGTCATTCATTTTAGGGCTTAAACTTAAATTATTTTTCATCGTAAAATTCCATTCAGAAAATTCCGACTTAAATAAAATTTGCTGTGAGAATGATGTAAGGCATTTTCATGTTATTTTCTTATCGTTAACACAAAATGTTAAAATAGTTATTTTCCAGTTTTAAAGGGATTTCGCATTTGGACAAATGTTACGTTTTCTAAATCACCTCTCTTGCCATTTTTAAAAGCTACCAGCATTGATCGATTTCATAAAATTTACATTTAACTACTCGGACTAGTTTACGCAGTTTAAACAAGTTGAGAAGAAGTTTAATAAAAACAGTTCTACTTATAAATATCGAAATTAGAGTGTTTCCTCAGAGTTTGTAAAAATATAAACATTGTAATGTATACTCAATAATTGGTTCAAACTATTCTCTATCTCTCTCCCCAGTCCTCAAACTATTGGAATTTTGCCAAATATTGATGAATCCGAAGTTGCATACATCAATATTTGATTGAACTTAAACCAATTTATAAAATTTTGAAAAGTTTGAATCAAAAGTACGCCCTAGAACTTAGCTTTAGCAATATTTTATCATGCTTGAAATTTTATTAATACAAGGTTTATTTTAACGCTTAATATCTGGGTTCTTCATTCTTCAAGTTTGCTAACTCCACACACTTTCTGGTGTTTAAATTATAATCTAGTAGCCTAGTTCTCCAGGTTCTTTGAATGCTCTAGTTTGTCCATATGCTTCTTGATCTCTGGATGCTCCAGGTTCTCTGGATTTTCTAGATGCTCTAGGTTCTTTGGATGCTCTAGGTTTTCCGTATGTCCCAGGTTCTCTTGATGCTCCAGGTTCTCTGGATGTTCTAGGTTCTTATAGATTCTCTAGGTTCTTTGGATGCTCCGGGTTCTTTCTCTGAATGCTCTAAGTTTTCTTGATGCTCCAGGTTCTCTGAATGCCCTAGGTTCTCTGTAGCTCCAGTTTCACTGGATGCTCTCGATTCTTTGTATGCTCGAGGTTCTCTGGATTCTCCAGGGTCTTTGGATGCTTTAGGTTTTAATATGCTTTATGCTCTCTATATTCTTCAATTTCATCCGGGTTCACTACTGCACCGGGTTTTAAAGATTAGATATAGTTAATGAGTTCCCTTCGCCAAATTGTGTTCTAAACATTTAGTCAAGAACTCATCCATCTTATAAAGAATGCCATTTTCAATCCATTTTATACAAATATGTAAATATGTGTTCATGCTTTCAGGTCATACAGAGTGTCTCACGAAACATGACAGTTGGTGAATAGTTTAGAATGTCTTCTTCCATGATTTGCTAAGTTCTTTGATACCAAAAAGAATAATAAAAAATATTTCATAGCAGTCATATTTTATTAAAATTCATTTTAAAGTATAATGTATATCTGAGTAAGAGAATTTTTAACGAAATAAATTGCAAGAAGTCTTTTAGCTGTTATACAGTATATAGAAGAAGACATTCAAAACAATGCACCAACTGTCATGGTTCGTTGGACACCCTGTATCTTAAAATTATATTTTGTAAATATTAATATTATATAGAATTATCCGCAAAGTATGAGACTTCAGAGGAATTTATTCAATGGTTCCGTGCATTTTTTCAAATCATCAAGTTTACCCGTAAAAGGTGATATCCAATCCATAAGTTCAAATTCAACCTTCAGCTTGTCATATTTACAGAGATCCAGGGTGTCACAAACGTCTTATTCTTTGTGGGTAACCCTGTAATTAGCTGATCAATTAGCTTGATAAACCTGCATTGGTGCCATATAAATGTTGTTATGTATTATACAGATTGATAGAAAACGTGTGATTAATTTTATATCAGCAAAATTATTTAAATAAAGATTGTTTTTCTTATTCTCTTGGATATCGATCCTTTTTCCTTTTTTTGCATATATTTTATATTAGGATCAAAATATGTCAGCGTTAAGTAGAATAAATTATAAAACAGTTGCCTTTCTCGCACAATGGTAAATTTTGACCCTGAGGGAACATATATCCTCAAAAAACGAACCAAACTGAGTAAACACTAGACATTCTTACCTTGGTATTTTAGTGTTTATGCATCATAACGGTTTTAGATCAAGGTGCGATCCATGCATGGAATTTAAACCAATGTATTTTTTCGCTAAAACTTATTTTGGTTGAAATGATGATAAACAAGGATATATTAGATTCATGATTTTGTGCAGCAACAAAAATTTGCAGATTATTTATCAGTAATTATGAAAACATTAGATTGACATGACTTCTTTTAAATTATCAGACAAAAAAATGCCGAGTAGGTAAAAAATACAAGGACACAAAATCTTGTGAAAAATTCAAAGTAATGTTTATAGATGAATAAAAACGAAATGGCTCCCAAACACTGCTGTTTAAAGGGAGTGACCGGCTATGTATAAGGTATTTGAACTGAGTACGCAGTGTTGTCGAAAACTTCTTTCGGATTCATTTGAGACATATCACACTTTTTAAAGATCGGTAAATCCTGAGTTTGGGTGCAAAGCCTACGTTCAATACTCCTACTTTGGGGGTGGATACGCTTTCAGAATTAGTTTTTTTAAATTAATAATTTAACGACGATATAAAATGTAAAAATATTCTTCATACAGACGTCATGTTTAGGAACATTTGAGAAAATAAAAATTAATCTTATCATCGAAAATAAGTAATCTTGTTCAATTATTAGTTTCTATTATCTCATTATTCTGGTTTCTCATTATTCACAAAGATGTTCGCAGATTTTCTATAATTATTATTGAAAAGACGACATTTAAAAGAATTTGAAGAAATCTGCGAATAAATTCAAAGAAAATTAGAAATTCAATATAATAATGAAAACGAAATATTCGATTTTAGCATTGATTTATTGACAAATTTCTTTTGTGAAATATGTTCCTAGCCATCTAATTAGATTACTGTCTAATTTTTTTTTGTTGTCGTTATTTAATAATTAAAAAAAACTAATTCTGAAAACGTATCCATCCCCAAAGTAGGAGTTTTGAACGTCGAATTTGCGCTCAAACTCAGGATTTACAGATCTTTAAAAAGTTTTATATGTCTCGATCAAATGAATCCGAAAGAAGTTTTCCACAACACTTCATACTCAGTTCAACTACCTTACATAGCCGGTCACTCCCTATCTCTAGTTACCCGTTACTTTACACCAGTACAAAACAATATATATTTAATAAGAAAATGCTGGCATATAAATGTAACAAATTTGTTTATAAACTAGATCAAATAACTTCAACATAAGTTGCTGGGAAAATGCCGACCTTGCCGTCACATTCTCCCAGCCACCAGTCATCCTCCTGCTTGTCATGAATATTGATGATATCTCCGTATTTAATACTCAGCTCATCATACATATTCGCTGTGTAGTCGTACACAGCTCTACACTGTCCTATAACCGCAACCTGCTTCTCCTGGTAGTAGATCTCATGGATCTCATTATCCTGACTACTCGGAGATATATCCTGAGATACATCCTCCTCCGTACTATCAAACTCGTCGAAATCACTGTCAGGTTCAGGATCAGGTAGCGGAGTTCCTGGATCATCATCCCTCGAATAGTTTAAGATTGTTACATCCGTCTCTAATCCTCCGTCTGCTCTGCCCCTGCTCAGCAGATCCTCTGCTTGTGGACTGTATAGAATAGGATTTGTTGTTGTAAATACATGACTACGGTCATCGCAGATACCAATGGCAGTGTGAAGGTGAGGAGATCTGTTTGCTGGACTATGACCGGGAGACCAGGTTTCAACCCGACCGTCAGCAGTCCCCCGGTCCTCCCAGTCCAGGGGGACGGGTTGGGTCTCTGGTGTGATCCAGGACGGTATATTGAGAACACTCTGATACAAGCCTTGCTTGTCTTTTGTGTGATCTAGATAGGCTGCCATTGGATGGTTTACCCTCTGCTTCCCCTCAAGATCCATCATAACATTGAGTATCTTGAACCTCGTCGCTTCTAAGTATGTGAGCATAGCCTGCATATGGAGAAGTTTATCCTGAACATCCTGTTGGCTCTCTTCTCCACCAAACTTGGGAGTTTCCTAAACCAAACCAAATGATTTTTTATCAAAGGAATTTACTATTGAGTTTTGCAACAAACTCAAATTTTGATATCCATATATAATCGCAACCTGATAAGTAATAGTGTAGACCTTAGATATTTTAAATTCAGATTTATTATTTCCAGGTCTACAGCGCTGAGTTGCAAAGATATATGGATTCGAAAATCAGAGTATGTGGCAACGACTCAATTTCTTTCTATACATGAAGAAGTAAACTTTTTTCTGTTTTTATAAAATTAAAAATCAATTTGAATTTTACCTGAAGAGCTTTTGCTAGATTCTCCACTCCCGCTTTTCCCTTCCTTTCCCTCTCTATATCCGCCTTGACTATACCGACAAATTTACTCATTGATTCTCTCCGCCTTTCCCTGTTCATCACGTTCATTAGATCTTCAGCATAGAAGCTAGGAAGCATCTGTTCTCCCATCCCGTCCTGCTGGATCTCGAAGGTTAGGTTTGCAATATCTCTGCTCGTATCACAGAGGAGAACTGGTTCCTCTAACTGCTCGGTCAGGTTCTTTAACTTCGGTCTAGGATAAAGGAAGATTAAACAGATTGTCAATGGAATTTTTAGTAATTTAAAAGAGTGCCTTCATCAATTTATAACGAAATCGTTTCCACTTCAATCAATGTTGGTTTTTTGGCACAAATTATCAGGAGATAGTTGGATATTTATCTTATTCTAGAACAGATTATCAGGAGATAGTTGGATATTTCTAATTCTAGAACAGATAGCTGGATATTTATCTAATTCTAGAACAGATTATCAGGAGATAGTTGGATATTTATTTTATTCTAGAACAGATTATCAGGAGATAGTTGGATATTCATCTAATTCTAGAACAGATTATCAGGAGATAGTTGGATATTTATCTAATTCTAGAACAGATTATCAGGAGATAGTTGGATATTCATCTAATTCTAGAACAGATTATCAGGAGATAGTTGGATATTTATTTTATTCTAGAACAGATTATCAGGAGATAGTTGGATATTCATCTAATTCTAGAACAGATTATCAGGAGATAGTTGGATATTTATCTAATTCTAGAACAGATTATCAGGAGATAGTTGGATATTTATCTAATTCTAGAACGAAAAACGAGGATTTCTACGTCATCGCCTAAAGGAACTGTTAGATCGAGTTGATAACACAAAGGCGCTCCGCTCGCTCCTTAAGTTACATATGTTTAAAATCCTTTAATAATTTTTTTCTTGATCTTTCTGAAAGATATTTGTAGAATCAGAGAAAAGTTCAGAATCAAAATATTAGAATATTTGTTATAAATGGCCCTCTTATAAAAGCAATTACCGCCTTTTTCGACTTGACGTTGTGTTGCTTCAGCGTTGTTTGGTTTTACATATTGAGGATGGAATTTTTTATATTATCGACCTCTGGAAGTTTTTAATGTTTTTTTCCAATTGCATAGAATGGATAATTAACCTGTTTTCTTTCATGAGTGTGAGATATTGTTTTGCTTTGTTCGCCAGCTGGGACGATCTTTCCTCCTCGAGCCGACGTAGAGCAGAGCTGCCACGTACTATAGATCCTTCCCAATCCAACCTTGATTATTAGATCATTTTAAAATCATGGTTGATCCCGAGGTGTGGAGATCACAAAAAAATTGTCTTTAAACTCATGTGTCTTTGGTAAGCCAGATATTTTTTATTTTTACTTCAGAAATTAACTTTTATGATGATTATAAAGGAATTGCAGAATTTTTAAAAGAATAATTGTGTAATGACACAAAGGAACTGATTACTTGCCACAAATTCTATTTTTCTAACCCCTTTATCTTTGCAACCTGATGTAGACCAAAGATATTTCTAACTATGAATTCTGTTATATCATATCGTCAAAGCTTGAAATACCAAAGATTTACACTATTACGTTGCAAAGATAGAATGGTAGAAATTGAAGCGAGTAATCAGTTCCTTTTATTTACAATTCAATACAAATTTTTAATAATATAGACTAACTAATGTTTAAGGGAACTCTCTGTATTAAGTGCATAAGCTCTTATTGTAAGAGTTTGTTTAATTGTTCAATACCTTGATCTCTCTGTTTTGATACAACTGGCGTAGTATTCCATATCACTTTTCCGAACCGAGGATTCACTCTTCTTCCTCTTGGACTCGAGCTTGATGTTGTCCTTGTCGGAGAGCTGTCGACCCCGTCCCAGCTTACAGTCCAGGAGTTGATCTTGGACCTTCTCATTCTCACGACAAGATAAGTAGGATCTAAACAGATATTTTAATAAGAATTCTCACGACAAGACAAGTAGGATCTAAACAGATATTCTAATAAGAATTCTCACGACAAGACAAGTAGGATCTAAACAGATATTTTAATAAGAATTCTCACGACAAGACAAGTAGGATCTAAACAGATATTTTTATAAGAATTCTCACGACAAGACAAGTAGGATCTAAACAGATATTTTAATAAGAATTCTCACGACAAAACAAGTAGTATCTAAACAGATATTTGTATAAGAATCCCTGAATAGTTCTTATAAAGGATCATATTTATCACTTTAACCTCCGGTTCATTTCAAGTACATAGCCAACTTTCAAGGAGCTAGAGCAAGCAGTACAGTATACATAAAGATATTATAAGGCAAAAAGGGACAGTGAACCAAAATAATCAGCTCCTTCTATGGAGATTCTCGAGATCAATTGTCAAGAAACAAAATTGCATGGAAGAATACATGCTAATAATATGATCAAATTAAATCAAATGTGCTAGCAAAATTAAAAATGCGTTTAAAATTTGTAAAAATTGATGTTTGGAGTTAAAGTAGAAAGACAAAAAATGTTATTTATAAAACGAATTGTAATACTCGATCTACATGAAACAATTGGCCGTTTCCATTGATGTTGAAGCTTAGAATGAAAAAAATCATTTCTAAACGGAAAATATCTAATTCATCATTTATGTCTGCACTTATTATACGTATGTGTATCATTATTTATTTTTCAACCACAAAACGATTTGAATAAAACCTAATCATGGAAGAAAAACTCCAATTCATTCTTTCATTCTTACCGCACCTTCCCCCTCCCTCCATGGTTATGAACCCCTTAGTTCAATTATTAAAAAACAAATATTTTTGAATAACGCATGACTATTTAGAAATAATGCGATATTGCTGAGATTTTATTATTTTTAAAAATAGTTTTAAGATAAAAATTATCCAAGGAAAAAAACGATCATGTTTTGTACTATTACCCTGAAATATTTGCTCTATAGCTGGCAGTGCTGAAATAAACCATTAAATGTTGAATTTGGTTTTATAACGAGAGTGGGAAGAATTTGTGTGAGAAGTGAGGCTAAAATATCCTGGTCATTGGTTGCACGCTGAACCGAATCTTTTCTTAATTTTAGTTAAAATCAAGCCTTTTCATTTTTTAAATCCCGCCTTTAACTCCGGATGAAAAATTAAAAACAGAATGGAGATGGGCAGATTAGAGGTAAACACAAGACATGCTCTGTTTATTAAATTAGTTCAAGTTAAACTGTTTCTTGTGTTTAGTTTAGCGTGGTACGTAAACATAAGATAATGATTTAATGAACATAATTTACTCCGAAACCTATCCCAGCAGGATGGAGAAAATCCCGCGGTTTTTCACGGGAAAATATACAACTGAACAGTTAGTAAAGAATAAATGGAGAGGAGAAAAAAAACACATTAATTTCGGCGTTTCCTAAACTTTTCATTTTGATGCAAGTACTCGTCAATGTACTAGGTATTTATCTTCATAAGAATATTGAGAAGTAGATGTACTAGGTATTGGTAGATGAACTACAAGAGAATATTGAGAAGTATATGTACTAGGTATTGGTAGGTAAACTACAAGAGAATATTGAGAAGTATATGTACTAGGTATTGGTAGATGAACTACAAGAGAATATTGAGAAGTATATGTACTAGGTATTGGTAGATGAACTACAAGAGAATATTGAGAAGTATATGTAAAAAAGTTTAGATACTTTTTGCTGACAATTAATCCCAACCTATTTAAACACTTTCAGATGTTGATTATTAGAATTAAGGTGTTTATATACCACGTCAAATAAAAGTAGATTCAATGTTTTGTTGACATTTTTTTAACATAGCTTTTCTCTCTGAAGAGATTTTGAGAAGAAAAAAAGTGCTGAATTTCTAATATATAAAATACATCAAAACAAAAAAAATGAACCTTTACCCCAAACTTCAATTTTCTAAATCCCATATCTTTGCAACCAGAGGCCGAATTTAAAGAATTAGAGCGGCCGTTTAAATTTAAGCCGCGGTTTAAATATGGTTGGTTTCCCTTAAAATTGTATCAAATGTTTCAAGATTTAAGCCGGCGCTTAATTTAAACCGGGTTTTGGCGGATTTAAACCGCGGCTCAAATTCTTTAAATTCCATCTCTGATGATGTAAACCTTTGATATTTTAAACTTACATTATTTTTACTAACAGAAGGTCTATGACAATGACATACGGTTACAAATAAGAAAATCAGAGTTTGTGGCAAAATTCAATTCCTCTATTCCTACATCGACGTAAAATCAAAATAGCTAAGAGTTTATTGAAGTCGTCCCAGAATTTTGCATAGGTGTCACCTTTCCTTTATGTTTAGATTGAAGAACTTACTTTGCTTTAGCTTTGTTCTGAGTAGATTTCCATTCTTGAAACTGTTTATTCCTTTTCTCAACCAGGGCTTCTATATTCTTCCTTGACTTGTACTGGTTCTCAAGGAAGTTCTAAATATACATTATTATAATTATTATTATTATTATTATTATTATTATAGTTTTAAATATCACAGTTTATGACATCAGGGTTTCAAAGAAATACAGACTAGAAATTAGAATATGAGAAAAGTAATCAGTTCCTTTGAAGAAAACGGATGAGAAAATAAAATGATGATATTTGAAATCAAGAAATATGTTTTGTAACCCAACTCTGTTGCTCTGGGCATCATGATACTGCAATATTTCCAATACCCAGGGAGGGCGGGATGACTGTTAAAAATCCCGATATATGAATGTGCTAAATAGTTGTATCTTGAAAAAACTGCTGAAGATATTTTGAAATTTTTTTTACAGGTTTAAAGATTAGAATAATTAGAGTCCGGACGATTAATCTAGGATATAAGAATAATTCAGTATAGTATATTTTCATTTCAAATAAACCGATATTTAGAGTGAAAAATGGTTTTTTCTTTAAGTACTTAAAATGCTATTAATTTATAATTTTAACAGGGTTCAGATGAAATTTCTTCTTAAATAATATTTGAAACCATTTTAACTGCTAGACAGATGTTTAAATCTTACACTATAGGAATTATCCAAGTCATGATATATATATATATATATATATACTATATATATATAGCAACGGATAACTTTAAACGTAATCTTGTACAACCTGAGCTGAAAACTTTAGAATGGTGGATATCGATATTAATGCGTGTTCCTTTCTTTTTCTTAATATCGAGACTAACCTAATCTTGTACTTGTATCCTGAAAACTGTATAGAATTCAACCAATCAGAGTCGCGTATATGAAGCTGATAATTTTCAAATTTTGCGCGCTATTTAAGATTATATACAGAAATGGGAAGAACTTTCTAATTTAGAAAACCGGTTTTTGATTTTTCTCTACAATATCCAAAAAAGAACGGTTTAGAAGAAAATCAAAAGTGTCCATCAGATACTCAGATTAAGTAATCGGGATGAAGGATATCTAATTCTAAAGTTTTCAGCTCTGATATAATTATACAATTTATACCTCTATTTAAGAAATTATGCGATACAACTTATCCTTTTACTCTGCTTGGAATGAAACAAAGGATAATTTTTTACTTGGTCATCTTTTTTAAGTAAACCCGTTTTCGCTTTTTCCAGAGAACCTCTTATGTATAAGATGCCTTATTTTTCACAATAGCTTTATGTCAGATAACTATAAGGTAATTAAAGTAGTAATAATTTAAATTTAAAAAATAAAGATATGTAGTTTGAAATTTTAAAAAATCTTTGAAAAAATGTTGATTTATAGATTTTAAAAAGTTGGAGGTAGTGAGGGTAGTGGAGAATTGAAAAAATAAAGGATTAAATAAATGTTGATGTTAAGATTTTAAAAAGTCAGTGGTAGTCAGGGTAGTGGGGAATTGGAAAAAAATTTTGAATAAATGTTGATAAAAAGATTTCAACAAGTCGGCGATAGCGGGGGTAGTTTGAAATTGAAAAAAAAGTAATTAAATAAATGTTGATATTAAGATTTTTAAAAGTCGGAGCTAGGTAGTGAGGGTAGTTGAGAATTGAAAAAAAAATCTTGAATAAATGTTGATAAAAAGATTTCAACAAGTCGGTGGTAGTGAGGGTAGTAGGGAAATTGAAAAAAAAATCTTGAATAAATGTTGATAAAAAGATTTCAACAAGTCGGTGGTAGTGAGGGTAGTAGGGAAATTGAAAAAAAAAATAATTGAATAAATGTTGATAAAAAGATTTTAAAAAGTCGGTGGTAGTGGGGGTAGTTTGAAATTGAAAAAAAATTCTTGAATAAATGTTGATAAAAAATTTCAACGAGTCGGTGGTAGTGAGGGTAGTTTGAAATAAATTCCCCACTACCCTCACTACCACAGACTTGTAGAAACCTTAATATCAACATTTAATCAAGAATTTGAGGGGATTGATTGGGGTTGAGGGATGCATGATACACCGAGAAGGCAGATACTCTCCCAGCGAATGGGATTGGGCCCCAGTGGTGGATTACGCATTCATCCCCCCCTCCCCCCTTCCTTAATCTCTTTGTCGGAGTTGCCGTTCACTTTGAGCCCAAGATCCTTTTTAAATTCAAATATATTAGTTACTCTCTGTTTACGTTATGAATCCCTATCTGTCTCCATGCCCAACCTTCGATTGATGCTGCACTGATTTTCTCTTTGGTTTTTTTTGTGTATATGTTTTTTTTTTTAATGTTAAAATTTAATTAAAGAATTTGGTTAACAGGGGGGCTCAGCTAAAACAGCCCCAGGCTATTGAGTCCGCCTGCTGCGGAAAATAATATTTTACATATTGTAATTTTTAAAAATTAATTCGTAAATATTGTTTTTTTTTCTGCAGAAATAAATGATTTGATTTGATTTGATTTGATTTTTATTTTTCAATTCCCCACTACCCTCACTACCTCCGACTTTTTAAAATCTATATATCTTGAAACACATCTTTGTTTAATTAAACCACACAGGATGTCTTGAAATACATCTGTGTTTAATTAAACCACAGAGGGTGTCTTGAAACACACATGTCTTTAATCAACCACACACAGGGTGTCTTGAAACACATCTGTGTTTAATCAAACCACACAGGGTGTCTTGAAACACATCTGTGTTTAATTAAACCACACAGGGTGTCTTGAAACAAATATATGTTTAAATTAGTATCCTTAATGTTTTTTTATCTAAGAATTATTGCGGTGACTTTATAAAACCGAAAGTTCTCAGTTAAATGTTTAAAGGGTACCTCGTGAATCAGGCAAGTATTTTATATATAAAGGGTCCTATGAAATTATGCCCCCAGTCCGTGTAAACCACATATTCTATCCTGTATGTGAACTTTTCTAGAGATCATTCTGTACATATTAAGAATTAAGATATAATTCATCTTGTATATAATTATAATTAGATAAAACTCTTCTGGTTTCACGCTTTTTCTGGTCGAACCAATTATACTTGTATTGAACCAAGGTATATTTACGTGAAATCTGTTGTCTTTATAATTGCATGATTATTTTCTTCTACGGGATTCATTTATCAGGGGGGAAATTATAGCTGATGGTTTCATGGTTCTCCGGTTCATCAGTTCTCCTGAGAGGATTTAGGTGTAATTTAAAGTATTTTACACAAGGAAACTAAAATAAAAGAACAAACCTGATGCAAACAAGAGATAATCAACGTTTAATGAAAAACTTTATGGATAGTTTTTGAAGATTTCGTTCAATGATTGTTTTTAGCAATTTCAATTGAACTTTAGTTTGGCTTTTCCCATTTTTAAACTTCCAACCTTCATATCTTTGTTTACAAAAAAGTGTACTGCATTGTTGGGAGAAATAAAAACAACTGGAGGTTCCCGATGAATCTTCCTTGTTCCAAAAATAAGTGAATGCTCCATGCTTGTTTCTATCTGGGGATCATTGAGTACAAGTTAATGAGAGTAAACCAGGGAGTAAGGAATAGAAGGGAGATATAACTGACGCGGTTCGCCCTACCATATGATTATACATGCTTTACAGACGAAGTACTCCATTTGAAAAAGAGTTTAAAGGTCGTCTTTTAATTTTTTAAATGTAGTTACTTTACCATAATAAATTAAAACAATCTTATTTAATATAAAAAAAATACGTTTGCATTGCTAATAATTTTGCATCTTAAAAAATGAATTTATTTGGCGATGTTCAGCATACTTTTTTCACTGTTAAATGTATTCAATGACCTTTTCTGAATACATGTAATTGTGCATAAGACGACATTTAAATATTTCTTATTCAAATGGAGTACTTCGTCTGTAAAGCATGTATAATGATATGGTAGGGCGAACCGCGTCAGTTATATCTCCCTTCTATTCCTTACTCCTTGGAGTAAACTCCATACAACAAATCTTGATGGAGAATAATAAAAGTAATTTCAGGGTTTAGTTAGATAGATTTTCAACTGAATAAATTTCATAGATAGCTCAAGATATGTATTGCTTTATTTATCCGTGCGTTAAAATCCAGTAATTATACAATTCTACTTTATGTACATACTTTGGTAAAATAACATGATGGGATTACTCTCTATTGGAAGTTTTTTCTTTTAAATTTTGGATTTTGGAATTTTGGAATTTAAAAAAAGATATGGGAATATATATGCATTACGCGTATATGAATACTAAGAACACAGATGGATGGGTTTTACATATTGTTTTATATATGTAACATAATATATTATATTATTATGTATGGGTTTTATGTATATATTATATATATAACATAATATGTTATATTATATTGTTAATTATTATTTTAAAGATTTATTCACATATATATTTATGGTGTAGTTTAAAATTCTATTTAAATATTTTATGTTTTACCTTGAGAGGTTTCCCTATCTCGTCTGCAAGAGCTGCTGCTATAGTTTTATGAATCTCCGCGGACTGTTCGAAATCATTTGCAACAAAATACCAGGCATTAGGGACAGTTCCACTTCGCTCCTTGCTGGCTTTTAGCAGCTTCGAGGAGAGCTTAAACAGAGTTCTGAAAAAAAGAATATATTATGTGGACTGCTAACTCGGGTCACCTTAAAGGGACTGTAAGCCTACTTGACCCTCAATGTAAAGATGGCAGTGCACGATTCTCAACAGTAGCCTTGAAACCTTAATCTGATCAGTACTGGAGAATATCTTGTCGTTTTTCTAGCTTTTACGGGTACCGAAGTATATATCAGGTATTGCCATCGTTACCAGGAGGGTCAGGTTTGAATTCCTAAAATCGCATTTTAAAGGAAAGATTACATTAGATTCATATTTAAGAACTTTTAAGATTGCTGTCTCTTACTAATTTGTATTTGTTTAAAACTTAGACAACCCTATTTATTCAGTATTCAAACAATGTTCCCTTAGAGTACATTTTTAGGCAATTTTTCATTGTAATGCCTTTTTAGAGCTAAAAGCGAGCTATTTGGTGGTATGTACATTGTATACATTATACAGTAATAATTGATTATGTTATTCTTTTTTCTCTAAAAATAAAAAATAACCTTTTTTTCCATTTCTTCCTTGACTATTAAGAAATATATTATAAATAAGTAACTTTTTTCGAATTTGTTTTATAATTCTGAATGCACTGACATATATCTGGTTTTCACAGCTCTAAACTAAACATTATTTATTTTCTAATAATTTCCCTTTATAGAAGCTCGCCCTCCGGAAGAAACCTGAGAATCTACAGGTTTATCCCTAGGATGAGAATGTGGGAAGGTTTAACCAAGTTGTACTCCTAATCTAACCAGTAGTGTTTAACCCACCTGGAGTAGGATAACTCAAGCTCGGCTCTCTCTGCCAGGACGGAAGAAACTTCTTTACAAAAATCTTCTCCGGATTTGATCAAATCTTTGAGATCATCAAACCCCTGGTGTCCTTTCTTTGATACAGTTCTATTGAGAATCAGGGTTGATCTCCGTCCTAACTTTGGTTTCGGAGCTTTAGTAGTCATTGTTGTGCATTTTTATCTGAAAAATATAAAATATTCTGCTGAGGTTTATTGTTCTAAACCAAGTTCTAGAAAACTAATTAGGCTAAAAAAGGTAAATGAGATTGTCTACGTATTTTTAGGTAACCTTTAATTCAAAAAGTGACATCAACGGCTTACAAAGATTCTCTTTAATACATTCAAAATATAAGCATTGAACAAGGAGATATTCTTGTTTTTGTCTCAAATTTCAAAGAAAGTAACTCTCAGATTTCTTAAACAGAAAAGAACGTGAAAATGCTTTTCTAATTTGAAAAAAAAGTTCTACTGTTTATCAAATCAAGGTTTCACTTAAAATTATGACCTATCACTTTTATGTTTATACTCTGTGTTTACAAGTTTATATGTCAGGGTATATGTCCTTGTGTTTATATGTCAGGGTATACTATATGTTTACAAGTTATATGTCAGGGTATATGTCTACAAGTTTATATGTCAGGGTATATGTCTACAAGTTTATATGTCAGGGTATATGTCTACAAGTTTATATGTCAGGGTATACTATATGTTTACAAGTTTATATGTCAGGGTATACTATATGTCTACAAGTTATATGTCAGGGTATATATCTACAAGTTTATATGTCTGGGTATATGTCTACAAGTTAATATGTCAGCGAATATGTCTGCAAGTTTATATGTCAGGGTATATGTCTACAAGTTTATATGTCAGGGTATATGTCTACAAGTTAATATGTCAGCGAATATGTCTGCAAGTTTATATGTCAGGGTATATGTCTACAAGTTTATATGTCAGGGTATACTATATGTTTACAAGTTTATATGTCAGGGTATATGTCTACAAGTTTATATGTCAGGGTATATGTTTACAAGTTTATATGTCAGTGTATACTGGAGAACAATGTGGGTTTAAACTCTCAAGACTTTATTGTCCACGGAGCTTGCAATATTTGTATTTGCATACAGTACTAAACCCTACTCCAGGGAGGTAAGCATGGAGGGGGGGGGGGGTAGAAAAAGTGTCATAACTAATTTAACTACTCTACGAAATTTCAAGTTGAACTCTGTATCAAATTATGCAAATCTTAGGTATTGTATTCCTAGTGAAGGGTGGTAGGAAGATTAGGAAGGGTAGGAAGGGTAGGAAGGGTAGGCAGATAGGGTAGTAAGGAAGGAAAGGTAGGAGGGGTAGGAAGGGTAGGCAGATAGGGTAGTAAGGGAAGGAAAGGTAGAAAGGAAGAGTAGGAAGGGTAGGAAGGGTAGGCTGATAGGGTAGTAAGGGAAGGAAAGGTAGGAAGGGTAGGAAGGGTAGAAAGGGTAGGAAGGGTAGGAAGGGTAGGCAGATAGGGTAGTAAGGGAAGGACAGGAGGTAAGGCAGATAGGGTAGTAAGGGAAGGAAAGGTAGAAAGGGTAGGAAGGGTAGGCTGATAGGGCAGTAAGTGAAGGAAAGGTAGGAAGGGTAGGAAGGGTAGGAAGGGTAGGCTGATAGGGTAGTAAGGGAAGGAAAGGTGGTAAAGAAGATAGGGTAGTAAGGGAAGGAAAGGTGGTAAGGTAGATAGGGTAAGGGAAAAATATCAGCAGTCTTTTTCCTCTTCTTCGGTTTATCTATCTCCAAAAATTCTATCTCTATCTCTAGGTTCTAGATCTATGCCTGGGTTCTATCTCTAACTTCAGGTTTTATATCTCTGGGTTCCAGATCTATCTCTAGTTTCTAGATCCATCTCCAGGTTCTACGTGAGAAGTAAAACATTAATTTCTCCTCCTCCAGGCGTTCACACTGTGAGTAGAACTACAGATGAGGGGAACTAATGAATGTTTAGTATCTAACTCTCTGATTGCGAGTATAAAAGCAGAATAAAACTAATGTTCATAATTGTATCTATCTACTAGAAATAGGTATCAAATTTCAAAATGGTTTCCAACATTGTGTAACTAGCTCTTGGGGCTAGATCCAGTATTTATGAAGACATAAGATCAAAATATCAAGATCAATATACCAGCTTTAGATGAATAGACAGGTTTAAATCAAAGTTAACTTGTAAGACTTCTGATTTGGCGTCATTAAGTTCACTGGAGTAATGTTGCGTGTCAATGAGAATACTATGCAATATGATCATATGTTTGGTTTCATGTCACAATGAAAATAGGTCGATTGCGCAAGAATAAGGTTATTACTTTTTTCATGTCACGTATTTTTTGCGCATCTTTTTTTATTCTAAAACAATAGAAGGGAAGATATGATATCTGTTTAAGCAAAACTTTCTCCCCTGGTAAACTGAGATAGAGTAAACGGGTGGAAATTGTCTGCTAAATGATTGAAGTTTCAACCACCGCCGATGGAAGAGATATAAATGTGTGAATGAGAAAATATTCTGCGCTAGGCTTTACAAAACAGGAAACCTAGGTCAGGGTTCTTCTCTCTAGATGAGCAGGAAACCTGGATCCTGTCACATCTAGGTTATGTCACAGAGGATGCAAGATTTCATCCCTTATTAACTGGATCCGGAGTAAAAGTTCTCATATCCTACTCTAAATCCTTCCTTACATCAACATACAGCAGGATTATGCGAAGAAATCTTGAATTTTATGAAATCATTTCTTTCACAAATTTTAAGCTTGGATTTAGGCCCTAGGTTATATCCAGGTCTTGATCGGTATCTACTATCTAGGTTCTAGTTCTGGTTTTGTACCAGGTCCTAATATACATCCTAGTTATGGTTTGTATCCAGGGTCTTATCTCCAAGTTATATATGGTTTGTATCCAGGTTCTTATCTTTATCCAAGTTATATATGGTTTGTATCCAGGTTCTTATCTTTATCCAAGTTATAAATAGTTTGTATCCAGGTTCTTATCTTTATCCAAGTTATATATGGTAAGTTATAAATGGTTTATATCCAGGTTCTTATCTTTTTCCAAGTTGCAAATTGTTTGTATCCAGGTCCTTATCTTTATCCAAGTTACATTCATACGGTTCATAACCAGGTCCTCATCAATATCCAAGATATGGTTTATATCCCGGTTCTGACCTTTGTTCTAAATCTGTATTCTAGGTCCTGATATATTACCTAATTCAAGTTGATATCCAAGTTATAATCTGGGTCCTAGTTCTAGTTTGTATCCTGGTTTCAATCGTTGTCCTAGTGCTGGAATGTATCCAAGTCCTGCTATGATGTATATCCTATAGTTCTGGCATATATGCAGGTCTTTCATGGTCGTATCTGTATTCTTGTATATATATCCATATTCAGAGTTAAAGGTATTGGATTCCATATAAAATTTGACATTACATGCATTATATTGACATATAATATATAATATGCATAATGTACTGATATTGTATATGTATAATGTAAGTGTACGGTATTATATACAGTATTATATGGAGACTAAATGCATATTCCAATCTACTAAGTACTAGCTTAGAACATAGTTTTCATATTCTAAACTTTCTTAACTTTAAACTATTTTTATAAACCTATTTAAACTTTAAACTATTTTTATAAACCTATTTAAACTTTAAAGTCTAGAAAATAGTTTTCTTCAATTTATCAAATAACATTTTCCTTTAAAAATGCCTTCCTAATAAATAAAGAGAAAATGTAAAATAGGTGATTTTAGAAAGATTTTTTAACATCATTTTACAAGTTAAGTAAAAGTGTAATAATAATGTCTAAAATGAGTAAAAGAACTGAGTTCTTGCCACAAATCCCTATATCTTTAACAACCTAGCCATGAAGGTGTAAAACTTGAATATCTAAAAATATTTGATCTAACAGAATCTTTTTTGTTTGTTTATTTTCTTGTGGTTTTTTAACAATTTTTAAATTTTTTTTTTATCGATTTTGATTGTTATTATATCGTTAGAACTGACGAGGGTCAACCCGGACCGAAATATATTTTTAATAAATGTGGAACTAACATCTACTTTTTTCTTATACAGAGGTTTAGTCCATCACCATTACCGAATTTTAAATCAGAATTCATAGTTTGAGATATCAAATGACTCCAACATCGGGATGCAACTATATAGGGATTTAAAATTCAGAATTTGTGGCAAAAACTCAATTCCTTTCCCTAAAATTTTACAATAAACACCTCTATGCATTGTTGATTGTGTTAAGTGCATTTATTTAATTTCAAGAATCTCAGTAGTTTAGTTTCCCCTCTGTTCTCCTATACCCCCTGCCAAGTGCATTCTTAAATTATTATTTCCCCTCTACACCCCCCCCCCTTTAACTCCAACCCCTCCACCCCTCTGTTCAACTCCAACCCTCCTTTAAACTTCCACCTCCCGCGAGGCTGAATCCGACTTGTTAAATATAAGAAAGAAACGAAGGGATAAAGTAGAGGGAAAGTGAGAGAATTTTTAAAAACAAAAAATCTTGAAAAAAAAACTTTTTAAGAAATTGTTTTGGATTTTTATATTTCAAAAGTTTGTTTACCGTAATTACGAAGATGAAATATTTGACAGATCGTTTAATAGAATTTATGTCTGAATTACGTGATCAATTAAACAAAGTATTGTCAAATTGTTAGATAATTTCTGCCCATCTATCAATCTATCTCTACGGTATTTAACACTGTAAAAAGCAATGAAAGAAACTCATAATTGAATTTATCTGTTACACGCACTGTTGATCATTCTCAGAAGAAAATTTTGAAATATATATTTGCCGATTTATCATTTTTTTTCAACCCTAATTCGAAGATTTCCACATTTATCAGGTTTCAGAAAGATGGTGTTATCATTTACAGGGTACACATTTATTGCAGAAACACTTACAATGGCAGGGTCTCGTTATGTAAAATGGTGATGGACCAAACCTCTGTAGAGGGAAAAAATTAGATGATAGTTCCACATTTATTGAAAATATATTTCGGTCTGGGTTGACCCTCGTCAGTTCTGAAGATTGTTTCTGTCAGGAAGAATGTAAGAATATGCCGTTAAAGGAATAAATTAAAATGCCCACAAGAAACATTAAAATCTGAAGCAATCTTTCAAAATAAAAAGTAATCTAAGTGACCAGTATTCCTCGAT